TGATTACTATTTATTCCGGATCATGAGTAATGAGCTTGCGGGAGAACACTTCGATTCGGAAGAAGCAGTCAAAAATTGGCTTTGAAAGTTTTTCGATTGAAAACCAAAATCCTACTACAAAAGAGGAATCCGCAAATTGCCTGTAAAATGGGCAGAAGTCGTCAATAGTAATGGAAATTATCTCGAATGAATTCATGGTTTTATGTTGAATAAATTTTAGTTCAAAGTCCCGCCGTTTTCAATTTTTTTCACCAACCCAATATTTTCACTTCAATTTGTTCTTAAATTTTTACTAAAATTTCCTTTTCTTTCTTTTAATTTGAATCCACCATTCTTTGTCATTGCAAAACTGACTAACTCTAAAATAAACAGTCTTGATTGGGAACTTTTGGCACATCCCCCCATACAGTCCAGACCATGCCCCTTTTGATTACTATTTATTCCGAACGATGAGTAATGAGCTTGCGGGAGAACACTTTAAGAAGCAGTCAAAAATTGCCTTTGAAAGTTTTTCGATTCAAAACCAAAATCCTAAGAAGAAAGAGGAATCCGCAAATTGTGTCATTGGTCATTTGTGTCATTGGATAGCCGAGAAAGCGCTTCACGACTAAATTCACTAACAACGTGTCGAGCGAACTGAAATTTTGATAATTGAATATGTTCTCTCAAAACTCGCATACTTCTCGCAAAACTTCCCGGTCAATCTCGTTCGTTCGTTCACATTTGAAACAGCGACGAGCCCGTCTAAATGAAGAATTGCGGCTGTAAAATGGGCACAAGTCGTCAATAATAATGAAAATTATTTTAAAAGAATCTTATGTTGAATCAATTGTTTGTTGTTGAATCAATTTTAGTTCAAAGTCCCGCAGTTTTCAATTCACCAATCGAATAGCTCGTAAAGCGTAGATGTAAGCGAGACGTTTCAACCTTTTTTTTTTATTTAACCATTTTCAACGATATTTAATAACAGACTTTATTCTATACTAAGATAAAAACCTTAGAAATGTTAAAAACTAGCACTATCATTGGAAATGTGCCAACCAGCGACAAAGTCACGTGGTATCTGATCAAGAAAAGGGTGATAAAAACGGGACTTGATCAGCCAGGGCAATCATCGAGAATCTCTTAATCCAAGTTGACAGTTCTCTTTTCAACTCCAGCTTTGGGTTCTTTTTTAGATGAAGATTCCTTCATTCGTTTCGAAATGAATGAATGAATGAATCGCTCGGTATGTCGACGATTTCACGTACTGTTTTTCATAAAGAAATGGAAATGGAAAGTGATATTAGAGTGGAACAAACATAATATAGTATTTATAGTTTGAAATTGAGGTTTGAAATTGTATGGTGAGCTTGAAGCTATCTCTTGACATGTAAAGCTGATGGGAAAAGATCCTTAGAAACCTTTAAGCACTAAGCATCAAAATCCCCTTTTTTTTCAGCTAATTTTTAGGCTAAACATCTTTATTTTTCAATAATTCTCTTGGTCTAATTAGTTGACCAATCAATTTATCCAGTCCAAAACGAAGTTTCTTCTCTCTCTCTCTTCTCCTCTCTCTTCTTCTCTCTCTTCTTCTCTCTCTTCTTCTCTCTCTTCTTCTCTCTCTTCTTCTCTCTCTTCTTCTCTCTCTTCTTCTCTCTCTTCTTCTCTCTCTTCTTCTCTCTCTTCTTCTCTCTCTTCTTCTCTCTCTTCTTCTCTCTCTTCTCCTCTCTCTTCTCCTCTCTCTTCTTCTCTCTCTTCTTCTCTCTCTTCTTCTCTCTCTTCTTCTCTCTCTTCTATAACCATTTCGATTTCTCTATTTTCGATATTCTTTAAAGACAGAGATATTTTTCAATCAAAAAAAAAGCTTTTGATTGATGTGTTTCTATTTTTGGACTAAAACGTTAACCTTTAAAGAAAAGAAAGGATCTTCAATGATTGGTGAACGAATGAGAGATATTTTTGAAGAAAATATGATTATTGGAGTCATTTTTGACTCTAAAAATAGAAAATAGACTACCTTTCCTTGTGATCATAAAAAGGTTCCGGGATTCCCTTTTTCATAGTTTGAGTTGTCAACGAATTTCAACCACGTGCCAATGTGACGATGAAATTTTAGGGAAAAGGTTAATGATTGATGAGAAAAAGACTTTGAAAAGACCTCTTTTATTGACTGTTTCTGAGAGAAAAGATCAAATTTGAAAGTTAAAAGACTTTTTGATGAAAAATGAAATGGTTACAGAAGTGGATTGCTTGGCCACTCCCTAAGGAAGAGAAATGAGTCAGAAGTCAACTGATTGGGTCAACAGTCAACAGTCAACTGATTTATTCTAAAACAATCAGTCATTGCTTATAGTTTTTCGTTTGCCTTAGATTAATATAAAATATGTTTGACTTTTTGACGAAAAATGAAATGGTTACAGAAGTGGATTGATCACATGTTTGGCCACTCCCTAAGGAAGAGAAATGAGTCAGAAGTTAGCTGATTGTGGGGAAATTAGTTTTATTCTAAAGCAATCAGTCATGGCTTATGTTTTTGGTTTCATGATGCCCGAGAAATTCCTTCAGAACAACTCTGGCTTGTCAACTCTGGCTTGTCAACTCTGGCTTGTCAACTCTGGCTTGTCAACTCTGGCTTGTCGACTCTGGCTTGTCAACTCTGGCAAACCCCTAGCTTGTTGAACAGTTCACCAGAAGTCGCAAAATGGTTTGCCTTAGATTAATGTAAACCATGTTTTTTATGTATTGAGACAAATTCGAAATCTATATAAATTGAAAAAACGAACCATTTTGCGACTTCTGGTGAACTGTTCAACAAGCTAGGGACTCATCGCCAGAGTTGTTCTGAAGGAGTTTTCCGGATTGGCAAGTCCAGAGGTCCAGAAGTATATCGACCTGCAGACAAACTATAAGAGTTTTTTTGTAAAAATAATCCCCTTGAACTAGATGAACTCTCTAAGGAGCTTGGAATAGCTTTCCATTACTGGAAAATTCCAAGGATGATTTCGTTGAACTCTCTTGTTTTTGCGAAATGATCTTTTAAGATCGGGTGATTCGTGCAACGGAAATGCTCTTTATGGAAATTGATGGTGATTGTTGTAATGAGAAAAGGAAAAGAGAGAAAAAATTTCATCACATTCGGGTTTGTCGGGGGAAAAGTGATGGTTTCTGATGCAATCGGCGAGCCCTCCAATCACTCGCAATTAACGATCATGTGGGGGAGTGAATGGAGGAGAAAGGTACGGTTTCTCTCTCGAGAGAGAGAGAACAAATGAGGTCTGTTCTTTATGTTCAATGGCTGGTAACTAGATTATCAAAAATAATGACTGGATTGCCTCAGCTTTGGGGAGTCAGTAATGAAACTGTTTTGAGCTATAGACTCAAAGTTCAGTTCAACTCTGGTGTTGAGTTGAACTGAACAAAATTTGTACCTTGTGCTGTCTCTTGTACTTGAGAAAATAGCTCAAAATAGTCACAATTGTCATGCCGGTTTAGATTATCAAAAACATTGACTAGATTGCCTCAGCTATGGGAAATGAGACTGTTTCTGTGTTCTGAGAAATTGAGAAGGGTTCAAAAACTTTAGTGTTGAGTTGATTGTCAGCAAAAAAAAAAGTCAAGTTAAGCTTAAAATATCTTGTGTACTTTGTGTCATTTATTGTGCTTGGATTCGTTTTCTCTGACTTAAAAAAGGATTTCAAAAGATCGGTATCTCGTTGCAGGAAATGATGACATTTCAAGATTACTCCATGGAATGAACAATGACAATTGTGATGATCAGTAGGGCTAGTTCTATCTAGCAGATGATAAATTATGCCTTAGAGAAATAGCCTTAAAATTTAGCATCAACACTTGCATAACTAATCTACTTACTTTAACATTCTTTGAAAACAAGTTCTTTATTTTAAGATTATCTATCTTGAATTATCCCAAGAATAGCTCAATTTCATGGAAAACATTTCTCTTTTTCGACGAACACCAACGATTAGATGAGCAAAGAGATTTGATCGACTCTAGATCTCCTATAGATCTTTAGATGGTCTCGTGATGTATGCAAATCTTTAGGAGATCAATCTCTCCAGCCGTTTGCTCTCTCAAGGCACAATGATGTCATTCAGCTGAAGGAGATCAAGGGAAAGGGGGTTGAGTCTTCAATATCAATTCTATCTATCAATTCTTTTGTCTTAAAAGAAATTGAAGCAGTGTAGAGAACAGAGACTAGAAATGAGACGTTTCTAAAGAACACAAGATCTATTTTTGGGTGATAGTTGGCTGATAGTAGGTTTGATAGTTGGCTTTTCAGAAGATCTATTTTTGGGTGATAGTTGGATGATAGTTGGCTAATAGTTGGCTTTTCACAAGATCTATTTTTGGGTGATAGTTGGCTGATAGTTGGCTTGATAGTTGGCTTTTCACAAGATCTATTTGTGGGTGATAGTTGGATGATAGTTGGCTAATAGTTGGCTTTTCACAAGATCTATTTTTGGGTGATAGTTGGCTGATAGTTGGTTTGATAGTTGGCTTTTCACAAGATCTATTTTTGGGTGATAGTTGGATGATAGTTGGCTAATAGTTGGCTTTTCACAAGATCTATTTGTGGGTGATAGTTCGGTGATAGTTGGCTTGATAGTTGGCTTTTCAGAAGATCTATTTGTGGATGATAGTTGACTTTTCTCTTTCCTGTACCGAAATTCTTTTGCGCATGCTATTTTGAAGAGCATACAGGGATCAGTTGATACAGGAATCATATCTGAGCAGTTTTCAATCGATTTGCTGCCCCCAAAAACAAATTTCCAACTAAATACCTTCTTTTGTACCATCTACAAAAGAATCTCTATGTAAATGAGTGACTCGTTCTTTGTGCGATCGCGTAATCGCTCGCGAGTCTCTGTGATTGGCTTGGCTCCACCCCTTTCTCTATGTGATTCCTTTCCCCATTTCTTTTCCATCCCACCCACCGCCCACCCCCTTCCCCAACCCATATAAGAGTGATCCCACCATCCATTCTCCCCCAAATCACAATGATCACTTTGGTTGCCCCTTCAACTCGAGCTACTCCTCGTCGTCCCTCCTTACCCGCTCATCTCGTTGAGGTACATCAATTCTAGCTTTATCTTCCTTATATAATTTAATCTTTCTTTCAGATGATCATGCTTCGCGAGTATAAAACCGAAGCCGATCTTTTCGAAGCACTCCAAGCAACAAAATCTTTCCCTGAACTCTTGATGACTCATTTCTGTCTTCACAATCTTCTCTTCAAGAAATATCCTTTTAAGAAAGTTCGCGTTTTCTCTTATCCATTCTCGCATTCGATCTATTGGTATGTGCTGGAGGAACGCCGAGAAACAACGTAAGTTATTGACAGTTAAACTTTGAAGTTTTGAAAACTGAATGATTAAATCAATGATCCAACTGATTTCTAAAATTTTAGTCCACAAATCACATGTGCGCAAGGCATTGGCCGACACGATTCAATGGCTTTCCTCATGGGATTACGACTTTTCTTGGACACTATTAAGTGTGACGTTGGAAAGACGGGATTTTTGATTGGAGCCGAGGAACACTTGCAATTTGATGTAAGTGAACTCTAGAACTCTAATTGAACGAAATTCTTCTTTAGATTGCCACAATTTTCGAGCAAATCTTGCCCACCCATATCTTGGAGCCAAAGAGTCGAAACACTTTCTTCTACATGACACCCGAGCAAATCGAGGATCTTTCATCAGCTGATTTGACTGTTCCTTATGGATATGAGTTCTCCGAGGTGAATCTCGAGAAAGACGCGAAACTTATTCACGAGAGCTGGGAATTTGGGACAACTCTTGAGCATACCTCGTAAGTTCTTTCATTCTTTCATTCTTTCATTGAAAAGAAGCTTTCCAATCGAAAGATTCGAAAAATTTCTTGGACAGCGGGTTAAGATTCCCTGAAATGAGATGATTTGTCACATTGCCAGCTCACATGGTTCGCAATTCTCTCAAATTCTCTCAAATTTCTCAGTTCTTTTAAATGATGAGAGTCTTTGTCTTGTCAAATTTTTCTCTTGATCGATTATAAGATTGCACTTTGATCTCATGACGTAAAGGAAAATCATAAAGGGAAAAGGGGGTCACGTGAGGGGTTTAGAGGAATGACGTCAGTCAAATTGTCAAGCCAAATTGTCAGACCAAATTGTCAGACCAAATTGTCAAGCCAAATTGTCAGCTCCAATTGTCAGCTCCAATTGTCAAGTCCAATTCTCAGCCAACTCCATTATCCAAATTATCAATGGGGAAATATAAACCAGCTTTTCAACTTGTCCAATGATTTAACCAATCTCCCATTTCAGATCTCGACTTGAATCTCTGCCATCAGCTGTAATCCGTGACTTGGACGGTCGCTTAGCTTCTTTCGAGATGATGTCCCAATACGGTGCCCTCTCCAATCAATTCTCTCTACCCGAACACCGTAGACAAGGCCTCGGTCGCCTCGTCGAACTAAAACTTGCTCAAAAAGCCGTCAAATCCGGGCAAATTCCCTTCAAAACCGTTCCCTCTTATCACGAAGAAGTGATTCGTCGCTCGGTCGAGTCCCCATTCTGGTCGACTTTCACTCGCAATGGCAACCCTGTCACTTTCGTTTTCCAGACGGCCGCTCTTCGACTTTGAAACATGTTCGATAAGAGTGTGGGCCATTTGCAACATTTTGATCTCTTCAAATTCTTGATCCCAATCATTTTTTGGAACACAGTTCGTCTTAAAAGCTCGTTCATCTTTTCGTAAATTCTTTTTTTTCTGTTTTTTTTCTGAGATGGCTGATCTCAGTCCTTTTCTTGTGCTGGAATCACAGCTTTTTCTCTTACTTTTAGGTATGTTTATGTGCTTTTTTAATTTCGCTTTTCTTAGCTGTGATAATTGCCATGACTGTCTAATGAAATTGATCGATTTTGATGAAAATAAACGAATTTTCTAGACGTTGAAAGCAGAAAAAGAAGGAAAAATTGAAATTTGATAAACACAAATCAATCATCTGAATCTAAAAATAGAAAACTATTGTTATAAACAAAATTTGAAAATAGATTAGATTTATATATAGAGATGAGCTTTGAGGTGTTAAAGGACATCCGGTATGGTGATGATGTATTTGTAAATGCTTTCAATAAATAAAAATAAGTTATATTCTAGCTTTTCTGTGTAAATGACTTTATTTAGATTCAGAAAAAGAAAAGATTCTTTCTAAACGAATCATTAGTTCTTTCTTTCTTTGCAAATAAGCTCTCTTCCAAGAGATTAAATGGGGGTTTTTTTGGTGTTTAACTAGCACAAAACAGTCTATTTCAATAGCTTACCGTGAATACTGTAATAGTACCCCGCCCCCATAATGACGGTGCGGAGTGTTGCGTAGTCTAGCTTTGAACGAGGTTTTCTCGACACTGGTTTATGCTACAATGCTCGCTTAGGTATCAAAAAATAGCTGAAATTCAGGGCTATTTTTTGATACCAAAGACGCATTTGTTGAAAGTACGGGCGCTTTGAAAAAAATGAAATACTAAAAAACTTTTAGTATTTCATTACGCGACTACGTGACTGTACGAGCGCGGTGGGGTACTATTACAGTATTTACGGTAACTTTTTGCGCTCTATCTTTTATCTATTCATAAAAACATAGATTTCTGTGAAAGAAAGTGGCAAAATTGCGTCTTCAAGCCTTTTTTGACTACCCGTTTTGACTTTTTCACACTTCTATAAAAAAACCAGAGACAAAAAAGATTTTCATAAAATTACTATTACATTACATTACAGTATGATTAAGTAATACTGTACTATTACTGTACTACTGGGGTACTATTACAGTATTTACGGTAGGTTGAGTCTTTCACCAAAATTCATTTTCTAATTGATTTCTATTGATTTCTATTCTTTTCTATTCTTTTCTACTCGATTCAATTTCTATTCCCAAATTGAATAAATCTATCAAAGTCTAAGTCTATCAAAGTCTAAGTCTATCAAAGTCTAAGTCTATCAAAGTCTAAGTCTATCAAAGTCTAAGTCTATCAAATGTCTATCAAGTCTATCAAATGAAATACGATTAGATAGCTTAATCATTTCTCTTGTAAATGACTTTTAAAAGTTTCTAAAAAGCTTTGTTTTGAAGGCGTTAAACGATGCGTCAAAATTTAAGCTTTCAAAAAATACGAAGCAGTTAAAAGAAGCTGTTTTAGTTTTTACTCAGTTCACTAAAAATTGACCGTGACTTTGTCTTCTTTTCTGCTAATTGTCTGATTTCTGCTGCTTGCTATACCAGAGCTAAAAAAGCAATATCCAGCAATTATCCAGTCTTATTTTCGAATAAAATGATTAATTCTTGTCCAGGATTTTCTATGTTTCTTCTTTTAATTTTAACAAATTCATTTTTGGGCTTGATAAAGTGGGGGTGGGACAAATGCGACCTTTTTTTTGCGCACCTGGACATTTGCGCACCTTTTTTTTGCTGGAAAAGGCCTTAGGAAAGGTCGTAGAGCTTCAAAAATGTTTTCATAGAAGGAAATCGTATGCGTAGATTCCGAATTTCGACAAATCAGACCTCGCTGACACGTCAAATTTGGGCTAAAAGGCAAAAACTACACAACTTAACGCTTTTCCGCAGTTTTTGCCTCTTAGCCCAAATTTGACGTTTCAGCGAGGTCTGATTTGTCGAAATTCGGAATCTACGCATACGATTCCCTACTATGAAAACGTTTTTGAAGCTCTACGACTTTTCCTAAGGCCTTTTCCAGCAAAAAAAAGGTGCGCATGTCCAGGTGCGCAAAAAAAGGTCGCATTTGTCCCACCCCCTAAACCATTGTTTTTCAGAAACTAGATAGAATTTCCCACTTTTTATTCAATGTATTTCATTTTCTTGTTCTTTGTTTCTTTTCTTATTCTTATTAATCCTTTTCATTGCTTCTTTCACTATATTTTTCTCCGGTCAATCTCGTGTGTGCATGCAAATTCACGTGTTTTCCCCAATAATTCTCCATTAGATCCATCATTTGCATCGAAGAAATCTCTGATTTATTCAAGTGTTCAACTAAAAGCGAGAAAAAGAGAAAAAATTCGATATACAATTGAGCAAATTGGCTGGGGTAAGCTAATTTCCGCAACTCGCCATAACTTTCTTCTAAGTCAGCCAATCTTTATGATTTTGATTTCATTTTTGTAGATCTCAATAAGTGCAACAAAATGACATCAAAATCATAAAGATTGATCGACTTAGAAGAAATTTATGGCGAGTTGCGCAAAGTAGCCTATCCTAATTGGCTGAAAAAAAAACCCTCAAACTCGGTGAGCAAATCACAATTATTTCTATGAATTTACACGTAATAACTTCAAGAATAGAATGAATGTACAAAAAAAAAAGGAAATGATTTTACAAAAAAAGACTTCTTTCTAAACAAGTGTTGACGCAAAGATTGAGTCCATAATTTGCGGTAATTCGGCGCTCGTCTTGCAAACAAACGCTTTCCCAGCTGGTAACTCTTTTTGAACCCTAAAAACTTTTTTTTTCAATTTCAATATAAATTTTCTAAATATTTCTTATCCGAAATATTTCTTTCTTTGACAAAATCTTCAATTCCATAATAATCACAAGACTTTCCATCAGTCATCTCCCAAATTTTTCTCACATGAGCTGTGAAACATTATTTTAGTGTTTCAAGAGAAATGCTAGAAAAAAAAACAACAAAAATTCGGGGGAATGATTGATGATTTTGGGGGAGACTCGTGGGAAAAATTTTTGGGTTAAAAACTGGTACCTTTGTGCTTGCTCGCCGAGTGATCCGATAAGAATGACAAAACTGTTCACGGTGGAGTCACGATTCATCACATTGACGATATCTTTCGGACGGATGCCATATCTGGGAATAGGTTTTGGTTTTGGTTTTGGCTAGGGTTATGAGAGTTCGATAAATTGTGATTTGAGAAGCTCAAAATCCCAGTCAACAACTTTGCTTTGAATAAACGATCATAAACGGATCATAAACGCCAAAAGCCATAGTTAGCCTGAGTCTAAGCCTAACCTAGGACTGCGATGCAAAACCCCAAGCGGGTTTGCCTTAGCTCTGGAAACTGGACGAGATCCAGAAAATGGGGGGTTAGTTCAAACCCAAATAGACTTAGTGCAAGGCGCTAGCCGCTAGCCTTTGCACCAAGTCCAAGCCTAAGCTAGGTTAAAGTTAGGTCAAAGGTTTGTACAAAAGCCAAAAACCAAAAGCCAAACCAAGCCAAAGTCAAAACTGAAGCTTTCAATTGGCCATGACCTGGAAATTCAATCTTTCGGACTTTGATTTCAACCTAAAACCTTGGATTGGCCTGGAAATTTGGCTATTTTGTCAACCGTGATCAAATCAGATTATAAAAAGCTTGGCTTGACTTGAAGATCTTGACTCAAGAACAACTCTTCAAGTTGCTTTTTGAAGTTAAAGTTTTAACTTTTAAGATTGAAAATTCAATTATGACTCTAAAACCTGTTACCTATCAAGATTTGCATCTGAAATGAGCACAACCAATCTCTCGTCAACATCCTCCTCCTTTGCTAATTGTTTAATCGAGTAGTCCAACGCTTCCACTGTATAGTCGCCAGATGTACAAAACTAGAATCAAGATTATTTTCAAAAAATGTTTTCAAACTTGTGTATGTGCCAACATTTGCTTCAACACATCCAGCCTCTCTTTGTTATTTTTCGGGTATCGATCTTGCACAAAGACATGTGATGGACCATCACCGGAATGACCGAGAAGATCGAACTGAACATTTTGAATAGTTTTAGAAAGCTTTAGCTACTTTACCTTGACTTTGTGCTCTTTTCCCTCTAACGCAGTCATGACCATCAATGCTGCCTCGAGACTCTTTTGTAATCGGCTATCGTAACCATTAAAGCGATACATTGATCCACTGACATCGAAATGGAGACGAAGACGTTTCGGGTTGAGTTGCGGAGAGCCCGGTTCAGGTAGTTTCTCAACTCGGCGTCTAGAAAATAACAATTAGATTGGCACAATATCAAGGTTGTTCAAAGAGTAATTTTACATAGATCAAACGAAAGCCAAGGCAAAGCCCGGTGCTACTTTAGTTTTGGCGCAGGCTTCGAGTCTAGAAGCGAAGGCTGAGCATACTGTTCGTCGGGCTCTAGTCAGTTAAAGGATCGGATTGGAAAAATCCCGGTGAACACTACTGACAGTTTAAATTTGCAGTATTATCTTGGGTTGATTCAGTTTCCCTTCAGCTTTGTGCATAATGTGAACAAAGTTGAGTGGATAAATGATCTATTTATACAATAAATAAATCTCACCTGTAAATATTCTTCTCGCCAGTCATCCCTTCAATCAATTTCCCATCATCTAAATCACCGATTGTTTGATGTCTTGCCCACAATCTTTCCTTTTTCTTTGCTTCCAATTGTTCTAAAAATGTTTCTATATCAAAATGCAATTGCTTGTCACCGATAATCGATTTCAAATGAGCACTCTCTCTTTGAACTCTTTTCCACAATTTTTGATATGCTTCATCATCATATTCACTCATCTAAAAATCGAATTTTTTAGGTAAAAACGATTCTCACCTGAATCTCTTTCAACTTCTTCGCATATTCAGCTTTTGAAATTTCCCGTGCTTTCTTCAGGATATGTTCAGGTACTTGTTGTTTAGCCATATCAGGCATTTGATGCACATCATGACCGGCATCAAGTCTAGATTTATCCATCTTTTTTCGATAGAGAGATTTTTTTTGTTCTTACCTAAACGGTCCTCCAACTCCTCCCAAGCCAGCAGTTGAATATCCACCTAAACGAATCATTTTCACGTAAATCTTACTAGATAACAGTTTATTTATGATGACTAGCTACGTATTACTGCAAGATTAAGAACAAAATCATTACCCGTTCCTCCCATCCATTGATTTCCGCCCATGTGCGGCACATTGTCCGGATCGAATTTCCCGATTTTCGGGTCCTCTAACTTCGAAAGATCGAAATCGTCCATTTCTCGTTGAAACTCCAAGCGAAGATTTGCATCATCTTCTAGAATTTGATTAGATTATTAAAGATTTTATCAAGATATCAAAGATTAAAGATGTTTCAAAGCCAGTCAAGTTCAGGTCCAAACCTGGCTTCTGTTCGACCTAGAAATAGTAAAAAAACAACCAAGTTTCTGTAATTATTTTTACAAACCTCCCAACATTCTCTGCCATTCTTGATAAGCTTTCCCGATTGTCGTAGCAGAGATCTCATACGATCGAATCCCTCCACTCATATCAACTGTCAACAGTTTTGAGTCATTCCACGGAATTGCGATGAAAGGTGTCTAGAAATTAACAATAAAATAATCGCCACGCCATTAACAATAAAATAACCTTTGATATTGCATGCATCCATTTTTGATGATACGAGTGATATCGAGGGATTGGGACGGGTACATATTGCACAAAGCCATTTATCGAATCGACTGCTTCTAGGAAACCGGCAATGGTACTCGCTGGGATGTCTAGAAATTTCAATAATTAATCGATTGATTTTTAAAAAAACCCTTTGCCAGCGCATAGTCCGGAGTTTCCCATTTCGCTTTTGCACTCACAAGGACTCCTCCCTCAAGCGCAACAGTGTTTCGGCCATTATCCAAATACCCTACATAAATTTAGTAAATTCAATATTTGATATATTTAATAATAAGAATAAAACTATTAATTGTTTAACTTACCCATCGATTCTTTCACAAAATACGGTCTTCTCCCATCAATCACATTCTCTTCTTCATTCAATTTCCTTTCAGATCCAAAGAGCTCTGATTGAGACTAAAACTGAATCATTAGAAATTAAGAATTTCAATCTTACAATTGTTTTTGGAAATCCATTGCTTTTTAAACAATAAAATCCATCAGCTGATAGTAGAAGGTTGTCTTTTTGAGGGATTTCTTTGATCGCTTGAATTTTGAGGTCAGGTAGATTGGAGTTGATAGCACGAATCAAGAGATCACCATTCTCAAAACAAAGCAGCGATGACGGGTTTCCATTCTAGATTTTAATATGTAAATGTTTTCATTTCCTTTTACCTTCCAATGAATGATCCATCGATCATCGGATGCATTGATAACATCACTAACAGATTCAGGGAACTCAAATTGAATCGTTTCCCTCAACGTCAACAATGTCCCTTTTGTCCCTCCTCTCTCAAATATCATCGGTTTCTTCCCATCAACCATTCTCCAATACGGATTTTCTTTGGAAAACACTAAATGCGTATCTTTGTAAATCTAATAATTTAAGTACTTTTTTCGAATGTTTCTTGTAAAGTCCCTTTTTGATTGATCGTTCCGATGAATTGCTCTTCTGTATTCACAACGAGGAGTTTGTTTTGCTGAAATATTTTTTTGTTTTTAATATCTTTGAAAACTAACTGCTTCTTCGTGTAAAATGACAAAGTCTCCAAAGCGTCCTAAACGAATTCTTGGCTCAAAACGGTCCCGATTTGGTCGTTTGATGTACTCAGTGAGGTCCCATTCGAGAACCTGAAAGGAATTTTATTGATCAAACGCCTAAGAGCTGGTTTTTCTGGCCAGGTTTCACCATGGCGCAGTCGGAAGCGTGCATGTCTTTGGCCCACGCGGTCCGGGTTCGATTCCCGAGTACTTCACTCAACTTTGATCTTTTTAAATGGAATAACTACAATATATTCTAAGGTTTTCTAAAGAAGTTTTAGCTCTATTGGTCAAAAGACGGCCGAGAAAATGCTCGTACAGACAGAGCCTGCTCTTTTTAATATAATACCGTATGTCCAAGATAAAACTGAATGCCAAAACTGAATATCTGCTAATTCTTTGAAGCAAGAGATATTCAATGTTCCATTTATCTGGCATACTATTTTCCAGCTTACCGTTTGATTTGCTTCCAAATCCTCGACAATATAGAGAGCTGGCGGATTGACAGTCGCAACGATCAACGTTTTATCCAACATCAACGCATCCGAGCACAAATTCACATCCAACATTGGGATTTGCCAGTTGCATTCCTGAAAGGCTTTTTGTAGAAAGTAGCTAAGATAAAGATGAATATCAATACAAACCTGTTCAGTGAACTGTCCCGCTCTCATATGCTCTTTCTCCAACTTCAACACTTGACTCTTCTTCACCAATCGTCGAGTCTAAAAACCTTGAGTTTTTCTTATAACAAATATGTTTTTACCTCTAATTTATGCGGGATTTTGTTGACTTGAAGAACTCTCGGCGAGACATTATCTTTCAATCCCCAAGTACCGATTTGTCTCAAAGGCGGAATATCAAAGCGATGTGAGAGAAAAACGCGATCTTTGATGTTTTCAACGCCTAGAAATATTAAAACTTTGAAAATGCAATTGTTTTTGTATTTGACGTTTAAATAAAAATTTTTTATTGGTCAACAAATAAGCTCAAAAAGAGAGAAGAAACCCGTCAAATCAAGAAAATGAACAAAATATCGATTAATTTGTCTGACCTAATGGAATTCCGTGTTTTTGGAAGACACCCTCAATCGTTTTCACCACTTCCTCATTGTAACGATCGAAATCGAAAACATTTCCGACAATTGATTGGAGGGAATCATTCGGAAAGGCCTGAATAGAATGAAAATTCAAAGAAAGAGTACAGAAAGAGAAATTCAGCTAACGTTTGAAAGTTTTAAACTAAAAAAAAACTACTCAAATTATTATTTCACTTACATTTGCATGTTTCACAATATTGACAAGTTCTCTCGTGCTGTACGGATATTGGAGTAATCCCTGATCAGCTTGATCTCTCAATTCAGAGAAGGCAGAGATCAGCTTGATCAAATGATCTTCGGGAACAGCTGAACGAAATAATTTCCTTTTGAAACCTCAATTTTTCTCACCTGGTCCGTATAGCTTCAACATTTGCATTTCGCTTTCTCGACTCGGATTGTCGACAGTGTGCACGGAAAAGAGATCACCCAGAACACCGAAAAGATCGTTTCCAAGGAATGGGAAACCGGGTCTAAATTTGGATATGAATTTGGATAATCTATAAAGGAGCAATGTCTGTCTGTACTGGTGTCAAGATATGAGCGTTTATTTGAGAGTAAACTTAGACTACACGACGCTCCTATAGGAAGCCGTTCTATTAGAGTTTCTATTAGAGTACCTACTTTATATATTTATATATCGGCTGGTATTTTATATATCTAACTAGCTCACCTATTAGCTAGCATGATCATTTTGAAATCGGGATGCAAGGTGATTGTGTTGTCACTTTGTGGAAGATGAGCGGGTTGGATTCGGCGACCATCACCAAGCATTAAAGTGCCTAAATTCGTAAACTAATTGATCTATTCAGTGTATATATTTTATAGGTTTATATAACTCACCGGAATCCAGTAAACTCTTCAAAATGGCAATCACATGCAATGGTGCTTTATCCGCCTCATCCACCACTAGCACATGTCCCTTTTTGACAGCTTTCACAAGGGCTGAATCCTCGTGTTTCAGCTTTCCACCATCGATCGTTGTCTGCATTGTCAGTGATTCGACAGTTGTATCTCTAAAATGAGATTTGACTCGGATATAAAGCTTCTACTACCGATGTAGTTGCATGTAATGCCTGGGTCGTCCGATCAACTGCAGAAAGCGATCGGCAAGTTTGTTTTTGCCGACTCCCTAAATGAATTTCAATTCAACAGTTTCTTGTCTACAACCATGTTATACGCAGCTCAGTTTTACTATCTAAAGTTAAGTCTAAGCTATAAGCTGGCAAAGTTACCCTCAAAATCAAGTCTACAAATCTGCGATTGTGGCTCACCTGATTTCCAATCAACAACAAATGCGAATCCAATCTGAAATCCCTGGCCAAATCCCTAAGAACAGCTGTATGTTGAGGATTCTCGTAGAACAATGTTGATGGAATCAATGTCTCTTCTCCAGGCTTTACTTCTCGACTGATCGAAGCCATGTCGAGTTGATAACCTAAAAAAGGAACGTATTTATTCCAATTAAAGAGCACTCTCTAAGAGAAAACCCCTTTTTTAGACGAAATTTTTCATTTTCCAGATTTATCAACTCTCTGATAGCAAAATGTTCACCTTTTTAAAGATTTCCAAAGCTTTTAAATAATAGTTATAGACTAAAAAAAGCTTAATGACGTCGAAAACCGGATGAAAATCCAAGAAAAAGACCTATTTTTGAGCTCTTAAAAATTTTGGTATACTAGCTAGGGTACGAAAAAGAATTTTAGAGGGAAAATTTTTACGGTAAGTGTAAAGTTTTCCCTTTCCATTACCTGCTTCATGTTTCTTGGTCACATCTCTAATCCCTGCATTTGTAAGTGACGTGGTGAAAGCGGTTCTCGTGATTGATGGAAGGAAACGAGAAAGAGCTGCCCCTTCAATCAGAGTTCTCAATTCTCCTCCATGTAGAGCATCTCGGCGAGTGATATGAATGAGTTTACGAAGGGACAATGACGTGGCAACTCCTCGTAACTAAAAATGATTTTGAAAAATCTGATGTTTATATTAATTTGCTCCATTAATCCATCAACTCACCCCAGCATCATGACTTTTCCTTAACGAATCCACAAACTCGACTAATTTCTCGACTGTTCCTTGATGCGCATCGGGAACCAATTGAGTAATAACTTGTATTTGTTGATCGATTGGAAGCGGTTGCAAAGTGTGAAAAGGTAAAATGGCAAGTGTTGGCTCATTTAGCCAGATATGATCCCCACAATCACTATCACCGACAAGAATCAAACGAAATGATGAGCCGATTGGGTACAGTTTTCTAAAATGGGATTAGATTGAAGGAAATCTATACATACTTTTGTTCAAGTTCTTCTTTAGTGGCGTTCATTTTCTTCGCAATTAGATCAAATTCTTGTTGTGAGACAAGTCGGGATCCATCGGGAAGATCAAGATGTCGATGGTGGACAAGTGGGGCGAGGACTTCCAAGGCGCTTGCATGCACACGTTCAACTCCATCCAACACACAAATCCCACCAGATTTCGCTGCTAAAATGGGCAATTTATATCAAAGCTACTAGAGTTTATTCACCGATCACAAGTTGACTGTCCTCCCAAATCGTGTCCCCATTTGGCAGCATTCTGCGTCGTTGCAGCAACTCTCGACTGTTCAAATCCTAGAAATTTCTTTAATTTTTGCTCAATTGTTAAACTTACTTGATACATAACCATTGTATCCGTTGTGTATCCCATTCTTTTCGCGAATTCCTCGATCACCATCGTTTTTCCGCTTCCTTTTGCACCTAATAAACCAAAATCCCCATGTGCATGTGAACAACTCATTTCTGTCACAAGCCGTTCTTGCAGATTTGTCGATACATATTGTGAATCTCTAAAAACTTGTTTTTTTTAAACTATTTAAAACCAAAATCCCACTTGAATACGGTTGCTGATCCTTTCGGCGCAGTGAACTCAATCTGTTTCCCGTTATATTCAGCATTCACTTCATTTTGTTCACTTTTCATCGTTATTGACTCAATTTTTCCATGAGATGCTTGAGGCTGAAAATTTTCCTTTAAATTTTATATATTTTCCCTAACAAACCCTCTCTTCGATAACGCCGAATTTCTTCATGAAATCTCTTACAACATTTCTCTCGTTTTCTTTCATAATCGTTTCGATCGGATACAACATTAAGAATATGTCTTCTGATGTGAAATTTGGATTCGTTTCCTGGAGATTTGGTTAATGTTTTGAATTTTAAGCTCAACTTACCCAAATTCTCGCTATTTTCAATAGATTATCAATGGGGAATGATGGGAGAGTTAATTGATCTTGTGAATTGAGAGCATAAGCAAGAGAAACGAGGGAATTCACTCGATCACCGTCAACTGATGGAGACATCGCTTTGAAAAGAGAAGTCATTGCCTGAAAATTGATAAAGATATTCATTGATCTAATGATTAGCGAAAGTGTTTTTAAAAGATGCTTAGGAAAAAGGTATCATAATCCTAGGCTAGACCATAGCTAATTTTAAAATCTTTCGAAAAACGGTAGCTTTTTAAGCGCACTTTTTTGGAAAACGATATATTATTGCTTACCTCAAATCCAAGAAACGGTACATCGTGACACTGGAATCTTGATCGAAGTGGTGGATCGAGAGTGTGACCGGGAAAACGGGGAACGGGTAGACCAAGTGCGACCACGTGAAATTCCTCCGACACTCGCTCGACACCCATCTTTGTCAGCTCATCAGCGGTATATTTCTAAACATTCTTTATATTGTGCTTTATCTTATCACTTACATCCAATAATTTATCATAAGCATCGTGTTTCATTAAGAAACGACCGTCATCCAGTTGCATCTCGCGATTCTCTAGCAAATTGTTCAAGATAGGGAGCACATTTCGTTCAGCTCTTTCAACTCCATCAATAATGAGAACTCTTCCTGGAAATAGATTTTTAGAATCTGGTAAAGAATCAAAAATTTTTCACCCAGATATTAATTCTAACCTTTCAAAGCCGCCCGAACAGCACAAAGATCAGAATAGAGGGCTGTTCCTGATAGAATCTCTCTTCTTTGTTTTATATCAGCATCAGTTGTATCTCTTGTCAATGAAAGGTACTCATATTCACGATTGATAAACTCTAGGTACTGGAAATTCATTTCGAATTGATTTAGGATCATTTGTTTAACCTGTAATACAAGATGTGATCTCAATAAACCGGGTGGTCCAAGCAAGAAAACGTCTTGTCGAAGGACATCTTTTTGGAGAAGCCATTTCAAATGCCTCACCACTTCGGGCGATGGGTTTTGTGAAGCTCAAATTGGTTTTTGTCTTGCGATCTGGTCAATAGAGTCACCAGATGTCCCTTCAAAAGTATCAAATCTCTTATTGAAGGATTACGCAATGAGTTTTTCTAGCTTACCAAAGCCAGCAGGTACGAGATGAGGATTTTTCGGGTTTTTCACATCAACACGAACATTTCCGATTTTAAGGTGCCCGAGAGGGCTGGCCGCATTCTGAAAAGTCGTTTAAAACTGTGTTTGCGATAGTCCCTTGTAAGTCCATGATGTAATCCAAAACTATTAAATTTAAATCTGTATCCACCTTTGAAATTCCTCTTCTCGCTACTTGATAAACTGCCAATAGGCGCATTCAGCGTCTAAAAATGCATTGAGAGTTGGTTTTTCAATTCAATCCAAGAAAATTAAATTGCCGATAAGTTTTATCTTTTTAATTTTACCCTTTGTGCAAGTTCGCAATAATTTATTAGTTTTAAAATACAATTAATCCATAAATACAAGCTATTGACTTAACTACTCTACTAAAATACAAATGAGCAAGAGATAGTGCACAGGCTTTGTATTTTAGGAACGAATTACAAGCACATCGCGAAAAATTAAAACCAATCATCAATAATGAAGGAGAAATTTATGTACAGATCAAATGGCACAACACAATTCAATGGTAATGTTCATCTTCGGAGAATGCTTAGCATGAGTACACCAACGGCACCGGCAAGAGTGAGAAACCATTGAAGAGTTTCGCGAGATCGTCTCCTTTCATATTCTTCTTCCATCTAAATGACAAATCTTCCATTTTCTGTTATCAAAAATAAAATTGTCTTAATTTAATACCACCTATTTTTTTAAGCTTTTAAGACTATCACTGAGCTTTTAGTTTTTAAGACTAGCCTTAAAAACAAACGGAAAAATTAAAACTGGAGCAGAATTAAATTTCTTCACAAAGCGGCAAAATATGACATTTTACTAGGTTTCTTTTGTAAAAGTGAGCCAGTTTTTCTGCTGGTTAAAACTTGAAAATTACCTGATATACCCGTGCTGAAAGAGTCGTCAATTGTCGCCTCATCAATTTGATTTCTTGCAATGGATTGTCGTCGATGGCTATTGAGGCAGCTGATCGTGAATCGTCCTAAAAATAAAATTTTAAAAGGCGTGACCCAGAAAGAAGAATTCGAAAAACAGATAATATAACATTATTTTATCTAAACATACACTTACATGTTTTGGCTCAATCACATCGGGGAAACTCGTTCGATCCAGCGTTAACGTTTCGGGTAGGTCGAATTGCATCGAAGTTCGCTAAAGAATAATAATTAGTTGATTAATAACATTTTTATCCTTTAACAAGTCTCACTAAATAGAGCAAAATCTAAATATTCAAAAGGAATGTCCAAAAAAGGTTTAAAAATTAAATTTAAATAGCGTACCTTAACGACATCGGGCATTCGATCGAGAAGAACTTCCATTGGTGGCGCGGATGCTCCTCTTACATCATTTCCTCCGGCGACCATTAAGCGTTCGGGCACGTGCATTTTCTCCACGATTTGGTCCCTTTCTTGCCATTTTGCGTCGCTCTAAACAGAACATAAATGACGTATGGCAGTTTAAATAAAACTTCATTAATGGATATAGCTAGTATTTTTAATTTATTATTAATTTTTTTCAATTACTTATAATTAGTTTAACATTAAGCTTTTAATTACTCTCTTAAATCTAGCATTTTATCATTAGAAACATTAGAATTAGATATATTTTAAGCTCTAAAATAGATAAAACGAACTTTAATGGTTCCATTGGGGATGTATTTGGCGTCTCCCATAACGCCGATGTGCTGCGGCACGTTCATCCAATCTAAAAATAAAAATTAATGAAGGAAAGTAAAAACAAAGAAAATACACACAAAAAAATCAAGTCAAAATAAGGGCTCTTAATTCAAAAAGGGGCAATGGTTTTTGAGATGCTCGAGGGGGTTAGCAGACTACACGACGTTCCGGTGGCCCTTCCTTTTTGACCGAGACAAAGAGGATTTGTTTGAAGAAAGGGCCATACCGTTTTGATTGTCTTTTCTGATCAACGTTTGTCATAAGTCTGTTCAAATAGATCCATGATGTAACCAGGGAATGGGAAAGAAATGAAAAAAAGATTGCATTACATCACAAAACTGATAGAATATGGGATCAAAGGTCGAAGTTACAAGAGCAAAAGCTGCTGATAGTAAACAACATTATTTAACATTAAAATAAACGGTTTTGAAAGAGACAAAGGGGGGTGGCTACTTTGCGACAAATTTTTTGCGTAACTGGGTCATTTGCGCAACTCACCATAACTTTCTTCTAAGTGGATCAATCTTTATGATTTTAGTGTCATTTTGTAGTTCTCAACATGTTAAACAAAATGACACTAAAATCATAATGATTGACCGGCTTAGAAGAAAGTTATAGCGAGTTGCGCAAAAGACAAAAAATTTGGCCCAAAGTAGCCACCCCCAGATAAAGACAAAGCTTAGAAATACTTCAGTTAATAACTTGATTAGAATCAATGATGCAACTAAATATTTTTAATTCAATTTTGTAGCTATAAACGAAAAGATTTGCTTGCAGTTTTCAACTAGACTATCGACTTGCTTATCGATATTATCGGTACAAACGGCAAGCTCATGTTTGACCGTTCAGATCTCGGTTTCTAGAACAGCTATCAATCTGCAAATTGTTTCATTGGAAAACCAAGAATGTCAACTTTTGATTGCTATTTTATACATAGCAAATTCTCATAGGTGAGTGCCTTAAGAAGCTTATCAATACTTATCGATACTTCCGATATCGCTAAGTATCGATAAGATTTATGAGGTGCTTGCTTACTCATTAAAAGTCGCTATGTATAAAATAGCAATCAAAAGTTGACATTCTTGACTTTCCAATTTGCAGATTGATAGCTGTTCTAGAAATCGATCTGAATCTGAACGATCAAACATGAGCTTGCCGTTTTTATTGATAATATCGATAAGCAAGTCTATTGCCAACTCTTTTTGCTTCGTCCAACCCTCGTAAATACTCACGTCAGTTCCACAAATTCTAAGTCCTGTTTGAAAATTCTACAAGGTCAGTAGCTAATTTAAGTTAAAATGTACAGCTTCTCTAATCCTTTTCCGTCAAAACTTGTAAATTCGTTTTTGTCAAGGGTACAATGTCTTTAGACAAACCTTGTACTTTTTGCGGCTTTGCTATGTAAGGAGCTTTCCCCGAGGACACATTCCAATTGACGCCAATCGTTTGTGGCCTCTTTGCGATCTAACCGATTCAACTTTTCCTATACTAGATTCTTTTAAAATGCCCGCTTTACATTACGTTTTGTTTTCTATAACTTCAGCAAGCTTTTCTTCAATAATTTTTCTATTTTAGTGATCAACATCGACTCCGAACTTGTTGAAGACTTGAAATTAGAAGAATGTACGGTGGATACGATGGATATGCGGCTTACAACCAAGCTATGGCCGCTTACGGAGCCTCAGCGAATCAAATGGCCGCAAATGCAGCTTATGGAGCAGCCAATCAAAACGCTGCCGCTGCTGCTGCACAACAAGCTGCCGCCGCTCAATCGACTGGACTCTACTCAATGTTTGGAGATTATTCGACATATGGATATGGAGCGCCGGCTGCCGCTGCAATGGGATATTCGGCTGGATATCCCTATCAAGGATATGGAGCAACGACTGCTGTAGCTCAAACAGCCCCACCCGGACCCCCAACGATGGCGGCTTATCGAAATGCAAGCTCAGTCACAATGGGACCACAAGCTGCTGCAGCCGCGGCAACAAAGGCTCTATCAGCTGTCCACAAACCGAAGCCTCCAGCTGGAACGAATGCTGCTGGTGGACCAGCGACTGGTTATGCCTATGAAAGTGCTGTTTACAGCGCGGCCACTTCATATCTTCAATCAAAGGCAACTGGACAAACGGGTCAATGGTTGAACAAGAAAACAGGAAGGTCTTTTCCACAGAAAACGCGATTCAATGGAACGGGTGGGGCCAACTCAACACCAGCTCAACAATATTATTGTGAAGTGTGCAAAATTTCTTGTGCCGGATCTCAAACCTACAAGGAACACATTGAAGGACAAAAGCACAAGAAAAAGGAAGCGCTTGCAAAGGGCGAAGGGAAGGTGGCTCTTCCGAGGAACAAGATCTCTTTCCGATGTGATGTGTGCAATGTGACCTGCACTGGACAAGACACCTACAATTCACATGTAAAAGGATCAAAGCATCAAAAAGCGGTTGCAATCTGCAAGAAAATGGGAAAAGATGTACCCACGACCGACCAACCGACTATCATTCCACCTGCACAATTGGGTGGAGTCGCCAAAGCTGTGCCACCCGCGCAAACGACGCAAGCTGGCGGAAAGGTGGTGGGAGTCTCAACAATCTCATTTGTTCCATCGGGAGCTCTTTCTACAACGGCTCCAAGCGACGAGAAGAAGAAAGCGTGTTTGGAAGCAGTTGGTTCTGCTGGACCAGCCGAGTCGACGCTTGATCGAGAAATGCAAGCCCTATTGGCTGCTGAACAATCGGTGAAACCCGTCGGAGAGGAATACATCGAAGCACAGAAAGATCACACTGGAAAACTCATCCAATTCTTGTGCAAATTGTGCGATTGCAAGTTCAGCGATCCAAATGCCAAGGACATTCATCTCAAGGGTAGACGCCACCGTTTGCAATACAAAGTGAAAGTGAACCCCAATCTGGAAGTGGATGTGAAACAGTTTTCAAAGAATCGGGTCAAAGGAACCCCTGTGATGCCTCGTCAACTCCATCATCCAGGTTTCGCTTATCAATCACAATTTGGTTCGTATCCGGGATCATTCAGTGGTGAACGTCGATTTGAAAACATGAACGACCGCTATGTACAAGTCAAGCATAATAACATCTACCCTGAGGAAGGAATGTTGCAAGTGATTGAAATGTTGGTCTTCAACATCGAGAAAGGATTGAAGAATGTGTCGGATTTCTTTGCTGAACGAGATACGGCCAAGGAAGAGGCAGAAGGGGAGAAGAAACAACTCAATGAAAATCGAACGTTGCAAGGAGTGATGCGTGTTGGAATCCTTGCCAAGCAACTCATTCTGAAGAGTGACACCGAGGTCGAGGTGGTTGTGCTGTGCACCAATTATCCGACAGAGACTCTCGTTCGTGAAGTAGCTGAACTTTTGCCTGGAAAGTGTGATGAAATCACTTTTGCAGGAGCTCCAAAGGCATTCAAAACCGAGATTCAAATGAAACAAGGAGCTATTTTGGTTTCGGTTGAAGAAATGCCAATCAAATGCCGAGTGACATTCACATCAAGAGTTGCACGTGAAGACGGAGGAGCTCCAACAGTTCGACCAGCAAATGGGCTTCCACTTGATCGTTGTCTTCAAGCACTCGCTGATCTCCGTCGCGCTAAATGGTTCCAAGCACGTTGTCCAATGTTGCAATCGTGTCAAGTTACTTTGCGAATTCTCCGTGATCTCCGTCAACGAATCCCTTCTTGGATGCCATTAGATGATTGGACAAACGAGTTGCTGGTTGAGAGAATTCTTGCTTCATCGGGAGCACAGTTGAGCGTTGGAGATGCTTTTCGCCGAGTCTTTGAGGCGATTTCAGCCGGAATTCTCTTCAATAATGGTCCAGGTCTTTCTGATCCTTGCGAGAAAGAGAAAGTCGATGCACTTGCCCGCCTTTCCAATCAACAACGAGAGGATATTACAAGCAGTGCACAACATGCTCTCCGTTTGATCGCTTTCAATCAGCTTTATCGCATTTTGGATATCGAGAAGCTTCCTTTTTTCGGACCGGGACCTCACGGGGGCCCACCGCCTGATCGAAAGCGACCAGCTTCATCGACGACTCCTCCCGCACAACCGGAGAAAGTCGTCAAAGTCGAATCGAAGCCGGAGGTGCCCCCCGCTTGAAATGATTCATTGATTTTTATTTTATTCGTTCGCATTATTGCGTTAATTATTTTATTTGGTTACTTATTTGTGGTGATTTTGGATTATTGTTCCCACTTGCTATCTCTTGTTTCTCATGTTTTGTATGTCTTTTTGAGTTGTGTTAGTTCAATAAAAAATTTAGGTGATGAAATGGAAAATGAGGAGAGACGGCTCGTTTTCTTGCCGAAGCTGGACGAGTCAGCCGATGATGGTGGGGATGGATCGAATGCGACGACAACTGGAATCATCGGGAGTCTTTTTGGGAAGTGGTGGGGAAGAGGTGAAACGGTGAATGAACAACAAACACCGACCCCATCCACTTCCCAATCAGCTCCACAAATTGATGGACATGTGGAAGTTATCGAGGTACAGTTTTGTTTCTTGATTTGGCTTATATTTTTAAATTAGACTTGTAGTGATTAGTCAATAAGTTTTAAGAATATTGCTAACTTGTTTATTTTCAGCAACTCCCGTCTCTATCGATTGAAACCACACAGCCTGGCCCACTTCGACGCGATAATTCACCAAGCAGAGGTACCGCATTTATGTAGACTGAATACCCTAAGTTTTGAGCCTTTAAGGATCTATAAGGCATTTGCTTGAGAAAAATAGCATTCTTTATCATTGTTTTACATAAGCAATGACAATTTTGATAAGTTTTGCTCGCAACTAGGAAGTCAAGCTTATTTGAAACGAATTTATAAATTAGACTAGGTAATTAAATTCCCTCGAGCTTAGGATAATTTATGCCATAAAATTCTCACAACTTTAAACACGTTTTATATTTTAGTATCCAATCTTTTAGCGAAGAATCTTTCTTGCTTATTGTTAGTTCTTTCTTAAGTTCTTGCATGAACTACTTAAAAATCATTGCTAACGTTCATTATTGCTTAATCCGTAGCTTAGTTGCTTAGAAGTAGCTTTTCTTTCATTTTCTTACATTGACTACGATAGTAACATCTTGATTAAAGTCGGTGACTCTAACGGTAATGAAATCGAGAATAATGCTTTTTTGACGATTGAATTGTTTTTAATTGGTTGTTACGAAAAGGTTCTCCTTCTACGAACTACATTTTTTTAGTCATTGAAAAATAGAAGCGCATGCGCTACTATTAGAATAAATGTGGTAGGTTTGAAGACTAAAGAAAGTTTGACAGATAACCAAATGATTAGTTTAACATTCAAAAATGATAACTTAAGAATAAAGGACCATCATTGCATTGAAACAAAGTTTAGAAAGTCTTGATTCGTCTAACTCGAATACACCCAAAAGAAAGGCAAGCCGAATCGCCTCATATTTTCGACGGTTTGTTAAAAACGAAGAAGGCGTATCTAGATATAGATGAAAAAATAATTGTTAATAAGTGTCTGAAAACCTAATTAAATTACGATACCAAATATTTTAGAGAAAAGGCGGGTCTTGTCGATTACGATCGAAGTTCTTTCCGGCAATATTGGATGCCCGACTCGACGGGAAGGGTAAATTTAGAGAAATTAATGACTTCAAATACAGTTAAACCAGGAATGTTATCAATGTGAAGAGAAGTTCACAGCTTTTCGAAGAAAACATCATTGCAGACTTTGTGGACAAATTTTCTGCGCAAAGTGCTGCAACGCACATGTGCCTGGAGCACCGTTAGGTAAATAAAACCCACCGAACAAAGAAAAATCTATTTTAGGATATATTGGTGATTTACGTTTGTGTTCCTATTGTGTGAAAATGGTTGAACAACATTTGATAGAAGGTGAAGAGAAAGAAAAAGAAGAAACGAATGTACCGCAACCAATTCTTCTCTCATCGTCCGTTTCTGCTCCCGAAACTTCGGAATTGATCCATCCCGGTCCGTCAGCATTGGATTTATCAATTGTTTCGGCTGGTATCGAAATTAAATTTTTAACAATCAATAAGATTTATCAGGTTCTTTGATGTGGTCTGCGCAAAATGGAGTGCCACAAAATGATCGTAAAGACTCACTCTCGTTACCTCCATTAGCCTATAGACCACCGTCAATGTTGAGTGTTGAAGGACTCTTTTCAGCGCAACAAGCCCCGTTTATGTCATCAACAAATGGTTTGATATATGAGCTAAAATTTTTAAAAAATTGTTTAGTGAGTGCTGTTCATTTATCGGAAGAAGAGGCAGAATCGGGACCGGATTGGGTTCGGAATATGGATTTGGCTGAAAGTGGACAAGCTTTGGTTGATTTAAAGAAGAGAAATTAAACAACTGAACATCTAGAAATCTATTGACTCGGACAATGGAACAAGAAATGGAGGAGTTCATTTTGATTTGGGACCGATTACAATTGACAACTATGATGAAGTTGATGATGTTAAGGTAAGGGGAAGGAAAATTCACGAAGATTTTTGTTTTAGCCAATTGAAAGAAAAGAATCCATCAGTCACCGAACGTCACTTTCTCCGGAATCGAGTGACTTCATCAATGAGAACGATGTGGATAAATTATTTGAACATCAAACGGAGATGCTTATCGATTATCTCTTTCAAAGAGCCGGATTGAATAACCAAAGGTAACAATAATACCGTAAACTGAATATTTTAAATTTTACAAGTTCTATTGACCGAATATTTTAAGATCACAAAACTTTCCAAAAAATCAATCACATAAAGTTTTAAAAACAATTTTTAGATGGAGAGACATTTTGCTGAGGAAAGCCAAGTCGATAGCGTCAAAAGTGGTCGTTGATGTGTTCAATCGAAAGGATAACATGAATATTCTTCAATATGTTCACGTGAAAACGTTGCATGTTGATGAGACACCAAATGCTGAGGTGAATAAAAAGGATTTATCACTTATCACAATACAAGAATTGTAGTTGATTTGGGGCATCGCTTGCACGAAATCAGTCACTCACTCGTCGATGTGCGGGGAACTACCGAATGCGTCGGTGATGTTGATGAGTGGATCGATCGAGTACGAGAGAGTCACCGGGAAATTGAGCAATTTGGAACCGATCATCAATCAAGAGACCGAGTATTTGTCGAAACAGGTAAGGGAAATGGAGCATTGTGAAACATTTGAGACGCGCCCCGCTCCCTTTTGCCATTGGCAATCCGACTTTGAGCTCAAATATCTTAGTGTTGGGCTGTCCAATTTAAATAGTTTTTCTACCAATCGACACCTGGTGCATTTAATGATATCAAGAGTATTTAAATTGGACAACCCAACACCAAGATATTTGAGCTCAAAGTTAGACTGCCAATGGGAAAAGGGGCGTGGCGCGTATCAAATGTCCGATAACCGAAATGGAGAGTTAAAAGTACCAGAAAATCTAGCTACGGTAAATAGTAGATTTATTTACTGTAGTCATTTACTAACGTTTATTGTGCATTCAGTTTTGGATAATCAAAGTAGCAAATGCAAATCCTCAGGTCGAACGTATCCTCGCACGTCGCCCATCCCTTCTTTTAGTTGAGAACAATGTCTCAAAAGTGGCCGCCGAACTACTCCGTGTGTCCGGTGTTCGATTGGGTAAATGAACGGTTCAAAATTTAATAGAATAGATTCAGTAACTGGTGTGAAAAAGGAGGTTTTACAAAGAATCGGACGAGCCACTGGAGCAGATTTGATCCCCAGCGGAGAGGCACAATTGATACAGCAAAATCAGGTTGGGGTTTTTCAAAGTGTATGCTCAAAAATCAGCTTCAGAATGTCGGTTTTTGTCCGTATTTTGATCAACGAGGGATACGTATGAGAAATGGGGAGATAAAACATATTTTGGTAACTGGATAAAAAAGGAATTTGGGAAAAAAATATATTTTAGATTTTCGATCAATGTTCTCCGGATCGTGGTTGTTCTGTATTACTTCGTGGGAATTCTTTTTCGGAGTTGAAAGCGGTGAAGAAAATTCTGAAGTTTTTAGTCCAAAATCTCTACTCATCGAAATTGGAGAAAGCTTTTCTAGGTAAAAAATTAAAAACTGTTTGGATAACTTCAAAATTTTAGCTATGCACGATTGTAAACTTGCCTATACTCTGTCGAATTGTAAAGCCTGTGAACCAAGAAGAGAAAATATCGAATCAGAAGAGACTGGGGTGAGGGGAATTTGGAAAATCTTTGAAAAAAATAAAATTTAGAATGGTTTTCTTTCGAAATTGCGTGAAAGTGTGCTCTCGTCGTCTCCATATATCGAATTTGAACCTCCATTTCTTGAGACGCCAAAGGGAAAAGCTTGCTCATTGTTACCGTATTTCAAACAACCGCTATATCAATTCACAACAATGGCGAATGATCAAATTTTGGATCAAAAAGAACAGGAAATGGTAGAATTTTATGGAAATTTTGAAATATGAAATGTTTCAGGTAAGAATCCCGAGTTCACCGTGTTCGCATCTTGGAGCGCCGATTAAGGTGAGTGAAATGGTTATGAACAAAAGTTTTTTTTGCTTAAAAATATGGTAAAATGCAATATTTTGTGTAATTATAGCATACCTGACAAAAATATTCAACTGAGGAACTTGAAATCGCATCAAAAGCTATTCAGCACTGACTTTGATTGCTCTTCTTTCTATAGCACAGGCTAATGGAGCTTTTCAGTGCTAAAAACGTGATTAATAGCTCATCCAAATACCAAAAGTACTAAAATATTTTTTTGAATTCATTTAGACAATTCACTAAAGCATTAAAATTATTCAGGGTGACACGGTGTACACATCAGAATCGATAACATCGTTCCGATCGATTGCCGGCATGCTCTTCAAGAAGCGGTTGGAAAAACGGGCAAAAGAAATGAAAATACAGAAAACAAACAATGAAAAGGTAACAGGATATCGGGATTGTTTAAAAATGAATATTTTGGTAATTCAGCTAAGCTCGGCGATCAACTCGAAAGAAGATGTTCTTGATCCATTTGTTCATCAAAGGGTCGCGATTTTGTTTGGTTTGTTTGAGAAACTACAAATAGCTAATAAGATATGTCTAGATTTAAAACTGAAATCTTATTCTAGGTTCCTATTCTCCGAAAAGCCCGAACGCTCCAATGTTATGCGTTCGACCGTGGGTGGTCAATATGCAATTCTATGCTTCAAATGATATGACTTTAGGAGAATTCTTGACAAAGTGAGTAAAGATATTCTATGAATAACTTGTTTTCTTAAGATTTTGTTTCAATAAGGACTATCAATGTCCATCAACGAACTGTGAGCTGTCAATGATGGAACACTCGAGGAAAATGGTTTATGGGAGAGTTTGTGTTGAGGTGAGTAATTTTAGATACAGTAAGCTGGGATCCTACTAGTATTATAGAATTCTAGGCTTAGACTTGAAACTGGAAAAGCTACAATAATTCTAAACTTCTGTAGGTTACTCTAGAAGATAAAGATTAGATTAGTACTAGCACAAGTGGGTTTAAGGCTTCTAGCGGCTTTTAACTTCATTTCCAATAGCTTTTTAGGTAACAACAAGCCAACTCCAACACGGTCTTCCCGTCGAAAACGATGTACAATCGAATGATCAAAAACGTATCTCATCGTATCATTATTGTGAGGAATGCCGAGCGTCATCACCAATCGTTTTCATGGATGTCAATACATGGCATCTATCGTTTGCTCGATTTCTCGATTACATCGCGAACGCTTCATTTAGTCAAGGTTAGTGTCAAGCTTAAACCAAAAACGATAAAATTGAATTCAGAGAACATTTAGAAATAAAAATTAAGCCGATACAAATTTATTGTTCTTAGCTGAATTCTCTTAAAGATGACTCAAGCACACGCAAATTGTTCAGGCTCAATCACCTCTCCGAATGGCCAACCATGCCTTCATTGCTATTTTCATCAACAATCTCATTTCTTCGCTTTCAACAATTACATCACTTGTTTCAAAGTGTCAACGGTAAATTCTCACGATGATACTTGAAATCAATTCCCATTCAGATTCAACCCTATCACGTGCAATTCTCACCCGTTGTCTGTAACATTCAACCGTCGCAAATTGCTATAAAATCTTTAGAAGATTTAATTGAACGGTAATGAAAACTTTAAAATAAATATCAAAAATTCTTCCAGAACTCGTGCTTTGTCAAAATCGATTTTCGCGCAAGCTACGGAGAGATTAACAACATTTTCCCAAAATGAATATTCAATGCAGTTGGCTTCACAATTTCACACGACTCTTCGACAATTGATCGAATCGACGAAAAACACTATGACGTTGGTTTGCTTAAATTTTTAAAGTATATCAGAATTTAGAGATTTAATTGAAAGTGTCGATGTTGAGAATTTGGGCGAAGAGGCGGTGGCGTCGAATTCGATTAAAGCGATAAAAGTTGGTTAAAGTTGGTTGAACTGTAAAAATTGTCTTTTTTTAGGTAAACGATATGTTGATTCACGTGAGAGCTGAATTATTTCAAATGATTCAAATGTGGAATGAGCAATGTTCGGTGTTGGGAGCGAGTGTGAGGGCGATGAAAAGAGGAGAGGACGGAGGAGGGAATGAGGTGGGAATTTAATTCATTCGGAGGCATTAATCCAACGCCAATAATCCTCTAAACGTACTTTCGGTCATAATTTTCATCGACTTATCCATCAACTAAATACAAAACATACTTAGGATCATAACATTTCATAAACTGATCCAATCTGCATGACTTTGGTGTCATTCGACGTAAAATTTTCAAGTAAATGAGACAAAAAACGTGCAGATTGGACTATTGACAGGGGGTCAATGATGGTCAGTGATCAATAAAGATTTAAACATTTAGGCTTTTCTTTCAAAACTTCAAGTTCCGATTGTTTATTTGCATTCATCATTTCAGATTCCCGAAGTGTCGATCGAACGCTTGGAGGATCCATTCCCGTCTTGTTATCACCTTACTCTTCCCCTTCATCCCCGTTTACCGATTGTTGTTAGGGATATTCAGGTAAAGATTTACTATAAAATCGATTTCTTGTTTCCATTTCAGGACTCAACTGGCGCCTTTAAGCCGGATATTGGATCGATTATCGCCTATGCATTGGGCTCTAAAGATTATGAGGTAAGGAGTTTAAAAATTAAACTTTACAGAATTACTTTATGACAATCTAGTCTGATCAACTCGATGAAGAAGTAAATTTTACGTTGGGAAGCTTTGATATTTTCTTGGGTTTCTGTTCTCTTTGGGTTCTTTGGGGGCAACTTTCTCAACTTTCTTTTCTTCTTTGAAGCAAAGTTTTCAGGAAGGTCGAACGAAATCTCGCGAGACAATGGGTGAGGACAACATCCCGCTAAATCTCTCAGCAAAATCGATGGCTGATGGAGAAGAAGCGAATCGAGGAGAACATGTTGAAGTTGAATTCCAAGACAGTCATGCGAGTTTTTATGTGAAGGTATGTAACAGGAGAAAGGGTTGAAGATTCAATTTAAATTAAGGCCTATTACGCTGAGCGTTTCCGTTTACTGAGAAAGTTGTTGTTCCCGAGTGGCGATGAGGCATTCATTCGATCATTGAGTACGGCAATTTTTTGGACACCACAAGGAGGAAAGAGTGGAGCTTTCTTCTATCGGACACAGGTAAAACCTGGAAATCTAATGATTCTAATGAAAGTTGGAATCTTTGGCTATCTAGTGAAAAATCTAGATGAATCTAATGAAATTTTAGGATCAACGCTTTGTAATCAAGCAAATGTCGAAATTTGAAGTGCAATCATTTGTGAAATTCGCTCCTCGATATTTCGAATACATCAAAACGGCGGCTACGGAAAAGAAATTGACAACGCTGTGCAAGGTGAGTTGAAAATTGTTTGAAGAATATTGTTGAACTTTGAAGAATTTTAGGTTTATGGTGTCTTTCGAGTTGGCTACAAGCATAAATTGAGTGGAATGCAGATAAAAGTTGACGTGTTAGTGATGGAGTATCTTTTCTATAAAAGAAATGTGAGCAAAGTGTGGGATTTGAAGGGATCGTTGAGGAATCGGTGAGTTGGTGGGAAAAGAAATGAAATGATTGGAGAATTCAGATTGGCAAATACTGGCAAAAGCTCTTCCGATCTCGTGTTGATGGATGAGAATTTCATCAAGGATTTGTGGAATTCCCAGCTCTATGTTTTCCCGCACAGCAAAGCGGCTCTCAATCAGGCGATTTCGAATGATTCTCATTTTCTCTCGGCACAGGTTTGCTTCAGAATTGAAATCTAATGCAAAAGCATTTGCAAATCAATTTTTAATCTTTTTCAGCACGTTATGGATTACTCATTGCTGGTGGGTGTCGATGAATCGAATGGGGAATTGATTCTTGGAATTGGTGGGAAGAAAAAGCCATATATGTGGGGGAAAAAACCAATAACCCAGTCGGCGGGATTGAATCCTGGACCTCCCGACTAAGATATAAGGCTCTTAGCCAGTCGGTCATAGCGATAGATAGGCTCTGTTAGATATATATAGAGAAGCTCCTGATCTCACCCTTGTCTGCCCCAAAATTTCCATCTTTACCAAGATATTACCATCAATTTACTCCATTTCAGTTGACTACATGCGCACCTACACCCTGGACAAGAAATTCGAGAGTTGGGTGAAGATCGTCACTGTCCCGGGAGCCCATCTCCCAACCGTAATCTCTCCTCAAATGTATTGTACCCGTTTCTCTGAGGCCATTGATACTTATTTCCCCGTTGTACCTGATCAATGGACTGGTTTAGGATCAACGATGAGTTATTGACTTTAATTAAGCTTCTAGGTGCATTATCTGTGATTATTATTCTCTTATCCAAAAATCTTTCTCTGTGATATTGATTGTGATCTTTGGGTGCCTTAATTTATTCAAAAATTTCTTCTCATCGTACCACTTTTTTCCTTTGCTCAGACATGTGCCCAAATACTGTATCTGGTTAGATAAATGTTTAGACTTCGGGTGCTTTTTTTAAATAAAATTTCATCTACAAATGGTAATGAAGACACGAAAAATCGATTCTACTCAAATGTAAATTTGATCTCAAAAGCAAAGCCAACAATCAAGTCTAAAAATAAACTTTCATTAACACATTGACGATCGCGCATCTTTTGCGAAACGGCCGATTTGAACCAAGATCAAAATAAATAAACAAATCACAGAAATTAGCACATGAGAACTTAAAAGACTCTAGAATCCGAATCCGGCTTTAAATTTAAATTAAATAGACCAACAAACTCAAAAGACAAACGAAAAGAACACACAAAACTTCCTTTACAAAACCCTTTTTAGGAAATTCAAGAAAACGAATTTTTCAAACCTTTTTTGAGTTCTAACACTTGATGTTTGTAGCTACTCCATTAAAGTATCTCAAACTATTAGAAAATATTTTTTTGCAAAACGTTCTCGCTCCATCAACCATCAACCCCTCTATTGGAGCCTCAGATTGGCCTCCCGCGCCTTAGACCAATCGGCCATGGGATTCGAGGTAACACCTAGTTTTTCCGCCTTTTTACGAAAAATCACACAACTTCCTAACAAAACTAACGTCGGATTTGGAAAGAGAATCCAAAATTACATACTCTTGCAAATTTTTAGCTCATTTGGTCTAGCCATTCAAGAGAAACAGCCGTGAGTTAGCCTCAGTTTCATTAATTGATTCATAGGGATTTGAAAGGCCTCTTTAACTCATCTAACTTAGCGGAACTTAACGTTTAACTTTATCTAACTTTGACCAGATCTGAACTCTGGATTAATCTCCATTTTAGACATCAATTGAACAGATTTCTTTGAACTTTATCAGCTCTAGAGCAAGTACACTTCGGCAAAACCAGTACCCGACATCACCCTCATAAATCACAGCTCTCAATCTCTCTAGTTTGTGATTTTTCTTTCATTTCTTCATTTCTTGCATTTCTTGCATTTTTTTCTTCATTTCATGACCCCCAAAAATGGATTGATATGCTCTTTTTTCAATGTCTCTTTTAGGAAATGGAGTCATTCGTTTTCAAGACTTTCTAAAGGTTCAATCATTTTATCTCTTTTTTTCTGATTGTTTAAGAATTCCCTTATAGTAAGATTTGTTTATTCTTTTCAGCGATGAATGTCGATGACTCAATTGTCGAAACGTTGATCACGTGGAAGATGGTAGAAGAGGACATTCAACGAAAATACGACACAAAAGCCAGCACTGGACCTCGTAGAACGGCGACTCATCTAGGAGATGCAAATGTGAGTGTTTTTGTATAAGGATTCAGTACAAGACTTCACTCATTCAGGGCTACATTTCTAAATGTGCTTTGATCAAATTTGATTGGACGGAAGATCGAGAAAAACTTCCGAAACAAGGAATCATGAAGATCACATCGTGTGAGAGATTTCAGCTATTAACAGACAAGATTGGAGCCTACGACAATGTGATTGATCAGGCGGCTTTAGTGAGTTTTGTGCATTAACAACAGTTGATATGTTGCAAGAAACTTTTTACAATTGGATATGGATCTAAAAGCGGGTCTAGAGCAACTCGCTTATAGTTAGATGTCGATTTAATGAATAGAGTGTTTGCACTCACGAGTAATGCGTTTTTTTAGAAGACTGGCCTTGGTCGACAAAAATCCCATGGATCAGCCGGAAGCTGATCTAAAATTAGCTTTAGCCTTGATTTTAGCCAGACTCTGGTCTGATCTGGCATAGAAAATACATAAAAGAGCTATCTACTATACAATCTACTATACATAAAAGAGCAGTGTTTGTCTGTCTGTTTGCACGGGCATTTCATCAGCCGTCTCTTGACCAATAAACCTAAAACTTGTTTAGAAAACGTTAGAAAACATTGTAATTATGGTATTTGTAATAAAAATTTAAAAGTTTAAGACTGAGTGAGACTTAGAGTGCATTAACAACAGTTGATATGTTGCAAGAAACTTTTTACAATTGGATATGGATCTAAAAGCGAGTCTAGAGCAACTCGCTTATAGTTAGATGTCGATTTAATGAATAGAGTGTTTGCACTCACGAGTAATGCGATATTCAATTTACTCGACGTGTAAAGAGGATTCACTCGTAGTTACTCGACCAAAAAACGTCGATTAATCGAGTAAAAATTACTCGTGCAAATTTTAAACTTTTTACAATTGGATATGGATCTAAAAGCGGGTCTAGAGCAACTCGCTTATAGTTAGATGTCGATTTAATGAATAGAGCGTTTTCCTCACGAGTAATTCGTTTTTTAAAACGCGCACTTAGGAAAAATTACCGTACTTTTAGTTTGCAAATTATTGCAAAAAAATTGGCGCAAGAATCACTAGCGACGCGTTATATAAGACTTTTTTAAAGATATTCAGCTGTTTAACTGATTTGGTGGCAAATTCCCTTCAAATGTAAAGATATTCAATTTACTCGACGTGTAAAGAGGACTACTCGTAGTTATTAATCGTCGATTCGTCCAAAAACGTCGATTAATCAAGTAAAAAAGTTACTCATGCAAATTTTACTCGCGAGGAACACATTCTAGTAATGAAAACTATTTGGTACATCTGGTAAATGATGATCTCATTTGTCTCTTGATTCTGATTCTTGTCTCAACATTAGATGATCATCTTATCAACCCAAATACATACATTAGAGTTGGGAAAATGAGTAGCAAATTCAGTACAAGAGTTCACTTATTCAGGGCTATATTTCTAAATGTGCTTTGATCACATTTGATTGGACGGAAGATGGGGAAAAACTTCCGAAACAAGGAATCATGAAGATCACATCGTGTCTCTTGTTTCTGATTCTTGTCCTAACATTAGATGCTCACCAATTACATACATTAGAGTTGGAAAAATGAGTAGCAAATTCGGTTTTTATTACCTTGTTTTCTAAGAAAAGATTTCAATGCACATAAATCAGTCGTTTTTTATTTTCTTTTCAGTTCAATGACTGCGAGGTGAACTTTTACGAAACCTGGTCCTCTCTTGAAGTAGTCCCAGAAATTCCCGTACCAAAATACATTTGTGGAAGACTTTTTGGAGTGAATGGACTGGAAGCTGGTTGGTGGATGAGGAAGAAGCTTTTCATAAATAGATTTAGGGTATTGCATTCTCGAGAAATTAGAGAATTTCCACAACCTGCATATCTACCATAATTTGAGTGAAAAGGCGGCTCTTGATGGGATAAAATCTATCGCAAAGCTTACTTCGTATTGTAAGAAATGGGTTTTTAGTGAATCAATTTTTGATTTTAGCAATTAAATACCCAAAGAATGCTCGAAAGTTGGGAGAAACGGATGCTTTTGATGTTCATTTTAGAGATTTCACAAAGATTGAGGTTGGTAAGAGAATTTAAAGTTAAGGAAAACAGTGAAAAAGCTCTTTAGAAAGTCGAGAAAGGATTTGAATGTGTGTTGAGTCGATTCGCGGATAAAGAACATGAGATAAAGAAGATTAAAACTATTTTACCGATCTTTAAAGACATCGATACTTTCAGAGAGACAATGACAAAGAATGGTAGAGTCAAATTAGAAAGAAAGAAAAGGGGAATGCTATTCATTTTAGTGAAAATCCCGCTTATCGTTCATGGAGATGCTTGGCCTGGGAATTTTGTTTGGACAAAAAGTTTAAATGGAGAATTTTCAGTGAAAGCGCTTCTCGATTGGCAAGTGAATAGTTTGAATTTTGTTCTTTATTTTATCTTAAAGATTTTTAGCTTCTTCATTTGGGAAATCCATGTGAAGATGTTGTGAGATTTCTTGCTAAAGGATTGAGTGGAAAGGAGTATCGTCAAAGGTTTGATTTGTATTTCATTTTTACAATAAAAATGATTGAATCTACAGTACTGAACAATGAAATATGATATTTGAAAAAACGATCGTCACTTTCGCGCGTCTGTAACTCCATTGTCTTTAAGTTTAAACAATTAGTGTTATACATTTTCTGAAAGCTCTTTTCAAGGGCTACACAATAGTAATATTAATATTTAGAAATACGGTAAAGACAAGGGAGTTACAGAGCGCGAAAGTGACGATCGTTTTTTCAAGTATGATATTTCATTGTCCAGTAGTATGATATTTCATTGTCCACTAAAATTCCCTTTTCTTTCTTTCAATTTGACTCTACCATTCTTTGTCATTGTCTTTTAGAGATTTCACAAAGATTGGGATTGGTAAGCGAATTTAAATTCAAGTAAATCAATCAAAAAGCTCTTTAGAAAGCTTCTCTGAAAGTATCGATGTCTTTAAAGATCGGCAAAATAGCTTTTAACTTCTTAATTTCATGTTCTTTATCCGCGAATCGACTCAGCACACATTCAAATCCTTTCTCGACTTTCTAAAGAGCTTTTTTGATTGTTTTACTTGACTTTAAATTCTCTTACCAACCTCAATCTTTGTGAAATCTCTAAAATGAACATCAAAAGCATCCATTTCTCCCAACTTTCGAGGATTCTTTGGGTATTTAATTGCTAAAATCAAAATTTGATTCACTAAAAACCCATTTTTACAATACGAAGTAAGCTTTGCGATAGCTTTTATCCCATCTTTGTGAAATCTCTAAAATGAATATCAAAAGCATTTCTCTCAACCAATAGATCCAATCAACTCCTGTTGACTAATTTGTAAATAGAATTTTAGACGAGATTTCTATTTGCGAGCTTTTTACGATGATTTATTGAAAGATGTTGAGCCAATTCAATTACCATGGCCGACTCTAGAAGAGGTATTTGAACATGTTTTCAATTTCCTAAAGTTAAACTTTAGTTTATCGATGAGTACGAAAGAATTTATCCATTAATCTTCACCGTTTGGCTTCCACCATTCTTACGTTTAGTTTCTGAGGAGCAAATAAAAGGAGATGGTTTGGCAAGGAATTCATTTCATTAATTAGAGAAATCAATGAAATACAGATTTGATTTATAGAATAATCTTCGGATTAACTTGTAAATTTGCATTTAAAAATTGTTAACCTTTGTCTTTGTCTGCAAAATTTCTTTCTGCAAAGCAAAGCAAAGTTTCTGCAAAGCAAAAGTTCACTCTTTTTTTCTTTCTAATTGTTTATTCGTTTTTTTCATTTATTTATAATATTGACTTTACTTTATTAAGTTATTTGAAAGTAATTCCAAGAGGTAAAGGACAGATTGGAGGGTATAAAAGAGTAATTTTGAAATTGCTTGACTTCTAAATTGACTTTTGCAGACAAAGACAAAGGTTAACAATTTCTAAGAGCTAGCAGCCCACAGTTAGCAGCTTCTAAATGAAAATGTATAGAAAAGTTTAATAAAAAGCTGAATTTCATAGTTGAAACTAGGGTAGATCAAAATTGGCTTACTGGCTTACTGGGCAGGCTTACTGGGCAGGCTTACTGGGCAGGCTTACTGGGCAGGCTTACTGGGCAGGCTTACTGGGCAGGCTTACTGGGCAGGCTTACTGGGCAGGCTTACTGGGCAGGCTTACTGGGCAGGCTTACTGGGCAGGCTTACTGGGCAGGCTTACTGGGCAGGCTTACTGGGCAGGCTTACTGGGCAGGCTTACTGGGCAGGCTTACTGGGCAGGCTTACTGGGCAGGCTTACTGGGCAGGCTTACTGGGCAGGCTTACTGGGCAGGCTTACTGGGCAGGCTTACTGGGCAGGCTTACTGGGCAACTGTGCTAACCATTACACCACAACGCACTCTCCTTTACTCCAGAAAGACATAAGTTCATTGATTTCTCTCAAAAATCGCTATAATTAGTTGAAGTAGTGGATTTCTTTTGAAAATATTTTTTGATCTAGGACCTGATGCACTAAAACGATTGGAAAACTTCAACGAGAAATTTCGCGGAATGGTTGATGAAGCTGTGAGATGTATTCAGCATCGATATCAAGCAATGAAATTCGATTGATTTTTTAGAAGAAATTCCTTTACATTGAGACATTTTTGAAACTCGTATACCTTAAAAAGATAAAAATAAACGTTTTTCTCGTTGCCCGAACGATTTTCCGCTGATTTTTCTCTTTTCGGTCAGGAAAGTGAGAGCTTTTTCGTTATCTGAAGCTTTAATTTCTTTAATTTCTTTTCCTTTAAATCTAGAGTTGGACACGAGGGTAATTTTATACAAAATCTTCAAAATTTAAAGTAAGACCAAAATATCGTCGGTGCTGGGATAGAACCCGGAACCTTTCGCTTACTAGGCGGACGCTCTACCAATGAGCTACAAGAAAACATGCCCGATGACGGCCTGAGCCAGCCTTATACCTTACTCTTGTATGATTTGGGGGGGCAGTGGCTACTTTGCGCGAAATCTTTTTGCGCAACTGGGTCTTTTGGCAGCTCGCCATAACTTTCCTCTAAGTCAGCTAATCTTTATGATTTTGGTTTCATTTTGTAGATCTCAATAAGTGCAACAAAATGACATCAAAATCATAAAGATTGACCGACTTAGAAGAAAGTTATGGCCAAAGAAGTTATGACAAAACATGGCCGGTGCTGGGATTCGAGCCCGGGACCTTTGGCTTACCAGGCGAACGCTACAACGACATGTGTTCGATGTTGAGATCATGTTGAGATCTACAAAATGAAACCAAAATCATAAAGATTCGTTCACCTAGAAGAAAGTTATGGCGAGTTGCGCCAAAAAAATTTGCCGCAAAGTAGTGACCGCCATGATTTGGTGTTCTTTCATATGCAATTGTTATTTCCATTTGCAATCTTTATCATCTAGACAAACACTTTACAATTGAGCTTTTCTGGCAAAAAATTCTTCTGGGATCACAAAAGAAAAAAAAAAATGTTCAAGAAAGAAAATCTTTTTCAGAGAAATGAACTAATAAAAAAACATTTTAGGAATGTAATATATGGCAATTGTAGGACTAATTTTAAGATTTAAAAAGAAAGAAATAAACTAATTTTTGAATTTGAAATTTAAAGTGAGAGTTAAGGCAAATGAAATAGAATTTTAAGTAAAAAAAAGAAAGTTTAGGGTTTACAGGAAATAGTTTAAAAATAAAAGGTTTAAATAAAAAAATTTTGTGATTTGTCAGAAAATTGATAGATTTAGACAGGAAATCATGAGTTTTTGAAGAATTTAGGCGTTTTTTTTTTGTTGTTGTTAGATGATTTTAAAGCGAGGGATTTTCATGGAAATTTGAAGAGATTACATACCGTAAATACTGTAATAGTACCCCACCCCGATAATGACCGTGCGGAGCGTTGCGTAGTCTAGCTTTGAACGAGTTTTTCTCGACACTGGTTTATGCTACAATGCTCGCTTAGGTATCAAAAAATAGCTGAAATTCAGGGCTATTTTTTGATGCCAAAGATAATGTCGGTGCGGAGCGTTGCGTAGTCTAGCTTTGAACGAGTTTTTCTCAACACTGGTTTATTCTACAACGCGCGCTTAGGTATCAAAAAATAGCCCTGAATTTCAGCTATTTTTTTGATACCAAAGACGCATTTTTTGAAAGTACGGGTGCTTTGAAAAAAATGAAATACTAAAAAAACTTTTGCGACTACGCGACTGTACGAGGGAGGGCGGGGTACTATTACAGTATTTACGGTAAGTTTATAAAAAAAGGATACTTATTTAATAACAGAGTACTACAATGCTTGTTTTTTAGTTCATTTCAAGTTGAGTTTGAGTATTCGAGATTCATTTAAGAGCACATGCTAAAAAGAAATCAAGACGCATTTTTTTTGAAAGTACGGGCGCTTTGAAAAAAATGAAATAAATGAAAACTTACGCTTATAGGGTACTACTTAGCGACTAGCGATAGATGGGCCCTTTCTTAGCGACTTAGCGATAGATGGGCCCTTTCTTAGCGACTACGCGATTGATGGGCTCTTTCTTAGCGACTTAGCGACTACGCGACTGTACGAGGGAGGGTGGGGTACTATTTTACAGTATTTACGGTAGGTAAAATTGATAAAATCACATTTTGTACAAGTTTTTTTTATTTTCTTATTTCAATACCGGATTTATTTTTTTGGAGTACACGTGTTGATTGGGGGAAAGCTAATAATGATGTGGATAGATGAGATAAATGCTAGAATAAAGACAAAAAACTCGATCATCTCAATTTCATCTCAATTTCGTCAATTTCAATGATCTTTGAGGTTACTTGAGACGAAATCGAGTCAAAATTAAGTATCAAAATCTACAGAATCACATCAGAATCAAATTTTTTATTCTTTGGTGGAAGGAGACCAAAGAAACGTCGTTTGCCTCTTTTTTGTTCTTTCATTGTCGTTGTTGATGAACCTTTCTCGACATCGGCTTCTCCACTACGAGAACTATTTGAGCGATGAACACGAGAAGAAGATTTCATTGAGGATGAAGCACTGAAAAACAAATTTCAATTGAAAGTTCAATGAAATAATGTTTAAAATTGTTTAAAATTGTTTAAAACAGCTTTAAAACAGTTTACAAAACCTATCAAATCATTGAATTTAAGTCTTAAATTGTGCTAACATTGTGGAAATCACATTTCAATGTGATTCACGATCACGAAACACATGTTTTTAGCCTTAGGTTTCTGCACGAAAAACTGACGAAACGTGAAAACAGCCATTTTTTGGCCCTTTGAAAACAGCCCTTTACTAAAATAATTGTAAAAACTTTTAGAAAAGAGATATCTCAAAACGGTTTTTACCAATCGATCCGTCTTGAATTCAGCTTTAGAATGAGCTATAAAACGTCAAAATTCAACAAATTTAAGGTACTCTCGAAAAAAACCAAAAAATCGAAAATGACTTTTCCATCAACCCAATATTTAACAACTTACGGATGATCATGATGCTCCGGTTGATCGGCTGCAGTCATTTGTTTCATTGTGTCCATTAATGCCCGAATATGGAATGGATCGGGTTCTGAAGGGATCATTCCATCTAAACGATCCCTTTCAAAAAGCCCTGGATTTGTGCTATTCGCAGCGATCTCTTGTGCAGCTTCCTCCGTCATTAACACAATCTCATCCGGATCTTCTAAAATAGAATATAGAGAATGTTAATGACGAATATTAAAGTGCCGATTGCTTAGAAGGCCGATTGCTTAGAAGGCCGATTGCTTAGAAGGCCGATTGCTTAGAAGGTCGATTGCTTAGAAGGCCGATTGCTTAGTAGGCCGATTGCTTAGTAGGCCGATTGCTTAGTAGGCCGATTGCTTAGTAGGCCGATTGCTTAGAAGGCCGATTGCTTAGAAGGCCGATTGCTTAGAAGTCTATCCTAGTCAGGAGGTTACGGGTTCGATCTCAGCTAGAAGATTTGACTCTTTTTCCCTACATTGGTTTTTCTCTGCAACATCTTTAGGGCAGTAGAGGTTTATGTTGAGTTATGTATTTTGTTACAATATTTTGTCACAAGCTTTATGTTGAATAAATGTATACTTTAAAACACAATTACGCAAATGAAACCTACCATGGACAGAAACGAAGTTGACTCCTTGTCTCGAACCGGCACTCATCCTTTTCCCGGCTTTAATTCTTTCTTGATTTTGAGTAGATGAACACGGCTCTTCGACAAGTGATCTTAAAGTTTTTTTTTTTGCATAAATAACGATTACTATTTGACTCACTTTGTAGAGCATGGCCTTTCTTCATCTCGTGTCTCATGTGAAGCTCTCTCAAGAACTTCAGCTCGATACATTGCATGACGAGAGGCTCCCATTGATCCAGACAATGATTTAGTGTCATGAACTGATCCAGCAAGAGCCTTTGTACTTGCTACATCTTCTGAATATGAGAGAGCTTCTTGTCCAGATGAGTAAACGGTGTGAACGCTCTGAAATGGGATTAGATGAACATTTTATACAGATAATGCCTTAACACTCGTCATATTTGGTTTATTATAGTTTTTCATGACGTAGAACTCAATAGCTGGGTATTTCCTCTTTCTTCTGTCACAATGAGAGACCCAATGGCTCAGTGGTTACTCTAGAAAGTCTACCCTAGTAAGCGAATAGGTTGAGGGTTTAATCCCTCTCTAAAAATCTTTCTTTACCTTGTCATCATAATGATATTGACTTCCTTGCATTGCTTTTGTGCTTGCCTCCTCGTAATTGATTCGATCACCAAGAGAATTTTCACCTAACATATTTTACAGATTATTGAATGGGATTTCAAAAAAACAAACCACTTTCCACTGAATGTCTTCTTGCTCGAATCTCATTCTTTACAACCAATCTCGTTTGTCCTTGTGTTGTTTGCGAGAGTCCACTTTGCATTGAAAGAGCTGGCCCCAGTGATGTCCCGTCAACTCCTCGTTCACCTTCAGATAAAAGCTGTGATTTCTCGTTACCGTTTTCTAAAGGATTTTCACTGATAAAAGGGTTTTAACCTTTATAAACCTGCACCATTCCACAGCTCATCTTCATCAAGATTGTCTAAAGCGGCCACTGATTGAGCTTCCGTTAATCCACATCCACCATTTCGGCAAAGACTTAAGGGAACAACTCCATAGACGTAGGCTAACATAATCGGAACACCGACACCTAGATTTGAAGAAATATTGCTCAATTTCAGTTTTAAACTCACCAACAGCCATTACTGCCAGTACTGGGCTCACGACAAGCGATCCAGCCACACAAGCAGCTGTAATCAGACGTCGCTTAATCTTGGTTTGATGAGAAAATCGTTGGTGAACTTTTCTGAAAAGAAAATCTTCTATATTACTTATTCTAGAGTCAACAAATATCTAAAATAAGGAATTATTGACTAGAAAACTTTCATACGAACCTTCCAACAAAAACTGGGACTCCAAAGATGATTCCAGGAATCGAAAGCCCAGCGATGAGAGCGATTCCAACCGGTGCTCCAATCAGTGTCCCCAATTGCCACAATAGTTTCTTTTTCCTTGTCCATGGCTTCTTTCCCCAAAATGTACACCCAGTTGGACTGAAATTTCTCATTGTTTAATGGTAATCTTTAAATTCTTACCTTAAATAGTGCAAATCTGAGATCTCCTTCAGACATAACCAACAGAATTCAGCTGAACACATTGCACAAACCATGTGATTACAAGATCCATCATCCATTTTGACAATATAGGTACGGCAACGAGGACAGGCTTTGATATCACCGGCTAAATAAAATATAGATTTGCTATGCTTTGAACAAAAGAATCTTTATCTTATGACTCTTTGAACAAATTAATCTTTATCTTATGAATCTTTGAACAAATGAATCTTTATCTTACGAATGTTTAACAGAATGGATCTTTAGCTTACGAATTTTTAAACAAATGAATCTTTAGCTTACGAATCTTTAAACAAATGAATCGTTTAAAAAGAACAAACGAATCTTTATCTTACAAATGTTTAAACAAATGAATCTTTATCTTACGAATCTTTAAACAAACGAATCTTTAGCTTACGAATCTTTATCTTATAAATCTTTAAACAAATAAATCTTTTAAAACTTTTCACTCAGTCACTCACTTCTAGATTCAAATTCTTTCTTTACTCTTGAACTCACGTTTAAGTTGATATTGCAAATCTAAACTTCCAGAGGGAACACGTTGAGATCGAAAAACTGAAGGCGCTCGTTGTCTCCTTGCTTCATCGCACGTCTGATTCGCGTGCCAGACTCCCTAATTTTATAAAAAATAAAACCTTTAGCTTTACCACAAGCTCTATTCCTTAACTTTTAAACGAAACCCACTTTGCAATGATAACAAAATAGTGTGCCGCACTCTTGTCGAGCACATTTCAATTGGGGACAAGCAGCACAACCAGAAGCGATCACAGCATAGCCACAATCTGGAGCTGGGCAGAAACGGGTGTCAGCTTCAGTCATCAGATATCTGAAAAGGATTCTTTCTTATTCGTAATCTTTATCGATTACAAGAAAGCTCGAAAATCGAAAATCCAGTCTCGTTTAAACAAAAAAAAAACAGTTTTCACCTTGTTTTGTATTTCAATGTTATTTTAAAGATTTCTGCAATTGTATTTGCAATTAAGCTTCTTTCCTTTTCCTATTTTCTTTTAAAATCAACAAATGCATCAATTAAACTACGATTTATTTAATTAGATAAGATTAAAATGGGTTTAAAATTTCTTATGTCTACATTTTTTTTGGAATCAAAACGGGTAGTCAAAAAAAGCGATTGCTCGATGATGCGATGACACTTTAACTAAAGGAAATCTATTTTGATGTCAATTGATAAAAGATATAGATGAATTTTCAGAGAAATTCATTCAGCCACAATTTCTTTTATAGGTTTTTACGGAAAACACCGGGAAAGGGGGTGCACTACTATTAGAAAGCAAAAAGAATAGAGCAAGCAGCTTTGGCAGATTATGGTAACATCTGTGAGGTTCTCAGGCATTTAATTTCTAGATTACAATAGTTTTAGCTGAATCCAGTGATCGCCGAATCCCGTATTCTCTCTAATAGTGGTGCACCATGAGCGTTGCCTAAATTCCTCGAAATCTCGAGAACCGCTTATCAGAACCTATCGATGTGGGGTCGGAAAATGTAGCTGACGATGAGATCTTGACGATGATTAGAGTCTTGAGCTTCTGCAAAAGCTTGGAAACCGTAAAATAGTCACCAACTCGGCTCGCTGGGGTGCTGACGATGAGATCTTGTGGGGGATTTGAGTGTTGAGCTTTCGGGAAAACTTAGAAACTGTAAAATAGTCATCAACTCGGCTCGGGGGACTATTAGAGAGAATACGGTAGATATTTTTAAATCAAATAAAAGAAAAATCCTTTTTGACTCTTTTATACTCTTTTACAATGGAAACATCTTGAAAAATTGATTTTTTTTATAAAAAACAAACCCAGTTTGCTTTATTTACTAGATTTAGATTCGAAAACAGTTTACTTTCAACTCTAACATTTGTCATTTTCCCCATGAATTACCTTCTCAAGCTGAATTGTTCATATTTCTCGATGAGCGCACTTCGACTCCCAACGAGTTGAGCGATGTCTGATGGATGGAGATGAGCTGAGCATTCTGGGCATGACACTTCCACTCGATTCTCCATGATTTCCAATTCGACATACTAAATTGAGGAGTTGTTTATTGAAAAACTTAAGCTTCACTCACTTGCATCAAACAAAGTCGACAACTCCGATGCCCACATCCGATTAAACGAGGAAAATTCGCGATCGGTTGTTTCATATAGCAAAGAGGGCATTCTCGGAGCTAAAAGCTGATTTAATTTTCGATTTTAATGAGAATAGCTTTGAAAGAAAATAACTATAAATATAGAATTGCTAAAATTCTTCTTGAATTAAAGCTTCTTCTAATTAAATTGCTAACCTTCTTCTTGTCATCACTGTCATTCAACAAGGGATCTTCACTCGTTTCTCCATTCTCAATCTCTTGCTCGACATCAGCCATTTGATATCTGAAAAAAAGACAAAACGTTTCTATTTCCTAATTACTTTCAGAGTCAAAAACTGCAAAAACTATTGATTATCAGTTATCAGAAAAAAACCGACCTGCGATGGAAATTTGTGGAGAGTGAGTGAGAAGATAAGGAATGGGCACGAATTGGGGGATCTCTTTGATGAGAACAAGGTGGAAGAGTTGATGGGTGGGAGGGCAGGGAGGGGGAGGGCCTGCAATATAGGCATTCAACGGGTAAACTTCGTTCTTATTATCTTGATTATTACTTTATGATTATAGCTTAGTATAGCTAGTTTAGTTTTACGTATGATGGGAGGAGAGAGAGGGGCCTGGAATATAGAGATTCGAAGGTAAAGCCTACTCTTATCTTTATTGTTATAGCTTAGTATAGCTAGTTTAGTTGTACATGTTGTTAAACGTGAGCTGGCTATTGTTTAAATGTTTGATTTAGCTTCACTTTAAGAATCTACATCGAATTTCCTTTAAACTAAGTTATTATACAACTTTTTTCGTTTATTGCTAATTTATTTATAGTCATTTTAAGCAATTTTAAGCCATTTTACAGCTCTAACTTTGGATTATCATAAAAAAAAGTTCTACTAAACGAAATAAGCTCTTGTTTTATAATATAAAATTCATCTATTTTGCAGATCTGTTGTCTTAATTCAATAAAGAATATAAATAAAATTCAATAACGAATATAAAGTATAAGACTAACTTGTGATGATCCACCACCAACTGATGAGGATTGACTTGATGAAAGTGCACCACTGCACGGAGATCGCTTTCTGAACATTTCAATGTTGATAGAATCAAATTTGAAGAACTGATTGAAGAACAAGTTCAAAAAGTTAAACTAATCAAAAAAAGCTGTGTGAAAGCTTCTAGAATCAGTCAATTATGAAAGATCTGGACCCGAATTCTGCTAAATTTGAGTCAATTAATTTGGACCACTGCACGGAGATCGCTTTCTGAACATTTCAATGTTGATAAAAGCTAATTTGAAGAACTGGTTGAAGAACAAGTTCAAGAAGTTAAACTAATCAAGAAAATTATGTTAAAGCTTCTAGAATCAGTCAATTATGAAAGATCTGGACCCGAATTCTGCTAAATTTGAGTCAATTAATTTGGACCACTGCACGGAGATCGCTTTCTGTATATTCCAATGTTGATAGAAGCTAATTTGAAGAAGTTACAAGTTCAAGAAGTTATCAGTTAAACTATCAGTTAAAAAACAAAGTTAAACTAATCAAAAAAAGCTGTGTGAAAGCTTCTAGAATCAGTCAATTATCAATTAAGAAAGATCTGGACCCGAATTCTGCTAAATTTGAGTCAATTAACACAATAAATAATGCAATATGCAAGAAATTTGTTTCCTTAAGTTCAAAGAACAGTCATTCATCAAAAATAAGCAAAAATGAATAGCTTTTATTTTGATGATCGAAAAAACACGATCGGCAACACCGATTATCTGGTTGTGGGATCAATTTTTGAGAACTCTTTTTTTTTTCTTTTGCTCGAGATTTTTGAAAAGAGAAAAGAGAGGGGGAAAATTCGGCGATTAGTTGTCTTTTCTCTTTTCTCTTTTCTCTTTTCTCTTTTCCCAAAAACACCAGTCAATCAGTTTTTGTCAGAAAAACTCGAGACATTCGATTAGTTATCGTAAATCTTTTTAACGGTGATAAAAGGGATTTCAAATCAAGCATTTCTAGAAGATCAATGGAATTCTTTCAATGAAAAAGCTATCAAGACTGAAATGTTTTCTATTTTCTTATATCATATTTGAAATCTAGATTCTGTTGTTAAAAAAAACTATGAAACTAAGAGTATTTGAATCTTTAAAAGCTTTTAGACTTTTCATTTGATTGATTTAATTGATTTGAAGAAAGGAAAGAAAGGAAAGAAAGGAAAGAAAGAAAAGAAAGGAAAGAAAGGAAGGAAAGGAAGGAAAGAAAAGAAAGGAAAGAAAGAAAAGAAAGGAAGGAAAGGAAAGAAAGGAAGGAAAGGAAAGAGGAAGGAAAGGAAAGAAAGGAAAGAAGGAAGAGAGGAAGAAAGGAAGGGAAGGAAAGGGGGAAGAGGAGGAGGAAAGAAAGGAAAGAAAGGAAAGAGAGGAAAGAAAGGAAAGAAAGGAAGGAAAGGAAAGGAAGGAAGGAAAGGAAAGGAAGGAAGGAAAGGAAAGAAAGGAAGGAAAGAAAGGAAAGAAAGAAAGAAAAGAAAGAAAAGAAAGAAAGGAAAGGAAAGAAAGGAAACTTTTGATTTAATTGATTTATTCAAACTTTTGATTTCATTTGTTTAAACTTTTAACTTCATTAAACCATTTTTAAAATCTCTTTTAAACGGAGATTTTTTGAGTCTAAATGCTCAGTTTTAAATCAGTTTTTAAGTTAAACTAGTTTTAAGCTAAACTAGTCTATTTTAAGCCTTTCTCTTTAAGCAGATTTTAAGCTAAACTAGTCTAAGCTTTTCTTTGGTTTAAATTTTTAGCTTTTAATGTTCAAAAATAGAATTCAAATATGGAAAAACTGTAAGTAAAACTTTAAAGCTTTTATCAAAAGTGAAAAGGAAAAGGAAAAGTAAACAGTGTTTACCCGTAAAAAGAAGAAAGAAGGGAAGAAAGAAGGGAAGAAAGAAGGGAAGAAAGAAGGGAAGAAAGAAGGGAAGAAAGAAGGGAAGAAAGAAGGGAAGAAAGAAGGGAAGAAAGAAGGGAAGAAAGAAGGGAAGAAAGAAGGGAAGAAAGAAGAAAGAAAGAAAGAAAGCGATCGAATATATTGACAGGGAATGGATGGGTGAAGGAAAGGACTGATAAGGGACCCCATCTTTAGAATACTGTCATCAAAACTTTTCCCGTGTCTTTCAGAAATATTTTTGGTAAAAACAAGAAGGAAAAGGGAGAAAAAGCTTGAAATTAAGTAATCTTTAATAACTAAAACAATATTTATACCAAGAATCCCAACGATTTCCCTGTTTTGCTCAAAATTTCAACATTAAAACAATTGAAAGCTTTGGTTAAAGATTTTGAAATGTTCTGACTGTGTTTTCTAGTTTTCTATAGTTTTATCAACAGCTTAAATATCTGATTCTAGAAATTCTGCTCCATTTCTGAGTCATCAATTTCTGAAATATAGGGATTCGAAGGTAAAGCTTATTATTATCTTTATTGTTATGGCTTAGTATAGCTAGATTTACAGAGTTTTACATATGACGGGTGGAGAGAGAGGGCCTGAAATATAGGGATTGGAAGGTAAAGCTTATCCTTATCTTTACTATTATAGCTCAGTATAGCTAGATTAGTTTTACATATGATGGGAGGAGAGAGAGGGCCTGAAATATAGGGATTCGAAGGTAAAGCTTATCCTTATCTTTACTATTATAGCTCAGTCTAGCTAGATTAATTTTACATGTTGTTAAACGGTGCTTAAAGCTTAAATATCTGATTCTAGAAATTCTGCTCCATTTCTGATTCATCAATTTCTTTTATCAGCTGAAAGAGTTTCTCATAAAGGTTAAATTTCATGGAAAAGAAAGAAATTCGAGGAGATCCCAAAAAAGTCACTGATCTTAGCTGTTCATTGAATTTTACATTTAAAACTATTAAAACATTTGAAAAATCTGGCTAAAGCGGCTAAAGTCGGTTTTAAGCTAGGTTTTAAGCAGCTAAAACCGATTTTAAGCTAGGTTTTAAGCGGCTAAACCCTTTCAAAATAAATCAAAAGCTTTAAGCTCTATTGGTCTAAATGATTCTTAGCTATTCTTATCTGGTTCTTGATTCTTAGTAATTTTTAGCTCAAGCAAATCTATACATTCAATTCATGACTATTCAATGAAGCGTTTATGTTTTAAAAACTTTCAAAGAGTCTATTGGGATAGTTCGATTGTTTTTATTACTTTAGAAAATCTAGGGAAAGTTTGATAAAACGTTTTCCAATCTATTGAGATATCCAATTGAAAAGCTCGGATTTCTTGTAAAAGAAAAAGAGAACAGACAAGTTACCCATTTTTCCTTTTTCCTTCTCGAAAATTCATAAGCGTCGTCATGGGCCAATTTGAAGAGAAAAAGGAAGGAAAAGAGAAGGAAAAGAGAAGGAAAAGAGAAGTAGGTAATAGAAAAAACGATTAAGTAAGGAAATGATTTAGAAATTTTGAAGGAAATCGAAGAATTGAAGAGAATCGATGAATCTGACTGTATTTAGAAAGTAAAAAAGAAAAAGAATTTGAAGTTTTGAAGGAATTGGATTAAAATTCAGGAAATTTCAGGTTAAAGTATAGTTAAATCTCGTTTCTGTGTGAAAAGGAGAACGAATTCTTTGATAATTTTTGAAAGAAATTGAAAAGAAATTGAAAATCTAGTGAAAAAAGTTTAAGAAACTCATCGAATCCGATTGTTTAAAGCAAAAATTTTCTAAATGTTTGGACTATTATTGAAAGAGATTCGGGGGAATTATGAATGCTGTCTTTCATTCAAAATTTCATTTTAAACAAAAGAAAACTTTAAATCTAAACTCGAGTTTAGAAAAAGAATTTTTGATGTTTTAAAAGAACCGATTGAAATGAAAGGAAATTTCTTGAAAATCACCTAAATCTAAACCATTTTGATGTTAAAATGAAGTGAAAGAAAGGAAAGAAAGGAAAGGAAGGAAAGAAAGGAAGGAAGGAAAGAAAGGAAGGAGAGAAAGGAGAGAAAGGAAAGAAAGGAAAGAAAGGAAAGGAAGGAAACGAAGGAAAGAAAGGAAAGAAAGGAAAGAAAGGAAAGAAAGGAAGGAAGGAAAGAAAGGAAGGAGAGAAAGGAGAGAAAGGAAAGAAAGGAAAGAAAGGAAAGGAAGGAAACGAAGGAAAGAAAGGAAAGAAAGGAAAGAAAGGAAAGAAAGGAAAGAAAGGAAAGGAAGGAAAGGAAGGAAAGAAAGGAAATAAATCCGTGCAAAGAGATTCAGTACAAAGTAGTAAACACATGATCATTCAGGAAAAGATTTTAATGAAAAAAGTTAGAGAAAAGATTGATCACAAGAGATAGAGACAGTTATTGGAAGAGGTTGAGGAAAATTATGAGTGATGTCTGTCATTTTTCCAGTGAGAGATGAACGTTGAAAGACTAAGGGATCATTTGAACTGATTAGAAAAAGGGAAAGCTGTTGAACTTTGTTTGATCTGGAATGGATTCATAGAAGTTTTAACCTAAATTCTCAGGGTTAAGCCAAAACTACTTCCTTGAAAGCTCAAAGACTAAAGGAAAGGTGTGAGTAGAAATAAAGGCGACGCAATGTCTTTTCCATCTTTTCTAGATTCTCCAAGTGGTGTGGAAGCGGATTTGAGACTGAAAGGGAGGACTGGGAAAAGTGGGAAAAAGAAACGGGATCCGGTGAAGGTGAAGGGAAATGCCATTGATTCAGGCTCAGGCTCAGGCTTACCCCTTTCTCATCCAACCATATGCTAGCTTTTCTATCGTTAGGTATGAAATGAAAACAAAGAAAGCTATAAGTAGTCAGAAATTTCATAATGACCATTCCTTATACAATTATGCTTTTAAAACTCATTTTTATAAAACACTAACAATCTTTTTGAAGTAAAAATGATTAAAATTAACTTTTACAATTAAGTTTTTATAATTGTAGCCGTTAAAATCTTACTCTTACTAAGATTTTATACCTTTGTTCTCGTTGTGCAATTGTTGAGAAAGAGAAAAGGCTGGCTAGTGATAGACGAGATCCTCCATTTCTTTGTTCTGAGCGCTTTTTTGATGTTGTTGATGGAGATGGACCAAGGGATGACGCTTGTTCTCCAATCGATGGCGGTGATAGAGACTTCTCTCCATCATCCATCTGAAAAATTTCAATATTCGAGTTTCAATAGACTACAAAAATGAACTTAAACTACAAAAATGACGATCTGTCATACTATAAACGATTCTAACTTTCTTTAAAGCTGTCGAATTCACATGATCTATAGCTAAAAAGATCGAGAATCTTAAGAGCTTTCAGATAAACTAAAGCACACCCAAAACTATCAATGCTAAAGAAAGTTACAGTGATCTGACTGAAAACGGACCGTACTCATGCGTAGTCGAAGCAACAAACCACTATAATTTTGTTTAGCATTGATAGCTTTGGGTGTGCTTTAGTTTATCTGAAAGCTCTTGAGATTCTCGATTTTTTGAGCTATAGATCATGTGAATCCGATAGCTTTAAAGCAATTTAGAAGCGTTTATAGTTTACGTTTGTAGTGCTCATGCCTAATTGGAGTCCGAGATCTTTATTAACAGCTCAGATTCTATTTTCAAAGCTTTATTACTACTTAAAAGTGAGGGTTTTAATAATTCAATTTAACAAGCTTAAAAGAAATTAGAGTTTTTGGATTGATTGTTTTGTGTGTGTAACTGGTTATTTAGGCTTAATATCTTCAAAGTTTTCACAATGAATTCTTTCAAGCATTTAATCTTCTTTTTAAAAAATACATACGCCTATCAATAAATGATTGAATTCACAGACCACTTGTTGTTGTTCATTTCCACTATCCGATGCCTCAATGCATTCAACGAGTGTTCCCAGACTTTTCTTCTTATTTCCCCCATTGTTCGCCGTGTTGCTCTGAATACCCGCTGATGTTGATTGAGACATTTGGTTTGTACCTGTAAATGGAATCTTATCAATTAATTAAATACTTATTTCCTCAAAAAACTTCATGAAGTATCTCTTTTCTTAAAAAAGAAAAACTAATTACTTGAGGAATTTTAGCGTAGAGAAGGGGAAAGAAGATTTGAATCGAACCGGAAATTTCAATTATATTGTCTAGAGTCAGTAAAACAGAAGAATTCAAGGTAATTTCATGGATCAGAAGAGGAAATTTGATGATGACTAGAGTGTTGTGATCAATTCTCAAGTTCGCATTTAAAAGGATTAGTAAAAAAAGATAGCAAAATCAGGTTAACTTAATAAGAACTAAACGGTAGTTTTGCTTTGAAATATCTAATGATAATAAGCTTAGAAAGCCGTTTAATCATGAGAAACACTGCCTAACAAAAATGGGTCCATTTTTTGGAATCAACTAAGAGTTTAAAAGCTTTTACAAGCAATTAGATAAAACTAAAGGAAAGCTTATCGTGGCTATAGTTCACTATTGTTTAAACCTTTTCTAAAAAAGCAATTGATCTAATGCTAGTAAGCTTAGAAAGCGGTTTAATCAAGAGAAACACTGCCTAACAAAAATGGGTCCATTCTTTGGAATCAACTAAGAGTTTAAAAGCTTTTACAAAGAATTAGATAAAACTAATCTTGTAAGAAAGCTTATCGTGGTTACAGTTTACTATTGCTTAAACCTTTTCTAAAAAAGCAATCGATTTTTTTTGATTGGCAGAAAGAGGGGAAAACATCATCGTCGCTGGGCACACAAAATTGTCAACATTGCGGAGAAACGGGAAGAAGAAGAAGAAGAAAAAAATGGGGTGTATGTTATTTTTGTGACTCTTTTTCAGATGAATAGAAACGATTAGTCATTTAGACAAACATCAAATGACTATTTTTCATTCAAATTTCATCGAATAACAATTGTGATGAGAAGAAGAAAGGATCTTTAGGAGAAAGGGATGATTGCTGATGATTGCTGGTGATTGCTGGTGATTGCTTGTTGTGACTCTGACGTTTCTATCATTCATCTTATTTCATCTATGAGTGCAAAGTTCTGTAAAACCTTTTTTGATGTCTTTAAAATTGTACTTTAAAATTGTGCTTACTAGTTTAAAGATTCTTAAGCCTAAAGAAATCTATTGAAAAATTAGAGGTAAAATTGAAGTCACTGATCTTAGCTGTTGAATTTTATTGAATTGTTGAATTCATTGAGTTTTATATTTAAAAATATTAAAACATTTGAAAAATCTGGCTAAAGCAGCTAAAGACGGTTTTAAGCTAGGCTTTAAGCAGCTAAAGCCGGTTTTAAGCAGCTAAAGCCGGCTTTAAGCGGCTAAAGCCGGTTTTAAGCGGCTAAAGCCGGTTTTAAGCAGCTAAAGCCGGTTTTAAGCAGCTAAAGCCGGCTTTAAGCGGCTAAAGCCGGTTTTAAGCAGCTAAAGACGGTTTTAAGCTAGGTTTTAAGCAGCTAAAGCCGGCTTTAAGCAGCTAAAGCCGGCTTTAAGCAGCTAAAGCCGGCTTTAAGCGGCTAAAGCCGGTTTTAAGCAGCTAAAGCCGGCTTTAAGCAGCTAAAGCCGGTTTTAAACAGCTAAAGCCGGGTTTAAGCAGCTAAAGCCGGGTTTAAGCTAGGTTTTAAGCAGCTAAAGCCTTTCAAAGTAAATCAAAAGCTTTAAGCTCTATTGGTCTAAATGATTCTTAGCTATTCTTATCTGGTTCTTGATTCTTAGCAATCTTTAGCTTTTAGCAATCTATACATTGAATAAAGAGATCTCCGAGGTAATCGTTGAATCAAAATGATCCAGGTTCCAGGTCAAAATAATCAAAAATCATCCAGTTTAAATCATCAAAAATGATCTTCAAAAAGCTAAACTTTAAGAGAACTAAGCAATCTAGGCATTCATAATAGTTGTGTGAAAAATTCCGGGATCGAGGCGATCGTGAAAGTGAAAAAAAAAGAGGAGTGGGACGGCGAAATCCGTGGGGCGATCGTCAGTATGAGGCCTGGGTCCAGGGAATTGGAAAAGACTAAAGATGATGGGAAAAGTGGAGGGGAAAGGGGAGGATGTTGGAAGGAAAGGGATAGAGTGAAGAGGGGAAAGGGGGACGATCGATTGCGAGTGGTGGGAGGCGGCTCGATCTCAGCTGTCTCTTTTCTCTACTTTCTTTCTTTCTTTTACTCTCGCTCCCTTTTGCCAATGGAATTCAGAGGGAAACTCTCGATTCTCTCTGAAAATGAACGTTCCTGAGAAAATGGGGGAAAGGCTAGGGTAACATTTACTCAACAGTTGTTATTTTGATGAAGAGGAGCCTGATATCAATGAATATTATAGTTAAACTAGTGTGCTTTGGCTGCTATTGGCTGCTATTAGCTTAATTGAACTTGGATAAAGTAAAAGTTAAGGTAAAAAGAAAAGTAGACAAGAAAACTTACAAGAATTGTAGCTCTCTCTCTTTTATTTGTCTCTGTGAACAATGATTCTTGTTTGTGAAAAGGTTAAACACTAAACAAGTTCTTCTTTGAGACTTTCAAATTGTTTAGACTTTCGGTACGACTCTTTGATTCGATCTTCGGGTTTCACTTTGAAATAAACTTGAACTGAAAACTGAAAAGTTCTAGTGATTTGAGCTTTCAAAAATCAACTACAAGATTGGCGAACAAATAACATCACAAGATTGTTGCCAAAAGAATGAACAAAGCTCTCAAACTGTTGTCTCGATTTGGCTTAACAGATACAGGTAGTTTACCGTAGAGTTTTACGAGGTATACAGCCAGATTTCGAGGCGAAAATTGATCTCAGGAAATTGTTACCAAAAGAATGAACAAAACTCTCAAACTGTTGCTTCGGTTTGGCTTTTTCTTTAAGCAGATACAGGTAGTTTACCGTAGAGTTTTACGAGGTATACAGCCAGATTTGGAGGCGGTACAGCCAATACAGCCAAATCTCAGGAATTTGATGAAGCTCAAACTTTACGATTAGCCCAGAAAATTGTCAAACCGAAAACAGTGGCTCTACCAAAGGAATCGATCGATCAAAGCAGAGCTCAATGAAAGCATTAAGGTTATTATGTGGCTTGAAACAAGAAATTTGACGACTTTAAAGGAAAGTCCCGGAAATTCTCGAAATTCTCCCCCTTGTACAGATCCTTTTCTTTAAAATCGCTGAACCGCTTGCAGTCTTGAATATTTGCATAAGTTGTCTCTCGAATTACCTCTATCACTCCACCCTTCCACTTGAAGAGATGATTGGAATGACAGCTTCTTGCCACATTTGGGTCAACATTTCGAGTGGGTCATTCACAAGACTCGACTTCTATCCTAATTATCAATATAACTACTCCAACTGGCTTCGTGTACATGTCAACATGGTTGAAAGGTAAGATTTTAACATAATTTTACTATTTAGCTTAGACTCTTTAGTCCTTTTGCTGATCTCTCCGATTTTTGGGCTTCGTGAAGTTTTCTTTTCACCTCCATATATGATGCAACCGATTCCCGCTGCACAGGGTCCACATAATCAAGAAAATGTACAAAGGACGAGTGATATAAATAATGGACTCATTGTGAGTTGAATTCCCGATTAATTCCCCGATTAATTCATTGATTAAACGGCTTTCTAAGCTTAATTAGATATTTCATTTTAGAATTTCGATTTCATTTTTGTGTAATACAAATGAATGATTTAAGAGATAATAAAATAGAAATGAAAAGCAAAAAAACTCAGCCGGGAATCGAACCCTTTACCTCCCGACTACTAGGCTAATGCTTTACCACTGAGCTATTAGCATCCTTGGAAAGGGAGAGGAAGAAAGCGAGTGAAATATCTGGGTTTTTAGAGTTACTTAAAGACTAGCTTATTAACTTTTAATCAAAAGAATATTTCTTCAAAAACAATCAGATCTAATTCATTCATTCTGCATTCAAAACTGAAAGCAAACTTGAAATTGTTAACTTTCTGAAGAGACTTTCTGAAGAGACATTCAATTGAAGAGACGTTCACCAACTTTAGGACCTTTGCACATCAATGGATCAACAACGAATTCGTCAATGTGCCGATCCTCTCTACTCAATTGGTGCTTTCTCCGAAGATGACAATGAAAATGGAAACTCTCTTTCACTCACTTGGGATCATTTTCTCACAAAAACTCAGGACTATTTCAGTCTTGTTTGCGAGTTTGCAAAAAAACGCAATAAGCTGATTAATCGAGATTTTAGCAATTTCTATATCTTTGACATGTGCATCGAGCCGTACAAGGATATTTGTTTCTCTGAAGAGCCCGTTAGGCACAAATATCAGACAGCGATTAAGATTTTGGACTTCTTGTGCAGAGATGGATATAATGGTGATTGATTATGGAAAGCGGCTTGATAATTTGATTCAGATATGATTCGAAATTTCGAGTGTTTCACTCGGACATTGACAAGAGCTGAAATGATGCAGTGTCAAGCGGAAATGGTGGCCGATACGAGGAAAATACCGCCAATTGAAGAGATTGGCAATATGGGACAACAGGCGGCGATTTGTGGGTGAGTAGAGGCTAGATTTATCTTGAAGGATTTTGTAAAACGTTGACTATTCTGGACTTTCAATCGGTTTTCAGCTTAATCTGATCACTCTAGCAAGATTTCAAGGCCACTTTAGCTCTAGCAAGATTTCAAGGCGAATTTATCTCTAGCAAGATTTCAAGGCCACTCTAACTCTAGCAAGATCTGAAGGCCACTTTATCTCTAGCAAGATTTCAAGGCCACTCTAACTCTAGCAAGATCTGAAGGCCATTTCAACTCTAGCAAGATTTGATAAGTTTTTTTGAATCTTACAAGATTATAAATCTTTACCTATCTCTTATCTAAATCTCTAAAAATCTTGAAAGTAAATCGGTTTATAATTGGAATTTTATCTGGTCAAAAGAAAGCACTTTATCCCAGACAAGTTTGTCAGATCGTGAGCGATTACCGCACAAAGAACACTTCACTTCTTTTTGCTGTTCGCTATTACGTTGAAATAGTTCTTCTAATATAGTTCTTTTGCATTGTAGAGAAAGATATTGAGCTATGAATTTGTACAAAAACTATATTACTAAACTTACCTACACTACTGGACAATGAAATATGATACTTGAAAAAAGATCGTCACTTTCGCGCGTCTATAACTCCCTTGTCTTTACCGTATTTCTAAATATTAATATTACTATTGTATAGCCCTTGAAAAGAGCTTTCAAAAAAATGTATAATACTAATAGTTTAAATTCAAAGACAATGGAGTTACAGACACGCGAAAGTGACGATCGTTTTTTCAAATATCATATTTCATTGTCCAGTACTGTATGTATAATGCTTTTTGTTTCATTCACTTTAGCCTTTGTTAGATCAAGTATCTAGTTGTTAACAAAGCAAATTGAAGCAATAAAATGCATGAGATTTGTTAACACAAAGCAAGAAAAACTGAGAAAATGATTATTGTTATTGTCCGGATTATTTCATTGTCCAGTACTGTACGTCCTTATTTGTCAATCGTCACTTTCGCGCGTCTGTAACTCCCTTGTCTTTACCGTATTTCTAAATATTAATATTACTATTGTGTAGCCCTTGAAAAGAGCTTTCAGAAAATGTATAACATTAATTGTTTAAACTCAAAGACAATGAAGTTACAGACGCGCGAAAGTGACGATCGTTTTTCAAATATCATATTTCATTGTCCAGTACTGTACTGATAATTTGGCTTTACTGAGAATGAGCCATCCTTTAAAGTAAACTAGTTATTGTTTATTTAAAACAATCACTTTTTAGAGCTGTTCGCAATTACGTTGATTGTATCAAATTACCGATTCGATACGAGTGCGGTTATCGGGCTTGGCATCTCGTTCGAGAGGTATCACAAATATGTAAAAGATACGTAAAAGCTAAAATAGTTCGAAAGCTTTTTCGACTTTAACGAGCGAAAGTTTCTAACACATACATCAAGTATGGAGTATTACATTTATATGAATTACAAAAACCAAAGAGCGGGACCGAATCCCAATCGTTCTAGCGAGAGTTCTTCCCATTATCCACTAGGCCATCGGTGCCTTTAGCTCAGTAAATGAAAATGTCTCTTTCTAGTTGGTTGTCCGTCCCACTGCAGCTCTTCTCCCTCAATGTGACATTCTCTACAATGGATCAACATCAAGAATTCTCTCTTTTATTCTAATTTTAACAGTTTTTACTTTCATTTTCTAATTACCAAGAAAAACTGGTCAAAACAGCTTCCAGTTAAGTTTCTTTCTGTTTCTTATTTTCATTGGATATAGAAAAAAAATGACTGTAAATACTGTAATAGTACCCCACCGCCCTCGTACAGTCTCGTAGTCGCAAAAGATTTTTAGTATTTCGTTTTTTTCAAAGCGCCTGTACTTTCAAAAAATGCGTCTTTGGTATCAAAAAATAGCTCAAATTCAGGGCTATTTTTTGATACCTTTTTTGATACTGTAGCGTAAACCAGTGTCGAGAAAAACTCGTTCAAAGCTAGACTACGCAACGCTCCGCATCGTCATTATCTTTGGCATCAAAAAAGCGTCTTTGGTATCAAAAAATAGCTGAAATTCAGGGCTATTTTTTAATACCTTTTTTGATACTGTAGCGTAAACCAGTGTCGAGAAAAACTCGTTCAAAGCTAGACTACGCAACACTCCGCACTGTCATTATGGGGGTGGGATACTATTACAGTATTTACGATATGTTTAAATTAGAGTTCTAAATTGAATTATAGTAGATAAAGGTTAAGCTAAACTAAGAAAAGCATATCGTAATACCTTTAATCGTAGCCCCTCCACCCGATAATGCCGGTCGGAGCATCGCGTAGTCTAACTTTAAATGCATTTTTCTCGCCACCCGTTTATGCTACAGTGTTCGTTTAAGTATTAAATGAAAGCTGAAATTCAGAGCTATTTTTTGATACCTAAGCGCACATTGTAGCATAAACCAGTGTCGAGAAAAACTAGTTCAAAGCTACACTACGCAACACTCCGCACCGTCATTATGGAGGTGGGGTACTATTCCAGTATTTACGGTAGCTATCTGCTGAAGTTTTTGAAGCCGTTTAGAACAAATTCGTGATGAGAAAATGCCAAGAAAACGAAAAACGGCTCAAAAAGAGTTTAAGAAGAGGTTTTCTCGGCACGAATTCTGTTTTAAATGATCGCAAAGTATGCAAAATTGAGATAATTCTATTCTGCATCCAATAAGAATAAGAAAAACATAGAAATTTAACCATGAAGGGGGTATTTTTTTTTTCTTTTGCTATGGCGCTGTTTTGATCAGCTTTCCATAAAAAACGATTACCGTATTTTCTGTAATAGTAGTGCAGTCTATAATAGTAGTGCAGGCTGGAGGGGGGTTTGAAAAAATAGTAGTGCACACTACTATTACAGAAAATACGGTATTTATTTTCTGAAAGCTTGATTATTCTGTCTCACGAAATCGTTGTTCACAGAGTTTTCGAATTTTCCGTTTCATGACAAAAGTATTCAATAAAAGTTAAAAGTTAAAAGCTTTTTTTAAACTTTAATGCATTAACTTAAAAATCATCAAAATACGTATTTAAACTTTATAAAAATAAATAAATTGAGGCACAAAGTGATCCGTTTGGAAGAGTTGACATTTAAAAAAGAAAGAATAGAAACTTAACCATCAAGGGGATATTCTTTTTTCTTTTGTTTGTGGCGCTTTTTTGATCAGCTTCCATCAAAAAAACGATGATTTATTTTCTGAAAGCTTAAAAATCATCAAAATACTTAATTAAACTTTATAAAAATCAATAAATTGAGGCACAAAGTGACCCGTTTGGAAAAGTTGACATTTAAAAAAGAAAGAATTGATAAAATTTGATGAAAACGGCAAGAATTGATTGGATAAAGTTGTAGAAAATTTTGGAGAAAATCAAATAGAAAACTTTGTAAGATTTGTTTTAAAGTTTTGTACTATAAAAGAAAGGAAAGAAATTTGATAGAAAAAGCTGGAGAATCTAGAGAAATCTTTAAATAAAACAAACATTGAAAACTTGATTAGCAATGATCTTCGATCTTTAATGATTGTCGATCTTTAATGATCTTCAATCTTTAATGATCGTTGATCTTCAATAATCTTCATCTTCAATCACTTGAATACATCAATTGTGTTGGAGATCTTGGCTGAGATTCTTGATCAACGATTTCCCCTTTATCCTCATCATCCTCATCAACATTATTTCCATTATCGAATGGAAGTGGGATTCGATTGAGTTTCGGAATTGTTGTACGTGTTCCGTAAATGCCTCTAGAATTGACTAGATGAGCTTCTGGGACCAAGAACTAGTCACCTTTCATTTGAATTTAGATCTAAATCTGTAGTGTCAATGTTTTCAAACTATAGTTACCGACAAAAAAGGCTATTTGGTTTATACAATGTTTATCGGCGATTTGATCAGCGCCTCATCCCTTTTCGATGGGAAACAATCTAACTTTAAGCTCAAATATATTGATGCTCGAATTGATCGGCGCCTCACCCCTTCTCCCATCAACTAACCCTAAACTCAAATATCTTGATGCTCGATTTGATCAGCGCCTCACCCCATCTCCCATCAACCATCTAACTTTAAACTCAAATATCTTGATGCTCGAATTGATCAGCGCCTCACCCTTTCTCCCATTAACTAACTTTAAGCTCAAATATCTTAATGCTCGAATGATCAGCGACCCCTTCTCCCATCAACCATCTAACTTTAAGCTCAAATATCTTGATGCTCGACTATCCAATTTAAACATTCTTGTTACCATTGGATGCCCCAAATCCTTCTCTGTTCATTGATATAAAAACTATTTCAATTAAACAGCCCAACAACAAGAAATTTGAGCTCAAAGTTGGTTTACTAATGGCAATGAAATGTCCCAAAATCTTAGACCAAAATGGTTTAGAGTAATAGATATTCTGATTTAAAGGCTTTAAAAATATTCAATCTTGTTCTCTTGATATACTCTGCAACTACGGTAAGTATTGAGATAGTTTTACAAGCTTTTTACATGGTTTTGATCAATCAAAGAACGCTTTTCGGTTTCTTTTTAAACACAAACTTTGTTGTCTGAACATCGAATTCTCCATGCATTTTGATTTGATGATCTTTGAGAGCTTTGTACTCAGAAAATGATCGATCACAAAGAAGACACGAGAATTGATTCTCGAAAGAGGCCACAATGTTTGTGATCTCTTTTCTCCCCAAACGATCATGATCGGTTTGTAGATGGAAACGAAGAGCCGACTTGTGAAAATAGGACATTGAGCACACCGGGCACACGTACGGCTTTATTGTGTCCTCATCGACTCTAGAACACATAAAATCCAAAATAATTGAGCTATTTGTTCTGCTATGTTCTTGCTTTGTTCCAGAAAATTGCTTTGATTGATCAAAACCATTTTGATTCTTGATTCACTGACGTTTTTATCGATTCCTTTTGTTCGCTCACTTCCAAGCATTTCTCAACCATCCTTTCGAATTGTAATAGTTCACTCTCAGGCATTTCTAACAGTTTTTCAACCTATACAATTCAATTAATAAATTTTCATAATAAAATTACCGTCATTTTCACAGCCATAATTCGAATCGAGTTAACGATATTAGCAGCTTTTTGTCTTCTTCTTGTTTCTTGATTTTGCAAGATTGGATGCGTGTTGGCTTGTTGGGAAAGAAGATTAAGAGCATCGGAAAGAGTTGATGGAGTTGCTGCTTGAAAAGAAGTTTGATAGATTACAACAATTTGTTATGTAAAGCTGACAATCTTGCCTTCTTTCTTTGATAGTTTCAAAGGCTTTTCAAAGGCTTACAATTGATTTAACCAATCTAAACCAATCTAAACCAATTCTAAACCAATTCTAAACCAATCTAAACCAATCTAAACCAATCTAAACCAATCTAAACCAATCTAAACCAATCTAAACCAATTCTAAACCAATCTAAACCAATCTAAACCAATCTAAACCAATCTAAACCAATCTAAACCAATCTAAACCAATCTAAACCAATTCTAAACCAATCTAAACCAATCTAAACCAATCTAAACCAATCTAAACCAATCTAAACCAATCTAACCCAATTCTAAACCCTCACCTTTCTTGTTGAGAATCTTCAACATTTGATCACCAGTATTTTGTCGAATCTTCTTTGACACATCTGTATTCACTGATGCAATCCATTGCTCACAAGCTTTCTTCACGTGATGAATTGGCATGATTTCTGGTAAAGCTAATCCCTCTAAAAGCTCATTTGATGGCATTTTGTATTCGGATTGATCATCGATTGGTGAAATCTGAAAGTTTATTGAATAAATTCGAGTATTTAACTTAAAACTCACTCCTCCATTTAGTAAAATCTCCAAAATCGTCGGTATATCGACTAGCTTGATTGTAGCGGAGAGACCACCAGTGCCCGCGTATTTTGATACTTCGGCTAAATTGTAAACATTACAATTTCTGTTATGTAAAGCTGAGAATCTTGCCTTCTTTCTTTCTTTCTTTCTTTCTTTCTTTCTTTCCCTTGTCTTTCACTCTTTCTCTTGGCAAGTTAAGATACTAAATAGCTAGTGGCATAGTATAGCTCAGTGGTTAAAAGAATTGCCCGGAAAGGCCCGGAAAACAAAAGGTTAAAGGTTCAATCTCCTCTCTAGAGATCTCTTTCCAATTCCTTTACTTCTATAAGACATAAAGTATGTGTCAAGGGCATAATTTGATTCCCAATCTTTTGCCCAATAGAAATTTCGCTTTGATTTAAATTGAACCCAATAGAATTAAATTTAATTGAACATTATGCAATCAATGTCTAGATTTAGCCTATTAAATGCGAATTGAAGAATCTGTTTTTATTTTTGAAATAAAAATTTCGTAGTTAAATAGGAGATTTTCTTAAATTTTGTTTTATATAAAGTATGAGTTCGTAAATCGAAAAGCATTTATGTAGCTTTATATAGCTTTATATAGCTTTATTTAGCTTTATATAGCTTTATATAGCTTTATTTAGCTTTATATAGCTTTATTTAGCTTTATATAGCTTTATGTAGCTTTATATAGCTTTATGTAGCTTTATGTAGCTTTATATAGCTTTATGTAGCTTTATATAGCTTTATGTAGCTTTATATAGCTTTATGTAGCTTTATGTAGCTTTATATAGCTTTATGTAGCTTTATATAGCTTTATGTAGCTTTTAAAAGTGCATTACTCTATGAAGCATCTCTTTTAAATGAAAGCCAGTATGCTTTAGCTATAAACAAACCGTGAATGATAAGCACAATGACGGATGGTGGAAGGAATTGTCCGAGATGTCGAATCCGTTTCCTCACCACTTTTGGGATTCGCATTTTCCCGTGAATGTGATAGTCACAGTAACGGAGATGGATTACTCTAAAATGGGGAATTAAATTAAAGAAAAAGAGTTTTTTTCTCAATCCTGACTTCTTTAACTTTAACTTACTTTTCCCGATGAACTTGTGACTCGATTGTTGCATGGAAAAACGCCGAGCAAGCGATTCGTCCTTTATGTGTCACTTCGCAATCATCGAATTCAACATCTAAATATTGGGTTGGTCAATTGAAAACTCCGGGACTTTGAACTAAAATTTATTGAACATAAAACCATGAATTCATTCCAAATAATTTCCATTACTATTGACGACTTCTGCCCATTTTACAGGCAATTTGCGGATTCCTCTTTCTGCGTAGGATTTTGTTTTGTGTATGAGACAAGTGTGAGACTCAAAAATCGAGGACTGGAGATGTCCCAATTTGAGCACTTTCTTCAAAAGAACTTCAAAATTTTACGTCCACCCCCTAAACTGGGCATTTATGGGAATCCTTTGGAGATATCGAGTTAATTCTTTTTTCAACAGAAAGAGCATCTATTGGGTTGGTGAATTAGAAATTGCGGGACTTTGAACTAAAATTGATTCAACATAAAAGCATCAATTAATTCCAAATAATTTCCATTATTATTGACGACTTCTGCCCATTTTACAGGCAATTAGCGGATTCCTCTTTCTGCGTAGGATTTTGGTTTGTGTGAGACAAGTGTGAGACTCAAAAATGGAGGACTAGAGATGCCCCAGTTTGAGCACTTTCTTCAAAAGAAACCCATTTTGGTGTCAATAGAAAAGTTGTAGAGAATCAAAAATGAGGCTTATATCCAAATTTCCAAAAAGATACACTTAGTAGTTTCGCTTAAAATGCAAGTTTTGTGAAAATTCGTCAATTTCGCATTTCTTGAAAACCAGTTTTTGAATAGTTCTGAAAATTTGGATATAAGCTTGATTTTTGATTCTCTACAACTTTTCCATTGACACCAAAATGGGTTTCTTTTGAAGAAAGTGCTCAAACTGTCACATATGACAATAGCCGGCTGTTTTGCCAGTATATTACCAAGCCAATATATTGAGATTAGCCTTGATTTGCGGAGAAGTCAATGCCCAATTTGAGGATTCCGAGCTGGCCAGATTCGTTTGGCAAAGGCAGAGGGAAGGGGGTTATGTAAAAGCCCTGCGCCAGACGGCGAGCGATTACGCGGCCGCACAAAGAACACACAAATTTTAAGCGGAACTACTAAGTGTATCTTTTTGGAAATTTGGATATAAGCTTCATTTTTGATTCTCTACAACTTTTCCATTGACACTGAAATGGGTTTCTTTTGAAGAAAGTCCTCAAACTGTCACATATGACAATAGCCCGGAGTTTTCAATTCACCAACCCAATATTAATAGAATTATTTAAGATTAAAACGATTTACCACTATCATCAGCTTCATGAGTGTAACCACATCGGTGTTGTTTCATTGAGAATTTCTGTCCAGCTTCATTTTTAAAGTCACCCAATGATCGAAGGGCTCGGGTGAAATCCTGAAATTCATTTACAAAATTTAGATCATAAGAATTTTGTACACTTTAAACTTGGATAACTCTCTAGAAACTTACAGAAAATTCAGTTTCGTTGAAGAATGTCCTTTCTAGAACGATAGACGGTTTTCCGTGCATGATCCTCAAGTGATTTACGTAGTTTGTCATACTTTCAAACGTTTTATCGCACTGAAAACGGGTTTAATTTTCACTAAACTTCACAGTTTCGAATAATTTTACATAAAAAATTGAAAAACTCTTTGTTAAATCATAGATTTTTACTATTTTTACTATTTTTAAGGCGTTTAATCGAACTGACATCATGAAATGCGCACGGGAAAACTCCATCACTTTTCCGGACTTCTGAGCATCGACCGAATTGCTCGATTTCTTCCATATGATTTTGGTATTCCTCGTTGGATAAGGGCTGAATAAAAATGAATAAAAATGAATAAAAATGAATAAAAATGAATAAAAATGAATAAAAATGAATAAAAATGAATAAAAATGAATAAAAATTTCCATTTAACAATGATAATTTTTATATTTTTTCATTGAAAAAAATCCAAATTCTATATCAAAATTTTCAATTTTTTTTTTAAAGAAAATTGCTTGAAAGATTGTATTTCAAATTTTACAAAATTATATAATCAAATGAGCTCTATCTTTCTTTTACTTTAACACTAAAATAGATTTGTATTGAAGAAAGTGTCCAAATCGGAGCAGTTTTGAATTTGAATCTTTTTGGAAGTTCTGGAATTTATCTTGAAAAAGTTTTGGATTTGAAAATCGACAAAAAAAACGATTTCCGAGTTTCAAATGTTATTTTGAAGAGAAATGATTAAGCTTTTTAAAAGCTTGATGCTTTAAAGCTTTATAAAGGAACCAAATCTGTAAAGAAAAGGAGGCAAATATCAATCGAAAAGGAACCAAATCAGCTTCAAATAGAAATCTTGTTGATAGCGACATTATTTCTTTTAAAACGTTTCGAAGAAATTGTAAAAACTTATGCATTAATCGAAAATTTTTGCTCGAAATTACCGACTCACCAATTTGCAGGCCGAACACTCTCGACACTGATAAGTGGGGCCACTGAAGAGGGTGTCCAGATTCTAAACTTTTGCGTATAAAATCACTTTCATATTTCAAAAGATATTCAGTTTTATTTAGCAAAGATTATAGCATATCTGATTTTACCATTTCTCCATCGAAATCCGGGATCTCTCCATCGGATGGCTTGTTTTGTCCGAGTAAATCGAGCAAATTAAGCGGTTCTTCTTTGATTTGAACACTAAATAACAAATAAATAACTAAATAACACTAAATAACACTAACGAATTCCTACTACAAAGTACTATATATATATATATATATATGTTGTGTCCGATTTAGATTGAACTTATCGCGGACGTCCGATTTAGATTACAGTCTATATCGGACGTCCGATTTAGACTCAATCTAAATCGGACGTCTTATATAGATTAAACAATAATATAAACATGTTTAATATATGTTCTTAAGCGTTTTCTGTAGTTTTCTGCATTTTTCAAAGGTCTGTTACTGTCTTTTTCTGAAAAGAAAACCCAACTATGAAATAATCAATAAAAGACCTTTGAAAATGCAGAAAACTACAGAAAACGCTTAAGAACATATACTAAACATGTTTATATTATTGTTCAATCTATATAAGACGTCCGATTTAGATTGAGTCGTCCGATATAGACTGTAATCTAAATCGGACGTCCGCGATAAGTTCAATCTAAATCGGACGGAAATCTAAATCGGACACAACATATATATTATCTTTAAATCTTACGTTGCCGTTGCTGCAACTTCTTTCACGTCGTTGATAATCGGTGCTGATTTCCGGAAAACATTGTTTACCGGTTTTGGAGCTGTTGAAAAGCCTCTAGTCAACATTGATAGCATATCCTAAATAATATTTCTCTTCTCAAAATCACATTGTTTAAAATCACCGCAGCTCTTTGACTGCTTGATGGGGTGTTGAGGAGATTTCTTCCAATAATCGGTGGACTTTTCAACAAACCAAGTGGTAACTTTGAGGTGATCGGGGTATCGTTTGAAGATCTGGAAAAAGATTGTGATGCTAAACAAATGTTTTACAAAATATCGGACGAAAACTATGAATGAGATGGAGGTGAAATTCTAGATGTTTATTGATCTGAAAAGCTAATTGTTAGCCAAAGCTAATTACCTTGAAAAGCTAGTTTCTCTAGTTGTTTGACCTAAGACACTAAACTTGTTCCTAAAGTGACTCGATTCTTTCTTGGTCACTCGCATTTCGTCCTCGAAATTTCTTCAATCGTTCGATCAATTGAAACACGCTTTAGCCTATTTTGTAGAGGAGATTTACAACTTTCAAATAGTTTATAACATTCATCGATATCAGCTTTCTATCGTTGGAAATTGATGAAAATGTTGAAATCCGCATTTCTTATGCATTTACTTAATAATTGCCCTAGTTGTTTGACTTAAGATCATTGATCTGAAAAGCTAGTTGTTACCCAAAGCTAATTACCTTGAAAAGCTAGTTTGTCTAGTTGTTTGATCCTAAGATCAGCATTTCTTTTTATCCCAAGTTTGCCCTCACTTCGTTTGTGGTCCAACTTTGACTTTTCTGAAGGTGAAACCGGAGATGTTCTTTGTTTCACTGGGTTTTGAAGTGGAAGCAGAAGCATACGGCTCCAATGTGTCCGGATTTCCATCTTCGGTTTCTAAAGTCGATTTTTAGCGGGTATCAGAGATAGTCACCATGGTGCTGTTGAGGTCTACGACCCACACGATCCAGGTTCACCATGGTGCTGTTGAGAGCTCGTCTACAACCCACACGATCCGGGTTCAACCCCCATAGTACCAGTTGACCTTCATTTTTTGGCCATTTATTATAAATGACAAAACTACAATCTATTTTAAAGTTTTCTAAAGAAGTTTTAGCTTTATTGGTTAAAAGAGACAATGAGAAAATGGTCGTACAGACAGACAGACAGACAGACAGACAGACAGACAGGCAGGCAGACAGACAGACAGACAGACAGACAGACAGACACACAGGCAGACAGACAGACAGACAGACAGACAGACATACACTGCTCTTTTATAGATTTATCCAATATTATCTGTTCTGTTCTTAAAAGCTTTGAGCTAACAAACCAAGAAATGGTGGCGGTGTAGATCCTCCATTGGATGAGATTGAAACTGGCGAGAGTGGTGGAGGGACATCATCCATTGATCCAACAGACTCCTTTCGTGCCTTCTTTGCAGAATTCGGTGCCACTACAAATCACTATTTGAAATCAAAAACCAAAACAAATTTTGTCAAACATCATTTCCAATTCTTCCAAGGAGCTCAATTCCCTTTTCCTAAACAATCCCCTTACTCGCTTCAAGCGTTGCTTGGAACCAATCATAAGTGGGTAATTCTTGATCATTTCCATCAGATTCCTGATCTCCATCCTCATCAAAAATCGTATCTTTGAATACATTTGAATATCGTGCTTTGAAATTCTGCAACCATCCACCGCTTGCCTTGAACGCGAGATTTCCCTTGAATTTCGCCATCTCCAAAGCTTTTTTCTAAAAGATCAAGCATTGAATCAGCATCAATGCATATTGAAGCATTGCTTTTTTACTTCTAACAAATACTCACTCTCAACTCGGGTCCAGCCACCAGAATGCCTTGTGCTTTTTGCTCTTTGTACCACTTCAACACCAATTGTTCCAATGCTTGATCGTGCACTTTTATCCTTTTCTTTGTCTCGCAAATCCCTTCCGAAATCTTTCTCTCGATTTCCAAACGATCTTTTAATATGTTGTAGATTGTTGATTTGGGCAAATTGTAAACTGTTGAAATCTCTTGCACAGAAATCCCTTGATCTTTCAACAGAATTATATTCTTCTTATCTTCATATGTTGGTTGTTGCCGTTTCTGTGGGGAATCTGAACATCGCTCAAGTGTTTTTGAAAAGGGAATTGAGCTCAATTTGAATTTTAAATTGCAATATTTCTTCTAACAAACCTTTTGCAATGTTTTTCGGGTTACTCAACAATTCTGGAGGGAGTACAACAGGCTCAAACGTTTTTCCATCTCTGGGAACCTGAAAGTATTTAATAAGTTAGATATTAGAGCTATTATAGAACTCTAGCTTTATTTAGTAAGCTTTAACAGCTTTTAACTTAGCTTTAACTTAGCTAACTTTTAGCTTAGCTTTAACAACTCACACGAATCTTTGCTTTGTGAATCGGCTCGGGAATCGGCTCCTCCATTCGGTGCATCAATTTCACCAATTCTATTTGTTGTCGGGGTTCCAATTGATTGAAATATTTGCACAATAACGAGTCCCGATCTTCTTTATTTAATTCAATATTCCTGGAACAGATTGTGTAAAACTTTAAGCAGATCAACGAAATAAGAAAAGTTGTTTGACAAAATTAAAGCATTTAAATGTTTTAATTTTGTCAAACGTTGCAATTCAATATTCCTGCAATCGCCTAGGACCTTAATCTTTTAGAATTGAGTCACTAACAGTATATAATTAACGGTTTTTAAAAGTATTTTTATTTAGTCGATCTGCATGTGAAAATCGAGTCAAAAAGGTTTATCCGGGTTATTTTTGGTTATCCTATAATTTTGTCAAAACGCTGCAACTCACCCCTCTTCGTCCTCTTCTTGTTTCGGAATGGCCATTGCCCGTTTTCGAGTAATTCTCTCCATCGCAAGAATTGATCTGAAAAAAAGAAATTAAAATAATATTGAAAAAGAAAAGCGATAAATTCAACAGTTTGAAAGTCTGAAAGCAAATTATAATTTAGTTCGAAAGCTTATAATAAGCCGATAAACGAACAAATTAGTAAAAGGAAAATCAAAAAAGCAAATCATAATATACAGTCACGGACAAAAGTCTTGGCGGCTCCTGGGTGGCAACTTTCAAACGCAAATTTAGGAACCAATCAAAAGATTGAAAGTCTAAAAGCAAATCATAATATAGCTTAAAGCTTAAAATAACGAACAAATTTGTAAAAGTTTAAACTAAAACTATTAAAATTAATAAAATCTGGTTTAAATTCGTCAAATTTCCATGCATTGATACAGTAAAAAAACATCTGTCTACAAAATTCTTTTCCAAAAATCAAATTTTAGGTGGTTTTGGTGGGAGAATTGCCGAAAAATTAGCATAAAAATAATTTCCTAAGCAATTTACAAGTGATATATGAGAAATTTTAGTGTCATTTAGTGTCGAAAATCGAATGGGAAACGAGCAGAACTTGTAGAAATGAAGAAAATGAATATGAAAATGAAAATGAAAACGCAAACTTCTAAAGTTTATTTATAGAAATAGAAAAATCGATAAAGTTTTTACACAATAGAAAATAGGGAAGTAAAGCGGTTGCGTTGGGATACAATCGGCTTTTTTTTGCCGTCGCCCAGACAGTGGGGTGATACGGTCGACGGGAGTACGGTGGAAAGTCCACTCTATAGCGTGCCATGGAAAGGGATACGGTAGTCTGAAAAAAGGAAAGGAACATTTTCTATTTAGCAATCATTTTCCTAAAGTAAATCTTCATTTATCCGTTCAATTTTTATTTTAATCTACCCTTTTCTGTATCTATTTTTAAACGATCGGTAAAAGGTGTAATGAGAGGTTGTTCAGTGGAGTCTTTGCGTTGATTTTTAAAGAAAAAAAGAGAAAAAAAGAGAGATTTTCATTGCTAGACACTTAAATAATCAAATTGTCCTTGTTTTTTAATCAAATTAACACTTTTTTCTACAACTTTCAACCATTTTCTTTCTAAAATATTTGATTTTGATCAATTAAACCGTTAGAAATGTGGTTTTGATGTGATTTTGATCAATTAAACCCTTGAAAACGTGGTTTTGATATGATTTTGATCAATTAAACCGTTAAAAACGTGGTTTTGATGTGATTTTGATCAATTAAACCCTTGAAAACGTGGCTTTGATATGATTTTGATCAATTAAACCCTTAAAAACGTGGTTATTTTAATGTCAAAACTTTTGAAAATCAAATTTTAACTTATAAACGAAATAATTTGTTTAAGAAAGCTACCAAGCTGCTAAGAAAACTAGCAACTTTGAAGTTTTTACTTGAAAATAAACTTCTAATTGTTAAAAGAATTCACTTTTTGTTAATATTAAGCTTTAAAACACATGTAAACATCGATAAAAACCCACAATCTTTTCAATATTTCAAAATTCACAAGCGATCTTTATCGATTACATCACTGAAAGCCTTTTTGCTATTGAGAAATCGAAAGTATTGAGAAAATGAGAGAACACAAGTCAGTCAGATCCATTTGGGCCACTCAAAAATCCTTTTCTTTTGTCTAATTCTCTCGAAACACTCAATCTCTCGAATTTCTCGAATTTTCTCTCTTTTCTATATGATAACTTCTATCTTTTATCTTCAATCTTTTGTCTTCTATCTATCTTCTATCTTTTATGATTTCTATCCACCTTTTTTTCAATCGTTTCTCGAAAATTCCCTGAAGATTACATTGACTAGAGTTTTTACCATAGAAATATTAAAGATTGACTCATTTTCTAATAAGAAGCGATCACTTTTCTTTACACTTTAGTTATTGAACTTGTTTCTATCCAAATTTCCATAAAAACATACCGTATTTCTTCGAATAGAAGACCGGGTAAAGAGTATGATCGCGTACTCCTGCATCCTGCATAGCAGCCCTTTTTAAAATTTCTTTTCTGCATAAAAGCTTTCAATCAAGTGCTATAGAGCTGGAAAATGGCTCAAAAATCTGTTAGCTCATGTGGTATTTTTGAGTCATTTTCCAGCCCTATAGCACTTCATTGAAAGCTTTTATGCAGAAAAGAAATTTTAAAAAGGGCTGCTACGCAGGAGTACGCGATCATACTCTTTACCCGGTCTTCTATTCGAAGAAATACGGTATGTTTTTTGATTTGTAAATCAGTTGAATAGATGAGCAGAGATCTTAGAAACTTCTCTTTGCATTTGCATTTTATTAATCCAAGGACATCTCTTCTAAATATTCGATATTTTCATAATAGCTTTTAAATTGATTTCTTACTTTCATTTTTTTCAGTAAGAAATGGTTCGAAGAGGAGGCGCTGCACCAAATCGAGGCGGAAGCGCGCCACCAAGTCGATCTGGAGGACCGCCAATGGGACGATCAAGTGAGTGAGAAAGTGAGAAAAGGAATTCAATCTTATAGACTTTGAAAACAAATTCAAACTCCAATTCCTAATCCACATTTCCAGCCGCGCCAACACCGTCAGCCCCTGTTCATCACGCCCCACCAGCTCCTTCACCAATGGCTGCAGCTCCAAGCCAGGTTTGGATCATCGCTTGATCAGTGAACTATTTTAAAAGCTTTCACAATATTAAGAATTCTAGGGACCAGGTCTTTTCGCACAAATGGCAGCAACAGCCGGTGGAGTGGCGATCGGATCTGCTGTTGGACACACTGTTGGTCACATGTTGACAGGTTTGTAATAGAAATTCGAACGGATAACTTAAAGTCGATTCTAATATCATAATACAAATTCAAATTAGATCTACAATAATAGGGAATTATCGTTCTAGGCGGCAGTAGGTCTTCCGAAACAGCTCCAGCTCAACAACAAGCTCCTCAACAAGCTCCTCAACAACCTCCTCAACAAAGTTATCAACAGGTTTGCAAGAATTGAATTGAGACTTTGATTTAATGTATAACTGGAAGAATTTTATTTGATTTTATTCAGCCTTGTGAATTCGAGTGGCGTCAATTCATTGAATGCTCTCAAAATCAATCTGATGTCTCTCTTTGCAATGGATTTAATGAAGCTTTCAAACAATGTAAAGCAAGATCTGCATGAATTCGTTTTTTTTCAATTGATTATCTATTGTATTTAGGTACTTTTATAGCATTTTATTGTTTATATAAAAAGATTTATAAAAAGATGGTTTCAATCAAAAGAATAGACAAAAAAAGCATTACAAAATTTTGTTTAATTCTTTTAAAATCAATATTTATGTTCAATCTTACATCTTTGGAGGCTCTTAAGCGAATGACCAGGGAGTGGGATCGAATCACTCCGGCCGAGTTGCGGCCCATCGCCGAAAACTTCATCAAGCGTTTGAAGCTCTGCTCTGCATCGGAGCCAAAGGTGGCCACTTTGAAGAAAAGTAGATTTTATCTCGGCCCAGGAATGGCCTCCGTATTCGTGCGATCTTAATCCGTTGGACTACAGTGTTTGGTCAATTTTGAAGGCAAGAGCAGCTTGTGCAAAACCCCACAAAAGTTTGGAGGCTCTTAAGCGATCGTTGACCAAGGAGCGGGATCGAATCGCTCCGGCCGAGTTGCGGCCCATCGCCGAAAACTTCATCAAGCGTTTGAAGCTCTGCATCGGAGCCAAAGGTGGCCACTTTGAAGAAAAGTAGATTTTATGCTCTCTTTATATCATGTTGTTAATAAAAAATTGTTTCTGTTACAAAAAACCTTTTTGGTTTTTTTAAAAAAATATGCTAAATTAGGCCGCAACGTTATTTCTGGTCGCCCTGTAAAAATCAATCTTAAAAAAAGCTTTTCATTGTCATACTGTTAATTGATAAATCATAATCTTTTCAAAAGTTATTACTTTTTTAGTTGATTACTCATAATTTGTTCAAGAATAGTCTGGTTTTAGTTGTGAGAAGAGAAAAATAACAATAGCAATAGCATTGTGTCCAAATGAGATAACCCATTAGACGCAGAATTTCACGCTGATTCCGAATCTGCTTTCCGTTTTTGCTAAATAGCTTTCTATAAAAAGTTATCGTTAAGTTTTAGGGTGAAAAGACGAAAATTTCGAGCCGAATCGAGATGCATAACGATTCTCTCACGGATCTTAAACCTTAAACTTGACTAGCGCAGTTCTTCTTCAGCTCGGCAAGCCGAAAAATCTTTTGCTCGAGTTCGACTCCTTTTTTGGGAAAAGTTTTGTTTTGCGTTTTGATATTTAAATACCTGAATTTTAGCCCGAATTTTGGCCTTAAAAGTAATGAAAATGTTTATACTATACCGTAAATCCTGTAATAGTACCCCACCCCCATAATGACGGCGCGGAGTGTTGTGTAGTCTAGCTTTGAACGAGTTTTTCTCGACACTGGTTTATGCTACAATGCTCGCTTAGTTACCAAAAAATAGCTGAAATTCAGGGCTATTTTTTGATACCAAAGACGCATTTTTTGAAAGTACGGGCGCTTTGAAAAAAATGAAATACTAAAAAACTTTTGCGACTACGCGACTGTACGAGGGCGGTGGGGTACTATTACAGTATTTACGGTAATTTTTTTTTTCTATATCCAATGAAAATAAGAAACAGAAAGAAACTTAACTGGAAGCTGTTTTGACCAGTTTTTCTTGGTAATTAGAAAATGAGAGTAAAAACTGTTAAAATTAGAATAAAAGAGAGAATTCTTGATGTTGATCCATTGTAGAGAATGTCACATTGAGGGAGAAGAGCTGCAGTGGGACGGACAACCAACTAGAAAGAACATTTTCATTACTGAGCTAAAGGCACCGATGGCCTAGTGGATAATGGGAAGAACCTCGCTAGAAGATTGGGTTCGGCCCCCTGTTTTAATTCATATAAATGTAATACTCCATCTTGATGTATGTGTTAGAACTTTCGCTCGTTAAGTCGAAAAGCTTCGACTATTTTCTTTACGTTCTACATATTTGTGATACCTCTCGAACGAGATGCCAAGCTCGATAACCGCACTCGTATCGAATCGGTAATTTGATACAAATACAATGGAAGCTGCTTTGACCAGTTTTTCTTGGTAATTAGAAAATGAGAGTATAAACTGTTAAAATTAGAATAAAAGGTTCTTGATGTTGATCCATTGTAGAGAATTTCACATTGAGGGAGAAGAGCTGCAGTGGGACGGACAACCAACTAGAAAGAGTCTTGATGCCAAAGAAGCATTTCTTGAAAGTACGGGCGCTTTGAAAAAAATGAAATACTAAAAAACTTTTGCGACTACGAGACTCTACGAGGGCGGTGGGGTAATATTACAGTATTTACGGACTACGCGACTGTACGAGGGGGGGGGGGGTGCTATTACAGTATTTACGGTAAATGAAATTTGATGACGTTAAACCATGAAAATTAACATCAATGCAAATCAACCAAAAAAGCATTTGAAGCAAAAAAAAATACTCGCAACAATATGGGCATTGTGACTTTCGCCTGTGACTTTTTAAAGGCAAACGCGTGAACGCAACAAGTGTTAAAGAAGTGATCCGTTCTCGAGCTCGTTCTACTCTGCTCGTATCATTCCTTCGATAGGTCCCTTCACGCAAACATTCGACGTTCGAACAGATTCAAAAAGCAGCCAGTTTTCCAATCACCGACTCCTTCCATAGCTAAAGCGATGAGTCAAAATTATCACCGCAAAAAGAAAAGCCGATTCGATTGTAAAAAAATGCTCCTTCCCTTTTTTCAGACTACCGTATCCCTTTCCATGGCACGCTATAGAGTGGACTTTCCACCGTACTCCCGTCGACCGTATCACCCCACTGTCTGGGCGACGGCAAAAAAAAAAAGCCGATTGTATCCCAACGCAACCGCTTTACTTCCCTATTTTGCTATTGTATAAAAACTTTATCGATTTTTCTATTTCTATAAATAAACTTGGTGTTTTAGAAAATCTTTAGAAGTTTTCGTTTTCATTTTCATTTTCTTGCATTTCTACAAGTTCTGCTCGTTTCCCATTCGATTTTCGACACTAAATGACACTAAAATTTCTTTTACATTACTTGTAAATTGCTTAGGAAATTATTTTTGTGCTAATTTTTCGACAAAACCACCTAAAATTTGATTTTTGGAAAAGAATTTTGTAGACAGATGTTTTTTTACTGTATCAATGCATGGAAATTTGACGAATTTAAACCAGATTTTACTAATTTTAATAGTTTTAGTTTAAACTTTTACAAATTTGTTCGTTATTATTGTCTCCCCTTAAAAATAACAACGGTTATTGCATCGAGGCAATTATTTTTCTCAAATGACTTAAAACGAGTTAAAATGTCTTATGTCTAGATTTTTTGAGCCTGAGTCGGGGTTTATTTAGTTAATTTTTGAGATCTCTTTTTTTTAACTTTTTCCCATTTCTGGGACCAATGGGGGTTTTTGTGTTTTTTTTTGTTTCTTTAAGCTTTGAGCTATATTATGATTTGCTTTTGGACTTCCAATCTTTTGCAATATTATTTTAATTTCTTTTTTTAGATCAATTCTTGCGATGGAGAGAATCACTCGAAAACGGGCAATGGCCATTCCGAAACAGAAGAGGACGAAGAGGGGTGAGTTGCAGCGTTTTGACAAAATTAAAACATTTAAATGCTTTAATTTTGTCAAACAACTTTTCTTATTTGGTTGATCTGCTTAAAGTTTTACACAATCTTTTCCAGGAATATTGAATTGAAGAAAGAGGACCGGGACTCGTTATTGTGCAAAGGGACGAAGAGGGATGAGTTGCAGTGTTTGACAAAATTATAGGATAACCAAAAGTAACCCGGATAAACCTTTTTGACTCGATTTTCACGGATGGACTAAATAAAAATACTTTTAAAAGTCGTTAATTATACACTGTTAGTGACTCAATTCTAAAAGATTTAGGTCCTAGGCGATTTCTGTAAATTCTAAGAGTTGAAAGAAGCAGCTCAGCCAAACCCTCTGAGGCACAAATTTGGTTCGTTCTCAGCGCACAGATTTGACTCGACAAAAAGAGTTATGCAAAGAAATTTCTGATTAGTGAAGGATACGGGAATTCATTCTATCCACTAAAGCTCTTTTTGGCTATTCTATAGCAATAATATTTAAAGTGAAGTGAAAGGATTGATAATATTTAGATTCTTATCTGCTATCATTGTTGAAATGATCGCTGGCCGCTTCTTCTCCTTTACGAATGCCAAATGAGAAGCCTTCTATACCCGAGGGTTATGCCAGATTGCAAGAGATTACGTGGGCGCACAAAGAACCTCTTGCCAATTTTCTTTTGCTTTAGTTTCAAATGATTTTATGTTAAAAATCTTTAGGGTTTTCAGAGTCGTAGAACCTATTGGCAGAGTTTCTTTTAATCCTTTATCCCAAGAGAATCGAATTGGCTTTGAATTTTGCATCTGATAGCTTTTCACAATGGGAAAACCATTGTTTTTTTTCATAAACTTTTAAATAACCCTTTCTTTCTTTCTTTGCTTCTTATTTCAAAATCGTTTTTCAAAGAAAAAAATTTATTTAATTCGCTGAACCCAATCCAGCTGAAAAGAGCTTAAAAAAGATGTCGAATTTCAGAAAAAATGATTTGAAAACGAATTAACTACAAGATAAACCTAGAGATCGATCACAATCGTCAAAAAAAGAAAAAAAATGCCAATTATTAAGTAGAGTTCTTGTTTAAATGAGCCATTGCTTTTTAGGGGAAATTTTTTGGTAATAAGGCAATGAAAAAATCGGGGGGTAGGCTAATTTCCGCAACAGGGTCGTCTCCGCAACTCGCCATAACTTTCTTCTAAGTCAACCAATCTTTATGATTTTGATTTCATTTTGTAGATCTCAATAAGTGCAACAAAATGACATCAAAATCATAAAGATTGACCGACTTAGAAGAAAGTTATGGCGAATTGCGTAAAAAAAATTTGCACAAATTAGCCTACCCCAAAAATCGGGGAGAATAGAGAAATCTTTGAATAAAATACCCTGAACACAAGTAATTTACAAGATTTTATAGGGAAATTGTTTGATTTTGTGGCTTTGTGGCTTTTCTTGAAATTTCTTATTCTTATTTATCCGAAGACCCGTTCTCGATAGCGCCATTGAGCAAATCGGTGAACATGATGTCCTTGAGGAATCTGGAAATTGAATAGATTCAAGAGTATCAAGAGAACACAATCAATTCTTCTAATAGAAAACATTGCCCTAACAATTCTTTAGCTTTAGCTACAGTAATCCAACTTTTAAACACTACATAGGCTACAGTAAATACGGTAAATACTGTAGTACACTTTTTAGTAGACAAAAGTCAACAAAAAGCTTCAAATTTTATTATTTAAGCGATAAATTAATCAATTTCAAGCGCAGATTTACTTTATTAATTATATTTTAACTTATTTATTAAGAAATTGATCTGGGAAAGCATTTGATTTTGAAAAGTAAAGGAGTAAAGGAAAGTTTAAAATCGATTTTACTATACTGAGCTCTTTTTTCTAAAATTTTCAATTAATTTTGATATTAAGAATAGAATGAATAGAATACTATTTGACTAAATTATTGTCAGTTTTGTTCTTCTAAAAGCTCGAGTCAGATCAGACAACGCCAAATGACATTATTGCTTGTTTACTTTCTCTAATTTAAACTAAGTCTGACTCTTGACCGAAATGGAGCAAATTCGAAAGGAAATCTAAATGTAAAACTCTTCAGATAACAATAATAATATTGTGTTTATCACTTTTTTTATAAAGTACACAATGTAAAACAGTTATTGACGATTTTGTTATGAAAAGTTTAATCAAAATCTCTCACAATGACTATATTGTTAATGTTTTTCTCAGTTTCAAAATTAGAATCAAATCTCTTCTTTAAGTTCATCAAAACAAATAACTTTATTGCTTCCTATGTTTACATTCAGTCTTGGTTTTTCGAATAAAATTTTAACTGTTTGTGATAAGACGTCGGAAATCAACGTGATTCTTTTACGAGTTTACCGTCTTCTTTCTAATAGTAGTTTACCCTGCCGAGCTGAGTTGATGACTATTTTACAGTTTCTAAGTTTTCCTAGAAGCTCAACACTCAAATCCCCCACAAGATCTCATCGTCAGCTACATTTTCCGACCCCACATCAATAGGTTCTGATAAGCGATTCTCGAGATTTCGAGGAATTTAGGGAACGCTCAGGGTCCACTACTATTAGAGAGAATACGGGGTTCGGCGATCACTGGATCCAGCTAAAACTATTGTAATCTAGAAATTAAATGCCTGAGAAAAAGGTATCACCTCACAGATGTTACCGTAATCTACCAAAGCTGCTTGCTCTATTCTCTTTCTCTCTAATAGTAGTGCCGAGCCAAGCTGATGACTATTTTACAGTTTCTAAGTTTTCCTAGAAGCTCAACACTCTAATTCCCCACAGGATCTCATCGTCAGCACCCCAGCGAGCCGAGTTGGTGACTATTTTACGATTTCCAAGCTTTTGCAGAAGCTCAAGACTCTAATCATCGTCAAGATCTCATCGTCAGCTACATTTTCCTCATCCCAAATCGATAGGTTCTGATAAGCGATTCTCGATATTTCGAGGAATTTAGGCAACGCTCAAGGTCAACTAATATTAGAGAGAATACAGTAGATTAAAAATCGAGAGAATACCCGGAAAGTGTCTAGTTTAAAAGAAAATTTTGATAGAATTTGTATGAAAAAGTTGAAGTTTACGAAAAGATAAAGAAAGTTAAATGAATTGATGTAGGGATTTCAATTCGTGTTCACTTGACTTCTTCAATGAACAATTATTTACCTTTCGACTTATTGCTTATTCAATTCAAGTGAACTGTTAAACCCTTATCTCAAAAACATTTCTCACCTCCTATACGAGTCTTTTTCCATCAACTGTTGTATTCTTGATTGAGCCAATGAGAAGGCATCCGGTCCACAACCACCCTCAAATGCCGCTTTTGTTGCTGCTTTCGTCGCTGAATCGAGATTCACCTAAAAGACTTTAACATTGCAAAGATCATTTCACTATTTTAAAGCTATTTTAAAGCTACTATTTTACATTCAGAGAAACCTTTTAAATGATCAAAAATCAACACATTTCAATGCTTAAACCAATGCTTAAACTCCAAGCTAACCAACCTCTCTTGGTGCTTGATCTTTCACATAGGTATTGAAGATCTCTTGTGCTTTCTTTTGCGTCTCCTTTTTCCCTTCTTTCATTCGTTTAAACTCTTCACATTCAACCCAGAAATCGATATTTTCATCGCTAAGCTCTTTCTTCAAATAATCTCGAAACAAGGCACATCCAACTGAAAAAAGAAAAGAATTTGAAATGATCGTTTGAAAGAGAAATGAAGAAATGCTTGTTTTTAAGTCTATTTTTCTATTGATTGTGAATTAGGAGATTTTTCTGGATTTGGAAAGAGATAAACAAGTGAATTGTTTTAAAACGGTTAGTTTAATTCGATGATGATTAAAACTAGGCTAAAAAAATGATAGAAAAGAATGAAGAAAAACAACTTTAGTTAACATAAATAATATAAAATTAACAATAAAATCTAAAACTAACATAGAGAATGTACATATTTTGTTAGAAAGTTTTCGATTAACGGATTTACTTTGGGAAACTATTGTAACCTATCGTAACCTATCGTAAATTATCGTAACTTATCGTATTCTATCGTAACCTATCGTACTCTATCGTAACCTATCGTACCCTATCGTAACCTATCGTAACCTATCGTACTCTATCATCCACTACTGTAATCTTCTCTTTTTTCTATCCAATCTATCAACTTTTATTTTCCTTTTCTGAAGAATATCGAAAGAACTTACATTTGTGTGTGATCAAAGCCTCAAAATCAGTTTCCCATTGTCGGACTTCTTCTCTCGATGGATAAAGTTGCCCAGTGCTCATCGCTCCATCAAGCTTATTCCGTAAATAAGAAACCGTCTTTTGAAGAGGACCGCTGAAATAAGAAAGTTGAATTTTGATAAGAAATCTTTACAAAATCTTTTAGTTATAAAAGTTACAGATGGATTTTGTCAATCAAGTGATCTTAGATCATTGTTTTATTAAGTCTAGATAACAAAGTCTACTTCAAATTCCTCAACCTAGCTCCTGGCTTTAACTGATTATGGTGATGATTGTGGAGTTGTTCAATCCAAATCGCTTCCAAATGATTATTCGAACGATGAGGTGAAGAAGATAATTCAAAAACTCCAGAACAATTAGAGGACATTGAGCTGCCTCTAGTCTCTTTCGATGAATAGTCATGGAGAAATGGACCTGGAGAAACCGATCGAGAAACCCGAACATTCTCTACAATTTCTCCAACATCGAATACAGGAATAGCTGTCGGTAACGATTCGCAAAGAACCCAATCAAGGGCACAACGAGAGGAATGCGGTAAATGTGAGTGCTTGCATCCTTGACAACTATCCGATCGTCCTTTCGTGGAACTCGTGGAAGTGGTACGAATTTTCGGTCTTGAGGTAAGCATTTGATGTTTTGAATGGCTTTCCAATAAAGTTTTCCCTTTTCTTTTATCAGCCTCACCCATCGGCTTCACTAAAATGGCGTTTCTGAATCAATTTTACGAGTTATGACTTCTCTCTCCGTTCGAAAATGACCCCGCTTATCGATGGGGTCATAAAATTTGGGCGGAATTGATGGGAAAAAGATTTTTTTTTTTTTGATAGATTGGTTAAAGGGGAAATTGAGTGATGAATTGGATTGAGATGGTAAATTTGAGAAGAGCAATGCCCAGCTAGGGTTCTGTCTACGAAATTCAGGTTATCGGGGAATGGGGAATGAAAAGAAAAAGTTGACGGTTTAAGAGTTCATAAAACGAGCCGAGAACCGATTTGATCATTTCTGGAGTTTAGATAAAAGTTACTAACCGATAAACTAAAAGTTTACCGAAGAATGTTCTTAAGGAAGAGTTAAAGAGTATGTTTGACATCACGACAAGGATCGGCAAGCTTTTTAAGGGTATTTTTCATTTCTTTTTGGTTTAAAATGACTTGATTGAAATGACTGGGATGCCATTTTAACATGGGACTTACTCTAACTTCTATCTAAAACAAATCTATCCAAGTATTTCTTAGTAATTGACAAGATAGAAAAATGATATCAGAAATATCGAGAAAAACATTGTAAATGAACTTAGACTATAATTTAATCAAATTTAGAAATTCGGATGCTTATCTAAATCTAGTATATGATAAAGTTAAACAAGTTTTCCACTGGGCAATGAAGCAAATTTGAGTTCATTGTACAAGGAAGAAGAAAGAAGAAAGAAGAAAGAAGAAAGAAGATAGGAGAAAGAAGATAGAAGAAAGAAGAAAGAAGAAAGAAGCTAGAAGCTAGAAGGAAGAAGATAGAAGGAAGAAGATAGAAGGAAGAAGATAGAAGGAAGAAGATAGAAGGAAGAAGTTGTTTATTATCTTGTGCTAGAGGAATTCAACCTGTTCCTTAACAAAAGCCCAAATTTCTCAACAAGTTGTCAAGTCTTACTGTAACTTCTATCTAAAACAAAGCTATCCAAATATCACTTGGTAATTGACAAGATAGAAACAAGATATCAGAAATATCAAAGAAGAAATATCGAGAGAAACAAGATCTCAGTCAGACTTCAACAAGGAAACGGTTCAAAGTCAATAGTTCGCATCAAAGTGTGAATCGCAACGCCAACTTCTAGCATAAACAAGAGTTGAATTCAAAAGTCTTGAAGATTTACTTGAAATTAACTTACTCAGGGAATCGGTGAGCAATGACGGGTGAGAGATCGAATCTCCGCCTTCTCATCTTCACCGATGGTCTTCCATTCGATAAAGTTTCCTCTTTTTCTTTCTTTTCTTCTCTCCACACACTCCATTGTGTCCATGTTGAGTTCGCAGACGATGAAGGCAAAATCGTTTCCAAACGTGCCTCAAAACTCGACAAAAACCCCGTGATACTCATTTATTTATAGAAGCATCGATGCGCAAAAACGGATTCACCCAAATATGGGCCCAATATCGGGAATGAGTTTTTCAAAGTTTTGCCCCCAAAAAAAGCTCTTTCCTGCCTAATTCCTGTCAAGGGAGATTACCCGTGATCGACAATTTAAGAGAATTTTTTGAGAAAACATCTATTACAAGCAGTTTACACAATTATCACCAGGAAACTCGAGGAATTCTGGGATCAAAAAGTTTGAAAAAGTTTTCAAATTGATCACTTCAAGCTGATTAATTCACGAATTTACAATCTTGTTTACCAAAAAAAATTGTCTTTCAAGACGCTCACGAAGAAACAAAAAGATTTTGGTGATCAGAAGTCTGAAAAATTTCTAATTTTAGTTTTCTAATGATTTCTAAGTTATTGATAGTCAAAACTGATGAAATTCACAATCTTCTTTGCAAAAAAAACCGCTTTGCAACGAATTCAGCACCAGGAAACGAAGCTAAAAGTCTAAAAACAGTGAAAAAGTTCAAGGAAATCATGAAATTCTTCGAATTCTTGATGTTCAGTTCATTTTTTCCTATGGTTTTTCATATTATAATTTCTCTAAACCAAAGTTATTCCAATCAAAATTCACGACTTCCCAATCGCCTTTTTCTAGAAGTGTGTCAAGCTTTTTCCTTTCTTTTCCTCCTCGATCAAAGATTCGAACACATTACCCAAATGAGTCGCTCAATAACAACGAATCCACTTTTTGACGAAATCCTTATTTGTGAACACTCAAAACGGGTTTATAACTGAAAAAGAAAGAAGGAAAAATGTCCTAATTGGTCGTTCTTGAAGAAAAATCGCCATTGAGGATCAAATTTCCATACTCAAAATGAAGAAAAGGACAAGAGAGAGAGAGAGAGAGAGAGAGAGAGAGAGAGAGAGAGAGAGAGAGTAATAACGAAAAAAAAACGGCGGAAGTTTTTTTTTTGTTATTTTTTTTGTAAAAATGAATTCAAGTAAATTTTGAGACGAGTCTCTATTTTCCGAGTGTCAAATTGGCTGCAATTTCGAAGGGAAATCGGGGGGAAACAAAAAGGAAAAGAAAAGAAAGAATTGATTGATTAAAGATTCTTTCAAGATTCAAGAAACTTACTCAAAAGCTGACTCAGCTTCCTTGACCGACGGCCACTTTTGCACTCGTCGATGCGGATTCGGCGGTAGAGGGACCGAGATTTTTCGGCGTACATCCATTGAAGAATGAATGAGATTTGTGAATGTTGCAATAAGACCAAAAAAAAAATAGATGAAAATCCAATATGGACACTCAAAATTGAAGAAGATTCACGAAATTGATGAATTCAGGAGTGAAGGGAAAGCTTTGGTTGCTCAAGATTTACCCATGGGGTTGCAGAAGATCGAGGATTATGGGGTGAGTGTTCCGATGTGCATAAAGGTGAAAGAGAAGATGGAAAGAGGGTTAGAAAAGGGGATTCAAGAAGACGACCCGCCCACATATGGAGAACCAGCAGGAGAGGAAAGAAGGTGAAAGAGCAAGAAGAGCAAGAAGAACAAGAAGGAGAAGAAGAACAAGAAGAAAAAGAAGAAAAAGAAGAACAAGAAGAGCAAGAAGAACAAGAAGAATAAGAAGAACAAGGAGAACCCCCATTTTCTTTCGGCGTTAACAGCAACGGATATGCAGCGAAGTGGAAGATCTTTATGCGCGTCATCATTTAGAAAAGGGAAAGAGAGAATGGTTTATTGTTTTAAAGTGTAATTTGCTCTAGAGCTGAACTGAATTGATCAAATCTTATTTTACTTGCTTTAAACACGTTTTCATATAAAAATTCTATTGTAATCTTGATTTACAGTCATTCAACACCAACTTAATTCTTTGAATTTACTCAAAAACGAATCTCAAGATGGAAAACAACTCTTATTCAACAACTGGAAAAGAAAAACTGGAAGACAACAATAGGAGCCGTGTTGGAACCGTATTAGATCAAAATAGGAACCGTATTGGAACCGTATTATACAACTGGAAGACAACAACTAGAAAACAACTCTTATCCAACAACTAACTTCTTTTGCGTACTCATTATAGTTTTCTATAGTATTTTTTCGATTATAATTGTTATAGTTTTCTATAAAATGTTGAGATTATTGTTTTCTATAGCATATTTAGCTTTGTAGTTTTCTATCGTTTACTATAGATTGCTAGAAATGCTGGAAAATGCTCAACATCATCGAGTTGTTTCTCCCATTCTTCAAAGCACTTGGCTCACTTCCTTAAAATTTACGACTTCAATCCAAATTCCCCTTTCTGATCAAATTTATCGCGTATTCTCCTTGTTCACACCTCTCAAAAACTCTGATCGAATTCGTTCCCTAGAGGCCATTTCCGTTCATTGCAAAGAAGATGCAATGGTCGAAAGATCCCCCAGGGAATCAAGAGAAAAACTTCAAAAGCCTTGAAAGAAAATCTGCAGAAAATGTGAAGACTAATGGCCATTCGGGGAGTTGTGATCGACTCGAGCGATAATGCTCTCTTCATCGTTATGGGGAAGAGTGGAAGAAAGGGATTGAGATAGGTGGATTCCCCGGAGAGATCACCGGAATCTCAATAAATCTCTCAAAAGAGCAAGGGTAATACGAAAGTTCACAGGTTCTTCAACAAAGTAAGAAATTGATTCAATTAAGTAAGAACTGGTCATGCTTGATAAAATGAAATTTATCGTTGTTCAATTGTTTTCTAAAGAAATGAAGCAAGATTTTCAAGATGAATCTAGGCTTTAAGTTTACCAAATTTCGGGGTAGGCTACTTTGCGCCAAGTTTTTTGCGCAACAGGGTCGTTTCCGCAACTCTTCATAACTTTCTTCCAAGTCAACCAATCTTTATGATTTTGATTTCATTTTGTAGATCTCAATAAGTGCAACAAAATGACATCAAAATCATAAAGATTAACCGACTTAGAAGAAAGTTATAGCGAGTTGCGCAAAAAAAAGTTGCGGAAATTAGCCTACCCCCAAATTTCGGGTACTATTGCGTACTATCAACATCAAATAAAAACCCAATTAGCTCATTTTAACACGATATATCTCAAGTCTTACCAGTTTCTCAGTAATTTTTCTCTTTTCTTTGATTCAAAAGCCGTAATCCAGTACAGTTTAAAGTTAATAACCTATAAATTATCTATTAGGTTGGCAACTTAATAATGACGCGTCACTACTTAACATGTTTTTTGTAATTTCAAGCGCCGTTTCTTCCCTCTTTTTTGCATATATACAAAGTAAAAGATGTCTACATAAATAACATTTAGTGCTCCAAATTTCATCATTTGCTTTTTGGCAAAAAATGGAGGACAAAAAATTCCGTATTCGAGCTTCATTGTTCTACGATTTTAAACAAGGAAAATCACCAGCTGAATCTCATCGCACGATCATCACTGTTTTTGGGGAGGAAAGTATGCACATTCGGCAATGTCAACGATGGTTTGAAAGATTCCAAGGCGGCGATGAAAGCCTCGTAGACGAGCCACACCAGGGACATCCTCCAGAAGTGGTCGACGATGACTTGCTCGCCTTAATTGAAGACTGCCCAACACTCACCGTTCGTGAGTTGGCAGAAATATTTGAAGTATCCCATATGACAATCGAAAACTATTTACACAAACTTGGGAAAAGAATCGAGTTGGAAAATGGGTTCCTCAGGAACTGACCCAAAGCAACAAAATGTCGCCTCAATTTTGCTACAAAAATGTAAATCAAACGACTTTTTTTCACAGGGTTTTGACTTCTGACGAAATGTGGATCAACTGCGAGAACGTTAAACGCAAAAATCAATGGCTATCTGCTGGGCAGACCCCTTAAACCACTCCCAAACCTGATATCCATGAGAAGAAGATAATGCTCTGTTGCTGGTGGAACTTCAAGAGATTGGTGCATTATGAAGTGCTGAAACCTGGCCAAACCGTCGATGCTGATCTTTATTCGAAGCAATTAATGAGAGTTAACGAGTCTTTGAAGAAATTGGGGCTCAAACCGGAGAGAGTCAGATTTTTACAAGACAACGCAAAACCTCACACTGCAAAGATCACTTATAAGAAAATCGAGGAACTTGGCTGGAAAGTTTTGCCCCACGCGTCTTATTCACCTGATCTGGCTCCTTCAGATTACTTTTTGTTTCGGTCGCTGAAGCACTTTTTGGAGGGAGAAAAGTTCGATGATCATGCTCAGGTCATAAAAGCAGTGAATGACTACTTGGCCTCAAAAACTCCCAAGTTCTTCGAGGATGGGATCCGGGATTTGCGCAGAAGTTGGAGAATACCTTTCGGAGATACTAATGGAGAATACCTTTCGAATTGAAAGCTCTTCTTTTGTGTTTTTTTGAAATAAATGATTTGTTACATAAACGCGTCATTATTAAGTTGCCAACCTAATAGAAAAATGAATGATAGCGCTGGAAATACATAAATAATAAGTTTTACACTATTTAAATAACTCATAGTGAAGTTCTTTTAACTTTTAGTTCTTCATTTGAAAGATTAAACGTTAAAATCAACTTGATTGTACCAACTCTTTCAAACTTTGTAACCAAAATAATCAAATTTCTTCAAAAACTCACAAAAATTTCTTCTCCTTCTTGTTGTCTTCATCCCTCAAATTCGGCAATCTTTGATTATTCTTCTCGACGCTTTGTTTCGGTGAAAAGGTGAACGATTGTGCTCGACGAATTGCACTATTCAAGCCACCACTCTGAAATTTAAGAAGTTCAAATCTTGAAATAAATATCCATTTTAAAAAAGTAGAAGATATTTTCTAATTAAAAAAAAGTGAAAGAAAGATTGACAACACGATTTTTTTTCGGTGCTTTTTTTTTCACCCACAACCGAAAGACTTCGAGAATTTCGAGGCCGGCGTCCGGGCTTTGCTCGCAATGGCTTCAAAATTGGCTTTATATTGGGATATATATGTCGCAGCCACTCGTGATCTTCAGCCGCTAGTGATTAATCACCATCGGCTAACTTTTTTATTTGCATGTGAGATAAATCTGCATTGCATTTCAAATGTTTCGTTAAAAAAATTTCAATCACTAGCGGCTAGCCGTTGATGATTCAATCACTAGCGGCTGAAGATCACGAGCGGCTGCGACATATATATTGAAAATTGGGTAAATTTCAATTAAAAAGAGTAAATTGAAACCTTTTGCTTGTCCTTATTATTGTTATTATTCGGTGGTTGCGGTGGTAAGGTGTCGGGTGGAGCGTGAAGTCGACCAAAGTTCACTTGGGCACCGTTTTGATCACCATCGGCTCCGGTGAGATTGCTGTCCGTCTCTGAGGTGACATCACCTGTAATTTAGAAAGATTTTTTCCTATAAGCTTTGAATTTAGTACTTAAAATCGCGGGTTTTTCTGTATAAGGATGGCTGGGGACGCTAAGAGTTGGAAAGTTTTTGTAAGATCTTCTTTATCTTCTTTAGCAAAGTGAAAAAATGGAAACAAATTTACTAAAAGTACTCATTTAAAGAGGCTTATTTTTACAATTACTCGATAAATTAGAATCTAGATTAATATTGCTAAACTTTGTAAGTTTTACAAAGAGTTTGAAAGCTTTAGAAAGATTTTGAAAGCTTTAGAAAGATTTTGAAAGCACAGAAACCTATTCAAAAGAAGAATTGCTATTGAAATTCCCCCCTACTCGTTGCTGCTTCTTCAGACACATAAGATAATGATCGATGTTTTCGAGAGGTTCTTCTGAATAAAATCTTTCGTCGAAATGGAGACGCTGACTCGCTAAATGATGGAGATTTCGGCTCACCAACGAGCACATCTTCAGCCTCATCTTTACTCATCATATCTGCAGAAGATTCAAATCAAATGATAATGAAAAGTTTGAAATTGTTTTCAAAACTAAAAGTCCAATTATTAAAACTGAAAAATTATTTGTGAAAAAAAAAGTCTCTAGAGATTTTCAAATACACAAAAGTTCTCCTATTCTTTTTTTTTGCAATATCTGTAATTTGAGAAAGAAATGGTGAAAGTTAGAGAAGAGAATGAGAAAAAGAAGTGTATCATCCTTAAAGCTATCGATTGAAAAAGCTGAAAATAAAAAATAAATCATTAGAAATGGGCATAAAAGAAGGATTGTTGCCAAAATGATTGGGGAGAGAAAGGATCGAAAAGACAATAAATTAGCGTGTAATCAGTGTAGAAGAAAAAGGAATCGAGTGATTAGATTTGAGGGGAAAGGGAAAAGGAAAAAGGTTCAATTCTGGTCATGTTTTAGAAGTTAGTCAGAAGAGATTTACTTGGTTTGGCTTTGGTTTACTTTGGTTTACTTGAAATCTTAGGAAATAGTCGGTTTGTTAAGCTAGGTCAAAGATTTGGGTGACTCTAAGCTAAAGCTAGATTAGGCCAGACTCAGGGAAAAGGCATCAAAAGCCATCATGATCTTTGTCATTAGTAAAGTCATTCTCATCGTCTAGCCTCGAAAGACTGGCCTATAAATATTCAGGACCTAGCTTCAGGAATAAGCTAGCTAGCCTAAAAGCCTAGCTTCAGGAATAAGCTAGCCCAAAAGTCATAAAAAAACCTGGTTTGGCCTTAAAATCTTAAGTATTTTATTGATATAAAAGTCTATAATTTGAATTTTTCAAACTTTTTTACTGATAAGAAGCTTTGGAAATATAGTAAAATTGTTAAAAATTAACTTAAACTTTAACAGAGTTTAATGAAATTTGAAAAAAACTCATTTATGAAAGGGATTAAAGTTTTTTTCTGAAACATTTTTGACAAAGGAATTTCCTTTTAAAGTTAAAATACATTTAATTCAATATCTTAAGCTTAAAGTCACCAAAAAAAGGGGAAATTTCTGAAATGAAGCTCGATAAATGAGTTATTTAATCAGTCAAGTGGAAAAAGGATCGGACAAGAATGGGTGATTAGGGCCAAAAAAGAAAAAAATGAGTGAAAAAGAAAGTGATGAATCGGGTGTTTTCTCGCTTTTCTTAACACCTTTGAGGCTTTTTTTTTAAGTCAAAAGAAAGGAAAGGAGAAACGGGGACAAAAAGGCGATCAATTTGATAAGTGATCGCTTTCGACTTTTGAGGAAAATTAAGCATGTGATTGAGTGATTTTCGTATGGATTATTTTCGTATTTCGATTTGACTAGCGCTCATTTTCGTATTCTTTTTCTTCATTCTCAAGTAATATTCAATAAAAGTTTGAAAAAAAGAAAAGCCGGATGTCTTTTTCATAGTCGAGTTTTTATTTTTAATTGAATTGAAAGAAATGAATTGAAATCGAGCTTTTCTATTGTTGATTTTGGGATGAAAATTGATTAAACTGGGGGTGGGACAAATGCTACCTTTTTTTGCTGAAAAAGGCCTTAGGAAAGGCCGTAGAGCTTCAAAAATGTTTTCATAGAAGGGAATCGTATGCGTAGATTCCGAATTTCGACAAATCAGACCTCGCTGACACGTCAAATTTGGGCTAAAAGGCAAAAACTGCGGAAAAGCGTTAAGCTGTGTAGTTTTTGCCTTTTAGCCCAAATTTGACGTGTCAGCGAGGTTTGATTTGTCGAAATTCGGAATCTACGCATACGATTCCGTTATATAGAAATATTTTCGAAGCTCTACGGCCTTGCCTAAGGCCTTTTCCAGCAAAAAAAAGGTGCGCAAATGTCTAGGTGCGCAAAAAAAAAAGGTCGCATTTGTCCCACCCCCCATTAAACTAAAATTATAAATGCATATTTTATTAAAGTTTACAATTTCTAAAGTTTCTAAAGTTAGAGTTTACAGTTTACAGTTTTTAATTAAACTTTTGTAAAGTTTTTGAAGGATTTCAACAATTTCTTTAAGCCTTAAAAGCAATCTTTTTTTGAAACAAAGTCAAGTTTTTTTTTTTTGCTAAAAAAAATCAAAAACATTATCATTTTCGTAGATGACGTGAAAATATGTTAAAAATTGAGCTTATTTTGTGGAAAGGAGGATGGCTGGGAATATTTTAAGTTTGACGCAGAAAGACACTGAAAAAGACACAGTGAAGTGCATGTGTTTTCAATATTTGATCGCTTTTTTTGAGAGGATTTCGATGAGAATCACGCTGAGAATTGAGTAAAAACTATCAGAGAACACAGTTCATTTTTAGTTTAAATCAAATTGAATCTAGGAGCATTAAAAATCATAGATTTGTGGATATTTCCTTGACAAAAGGAAGAGAAACAAACGCTAAAGACCTCATCAAAATTCATTGAAGATAGGCTAAGAATAGAAAAAAAATCAGAAAATTGTATTGGATTGAGAAGAAAGTTGAAAAAAGATGGAGATGATATTACTTTTGAAAGTCTTTCAAAGATAAAACCAATCAAATTACACATTTAAATTGGAATTGAACAACTGAAAGTCGAAAATTTTGGGGTTAGGCTAATTTCCGCAATTTTTTTTTACGCAATTCGCCATAAATTTATTCTAAGTCAGTCAATCTTTATGATTTTGATGTCATTTTGTTGCACTTATTGAGATCTACAAAATGAAACCAAAATCATAAAGATTAGTTCACTTAGAAGAAAGTTATGGAGAGTTGCGGAAACGACCTAGTTGGGCAAAAAAATTTGGGGCAAAGTAGCCACCGCGCCCCCTCCAAATCATACTAGGGTAAGGTATAACCCTAGCTCAGGCCACCATCGAATACATGTCGTTGTAGGGTTCGCCTGGTAAGCCAAAGGTCCCGGGCTCGAATCCCAGCACCGGCCATGCCGATGACGGCCATTATTTTCTAATTTTCTACAAAAAAAAAAAAAAAAATTCTATTGTTAACTAAAAGCTGAATTTTATTTTTTTCTCTAATTTCTCATTGAAAGCTAAAGAAAAACACTGAAACATTGATAAATAAGGGTAATTTAAAGGGAAAAAGACACAAGAATTCCTTATTTTGTGTGAGATTTGGCGAAGAAAGATAAAATGGGACCAAAAAAAGTGAAGACAATTCCAGTTGTTCTTCTTTTTTTCTCTTTTCCTTTCCGTGTTTCCTTCTAATTAACCCCTTGTTGAAGAGACCCAATAGAGAAAAGAAAAAGAAAGAGAAAGAGAAGAAAGAGAAGAAAGAGAAGAAAGAGACAAATTGGAAATGTTTTTGTCGTTTTTCTTTTCTTCCAACATTTTCTGTTTCTCTATGCTTTAAACCGTTCAATGGCTCATTTAGTAAAAAAAAAATCGCGAATTTTTTCAGCAGGTGGTTTTTTCTCTTTGATTTCTTTTCTACTATCATCAATTCGTTTTCTAGAATTTGCAATGCTGGATTGGAATTGTTGTTTTTACTTCCTCAGCTCTATTAGCTCTGATTTCGCAAATCGCATTGCAGAATTGAACTAGTTTTTAGCAAAAAAAAATGCCATAGTTTAGCAGAATTTGCACAACTTAACTATTAAGTTACAATTATTATCGATTTGGTTGCATTAGCCATTAACTAAACGGCTATGCCATTAAACTAAAGCTTTGAATGATGACGAAGAGTCGCAAAACCTTAGAACTTCACTAGCTTATTTGAAAATTGACAAATTGCGACACAAATTTTCAGATTCTATGCTTATTATTAAAATTTGTCTCATGAAATTGCATAAATTTAATCTAGTAGAGTTTGAGGAATCAATTTCTCGATTTTCAAAGAAAAGAAAGCAATTTCAAATCAAATCTCAACTCTTACCAACATAAATCCCATGATGTGTACGTGATCGATGAATGACTTTCGTTGAAATCACATGAATATCTGATGTTTCCCTAGCCGATCTTCTGCGACAACATTGCAGCATTACCACAGAGATAGAAAAATTTGTGGAATAGTGGACAAGGAATTCGATCTCAAACAGCGAAATCTCAATCATCAGCAGATAAATCGTATGCATGAATGAAGGCGAACGGAGGAAAAAAAGGGCTAACTTCTAATCCAGATAAAGGGTCGAAAAATGTTAGTGGAACAGCGAAACGACGTAGAACCAGGAACTTTTTGCGAGAAAAGCCCGGTGCAAAAATGTTTGCTATTTGTGGCATTTGAATTGCATGGACACCGCGCATATAAATGTTAAAATTCAAGGATAAAATTTGGCTGCTCACTTTTGCTATACTTTTTTCCCGAAAATAGTAATTGTTTGGGTAAACTTACTGAATGTGAACGACGGAACACTGTAGTTGGGGAATTTCGCGCAGAGGCCAGCTTTGAAATCGTGTCCAGACACTCCAGAAACACCTGAATATGATTCTTAAATTCTCCAACAGTACATGTAGTTGTTAAGTTCTTATTTTAGTTACTTACTGCTTGATGCACTTGTGTAATCATAGCTGACAAGTTGATCGATTCCAAGATGAGAAGATCCTGATGAGGACATTGCTCGATTGTCTCCTGGATACGATGATGGGAAAGATGTTGTTGGACCTAGAAAAGCAATAGGTTTAATCAAAAAAAAAAGAAACTAGTTTGGTTTTTCTATAAAATGTAGAGAAATTTTAAGAACTCACCACTTTCAAAGCTAGGCACCCACGATGAACCGCCAGCCGATGACGAGCGCCAATCATCCGAAAGCATTCCCTGGAAATCAAATTTTGATTTTTGTTTAAATTTTTCTTCTTTCAATGCCTTTTAATGTCAAAAGTTTCATTTTTCTTTGTTTAAAAACAGGTGAAAGAAAAATCAAGTCTTTACAACAAAAAACTGAAAGAGTAATCTTCAAGGTGTAATCAAAAAGTTTAGACGTGCTCATATAATGTAGGTAAACCACATGAAAATTCAGTGAGAGAGTTCGTTTTTCATCGCACACCGTGAGCGGACTCGAAACCGCGATCAATCGCGCGCGAGCCGAGCACACAACCAATAGACCACTGAGGGACCGTGAGGGTGGTGAAAAGAAAGGCCTTTTGAACGAAATGAAAGGCTTTTAAGGAGTTGAAAGGTTATGGAAAAAGTCAATTATTAGATAAAAATGAGATTGTGCACTTAAATTGGTCACACGATTGGGGTAAAGATGGATTTCGAGTGGGAGAACACCTCTATCTCGCGAAATCTTTCGCTAAAGAGAGAAAGAAGGGGGAAATCCGAGGGCAACACACACACTTTGAGTGCAGGCAGGAGGTCATCAAATAAATCTCGTCACTCACAAAAGTGTGAATCTGTGAAAAAGCAAAGCACAAGAATGCGGAAAGTGATAAAGGATAACTTTTTTGGAATCCAAATTCCTAGAGAAATCCTAGAGAAATCTAAATCTAAAATAAATGAACTCGGTTGATTTTTCGTTTTTTATAAACAATAAATTTCTCAAGATGTTTCCGTTGCACAAAAGAGTCAAAAAAGAATTTTTTTTCTTTAGTTTTTTCGTTTAGTTTAAAAATATCTATTAGTCTGTTCACAAAGTCTTTTCGTTTCTTATCATTATACCTAGTAGATTAAAACTTTTTGAACCAATAAGATTTTCGATTTTATAAATAAAATCTGTAATCTCTTTTCTCAGATTTAAACTCAAAAACTAAAGTGTTATTAAAATTTGACTTCAAAAATGACTATTAGCTTAGGAAAAGGAGAAATTTTGCGATGTCTGCTTTTCCGAGGAAAAGAACCGATCCCATAATGGCTTTCATAATGATTCATTTTTTTTTCAGAACAAAAACGGGGAAAGAAAGTGTTTAGGTTGAAAAAATTCTAGTTGGCTTTAGGCGGTGATGTCAAAAGAATCGATCTGAAAAAATGAGAAGAATGGAAATGTGATCAAGGAGGACAAAATCGGGGGAAATCTTTCAACTTTCTCTTTTCAGCAATCGGTCCAAATGTCCAAGTGTTTTGCGGTTTTCGAAAAAACGATGAAGGACTCAAAAAAAAGTCAAGGAAAAGAGATGGTTCAGCTGTCTCCGTGTCATCATTTCAGCTTTAGGGCAAAAAAAAGATTTTCAGGATCACTAAACGGGTGTAATATTTCCTAGGGAAAAGGTGAATGATTGTTTATAAAGTTTCAAAAATTGATAGACTATAGATATTCAATGGAAAAGTATATATTGAAATGATAATATAAAGGGAATTTCAAATCAAAAAGAAATTTTTCGTATTGGGAAGGGATGACCGGGAAAGATTGATGATTCTAACATTTTTTGAAGAAAAAACGAAGAACATGGCAGCTTGAGATGAAAAGAAATGGAGAAGAAAGAAAAAAAGGGAAAGATTTGGACAGACTCGACGTTTTTCCCAGCCTATGAGCCGGCTGTTATCCAAAGATTTTGAGCTCGAGAAAACGATTGAAATCATTGACCCCATTAGCAACAATCTTTTGATCGGTGTGTAAGGCTTTGGTGAGTTTAAAGATCAACAATCGCTTAAAGCAACAAATGTACCAAGTAGAAGTGAATCAGAATTTAAATAGACTTAACTTGAAATGAAATTTCAAGTTAAGTTTACAATCCGATCCAACGAGTAAACTAATCTTGAGCTATTGAACTGATCTCTGTGGAATTTTTCGGAGCTGTCAAATGAAAGTTTGAAAATCAACAATGAATGCTAAAGTTTGAGGAAAATTTGTGAGAAGTTCTGATTTGAAAAGTCAAATAAGAGGAAAAGGAAAGTTGAAGCAATTGCTAAAGATCATTCAACTTCAAATCTAAACTCAGATCAGAGCCGTGAACAGCTCCGGATTTTATTTAAAGAACACTAAAATTCAACAAGTAACTGGTGGATAATCGTAGCTATAAATAGCCAAGAATACATCTGATCGTTTGGGGTTTAATTTTGGAACCTTGTGAACTCAGGGGCAATCGGAGGAGGGATTCTTGAAGTCGCTGACTAATCAAGGGAGAATGCAAAGGGAGAGTGCGCAAACTTTTCTGGGAATTTCGTTGGAAAGAATAATGGAGAGACAAGAATCTGAAAACTGATCTGAAAACAAAAAGAAAAACAAAAAAGAAACACTTTGAAGGTAAATGATTAAAGAACCATTGATAGTGATGAGTAATGTGGGACTGGATTGTTAGTAAATTTTAGTTTTAGCTTTGAAGTAGGACTTTAAAACTCTTTAAAACCAATAGAGTTAAAAGTTTTCAATATTTTCAATCTTCTGATCTCATACCTGATGTCTCATCGATAAAAACGGTCCATCGATCACGTCCGCTCCGTATTCTTTATGGGTGCGAATCTGAAAATGTTTGTGTGAAGATTGCATGTAGCTTTTAAAGCTTGATTATCATTAAAAAAAATGATTTTGTTTAAAAATATTAAAATATTAAAATATTAAAACTAAACAGCTTTAAAATCCTAGTTTTTTTTGATAAAAACAAACATTTTCCTGTGGCCAATTCGTGCGTCGAGCCTTTTCATCGGAGAACATGTAAAAACCACCATTGTTGATCTGGAAAGAATTTATTTATCTGGCATTTAGCAGTAAAATTATTATACTTAATATTAAACTTAATATTAGATTACTAAAACTCACGTCAATCCTGTTTCTTGGTCCAGGAATTCGTCCACCGTTCTAAACAATCAATTTTTCAGACAAAAACTTAAAAATTACCCGATCAGCCGCTTTCTCGAAGAGTTTCTTGATTGGAAATGTCATTCCTCCATAGAAATCTTTGCTGAAATGAATTTCAGCGTTTCAGCGTAGAGTTACAGTTTATAAATTTAAATCAATCTTTAGACCCACTGATTTCGATCGATATTCGTGATGTAGACAGTGATGTGCAAGCGACTGTGGCGGATCTCTCGGAGCTCACTGGAAATGAAAATATCTGTATCAGGTAAACAAAATAAACATCCAAAATTCTTTTACGTTTAAAAGTGTTAGAGATGTTAAAGAAAGCAAGAAAGCTTTAAAACTTACAAGGCAAATTTTTGATCATAACGTGGATTCCTGGAGGCAAGCACTCGATGCGTTCTCACCGATGAATCGGCTCTTCGCTGATTCACCGAACGTTTTCGACCACTTTCGGCTCTCGACGAGGACACGAGTTCTAGCTAAATGTTTTTAATATTAAAAGCTTATTATTTAAATTTACAGATAAATTTCTAACTCACCCTAACAAACGATGAAATAAACAACGGTGGATCGAAGAAGAAATGCGCGTTTTGAATCCGCACCTTTAGGATATTTCCCGTGATTGTCATCTTCAAGAACAGGATTCCTAAACAATTTTTGTTAAAAGTCTAGTTTTTCAAAAACCATTGATCTTTGCATTTTTCGCTAACATAGTCGATGGATAGCCAAAATCAGTTGGATCGTAGATTTTCTCGATTGGCAACGGTTGAACAGGGAAATCGCAAGGTACCTGAATTTGAAGAATTTTGAAAATATCTACATAGAACTGAATTATCTTAGCTTCAAATTTTATTGAACTTACCGGATCAATTAAAAACGAGTTCTCTGAACGAAACAAGACATCGGAATATTTGCCAATTCTAGGTACACGTCTCGTTTTCGATTGTTTCGGGGTAGAAGATTGGAATTGATAGTTGTGATGAGCACGAGGAGTGAAATTTGGATTAGTCTAAACAGGATATTTGATAAAATTCAAAGAATTTATACCTTTGGCAGCATTGGTTTTGGCGGCAATGGTGGAGCCATTGGTTGAAATGATGTGGTTGTCGAGGTGAAGAGTGGACGGAAACTTCTTGGCATTTTGGGAGCACTTTTGAAGCGAGGCATTGGAGATGGCAGTCCTTCATCGCCATTGATATCCGGGTAAATATTGTGAGGTGAAGGAAGTTCCTGAAAATTTCAATGAATGTAAACTGACAACTTGATTACTTTTAAAAACTAGGTGCCTTTTAAAACACAAACCTCAATACTGCTCAATCGTGGGCCAGCCATCAGCCTTGATGTTGGAGGTGAGATTCTCGATGGATGAAATGAGTGCAATGGTGGGGCCAATCGCTGTCGTCGAATCGGTGCATATTGTTCGGAAAGACTGTCCGTGTCGGGTAAAGAGCTTGTGTCCTAAAGAAATTTCGTTTTTGGTTTGAAAGCTTTACTGAATTTACCTGTGATGTATTTGTGATTTCTCCAGTCATATCCCCAAAAGATCCAGTGATCGATGAAGAGTAGTCCATGTCCAATTTCAGCGAAGAAGCACTTTGGCTTCGAGAGAAACGATGGGAAAACGGTTTGCATCGACTAAAAATGAAGTTGATTTTATGAATTTGCTTCCTGTTATAATATTTAGAAAAACGAACGGTTGTGCTTTCTGATAGAGCTGTTTTCTGGTGGCAATGCGATGCGTGAGTTGATTTTCCTTATCATAGCTCTCTTCATCTTCAGAACTCGATAGTAAATCGTCTTCTTCACAATCTCGACCATATCTGACAGTTAAATTTAAATGGATTGAGAATAATATTCAAAAACGTTTACAGTTTTGTTAACTTTACTTTCCAATTTCCTATAAAACTTAATGACACTTTCCAATTGGAGATTAAACTTTTAATTAACAAGATAAGCTAAGTTTGTTCAAAAATTAGCATAGAACTTGGTTCTTCTAGTAGAAAAGTATTAGTATTAGTACTTCTTCTAGTATTTACCTTGTAAATATGCTGATAGTGAAAAATTTGCCTAGTTTAACTTATAACCATAAACATCTCTGCAATCTAAGTAGGCATTTTGAAATCGACAAAATCTAGTAGAACAAAATTCCCAACTATTACCTCAAATGATGATGAAGACTCTTTAAACGGGCCATCGGCGGTGATGGTGGAAGTGATTCGAAGAATTCTCCTTCTTCTCCTCGAATTCCTCTCTCATCATCGCTGTCACTACTGATCACTCTATCATCCAAATACTCGATTCCGCTCATCATTTTCTAAAAAAAGACAATAATTGAAGGAAAGGGAAAAAAATCGGAAAGGAAATATTGAATCCAACAAATCATCGAACGCTAATGTGAAGTGATCTCTAAGAAAAAGGTGAAAAAGAATGGGAAAAAGTGAAAAAAATGGGTAATTTATTAGATGGGTGTTGGAAAGTTGTGAAGAGTTTGGAGAAAAGTTCGAAATAACACAAGATCGGTGAAGAATTGTAGTTAAAAATAATCATTTTATCAAAGTTTTACTATAAAAAGCTATAGTTCTTGTCTAAAATCATTACAAAATCACATTGATTTCCAAAAAAAATAGCTCAAAAAGACTTCTGCCAGTGGTCTCTTTCGATTTCCCATTGGCACCAGTCGAGCGGTCGGATCAAAACCCCAATTTTCTTTTCCTATTCTACTGACAATTGTCAATAGTTTATGAGGGAAACAAAAAAAATCAACTTTAAAACAAATCTAGAGTAATAAATCAATGACAAAACCCACAAAAAGCTTATAATTTAGCTCTTTAGATAAATTTTTTTAAAAGCAAAGAAAAAGAATATCTAAATTGGTTGGAATCAAGATTTTTGATTAACTATTGTAAGTAAGAGGACTTTTTTGCAACTAAAATTAAACTTTTTTATCAATAAAACGATAAATTGTGGGTCAATATAGACAAAAGAATCTTTTACTTGTATATACCGTAAATACTGTAATAGTACCCCACCGCCCTCGTACAGTCGCGTAGTCGCAAAAGTTTTTTAGTATTTCATTTTTTTCAAAGCGCCCGTACTTTCAAAAAATGCGTCTTTGGTATCAAAAAATAGCTGAAATTCAGGGCTATTTTTTGATACCTAAGCGAGCATTGTAGCGTAAACCAGTGTCGAGAAAAACTCGTTCAAAACTACACTACGCAACGCTCCGCACCGTCATTATGGGGGTGGGGTACTATTACAGTATTTACGGTAGAAGAAGGAATGCTTGCCTTTCTTATACAAATATTTCTAATTCTTATTGCTCAGCGGGTCATCGATATCGATCGATTAATGGGATGAATGAGGGAAGCCGTTTCCCTTTTTTTAGGTCATTCAAAGCCTTAGGTCATACCGCTCAACCATCATAAACAAACATAAACCAGTGACCGAAAAAAGAGTGGTCGATGGATTGTTGATAAGATTTTAGTGCTAAATTTGATTATTCTCGATCCCTAGATCTTGATTTGTTAAAAAGTTGAATTGAACTTTAAACTTTAAATTAAACTTTAAACTTTAAATTAAACTTTAAACTTTAAATTACACTTTAAACTTTAAATTACACTTTAAACTTTAAATTACACTTTAAACTTTAAATTACACTTTAAACTTTAAATTACACTTTAAACTTTAAACTTTACACTTTAAACTTTAAATTTGATCATTTACAATTAAGAGAAAAGTACTATAGTAAGATTAAGAAAAAATTAGTGGGCTTTAAATTTCAGAAAACCGGCTTTGGATGAAAATCCGAGGAAATGACACCGATCGAACAGGAAAAGACGCCGATTTTATGACTCTTGTACGATGGATTTCTTTCACAAAAAGTGCCCTTTATGAAAAGGAAAATGACAAGCCAGATGCTCAATGAACAGGATTGGATTAGATTAGAAAAAAAGGAGTGCTCATTGCAATGGTGACAAAAGAGTACTACGATTTCTGGCTGTAATATTGAGCTGAAATCATCTTTAACTAGAGCCAACAACTGCTAAAATCCCTGAAAAGATTTCGTTCAGAGATTTTCTGGTCAACTGGCCAAAAAATGAGTTTCAGCTTTGGTTCAAGAATCAATCGAAAGTTGAGATGAAGGCTAAAAATAAACCAAATTTCATGATGTTGCCGAGAAATTGGCTTGTTGAAAAGATTTCGATCGAAAATTTCTTAAAGAAAACCAAGTCTGTTCAAGAATCAAAGAAATAGAATAAAATTTGTTAAAATTTAATTCTTGAACAAACTCTTGAGTAATCTTGAAACAAAACTGGTCAACAATGACTCAAAAAACATTAAGGTATTGTTGAAAGAGCACTTTGAAGAGTAAACTTCAAAATTTGCAACAGATGGCCGACGGCACACTCTGCAAAGATATACAAAGGGGTAAAGGTCAGTCATTTCTTGAGTAGAACAAGAAGAAAAGTAAAGAAATTGAGGAGAATTTATGGGAAAATTGCGGTGGAGTTGGGGGATGGCCTGTCCCATTGCTTGCCCTCTCCCGCCTAAGGACTCATTCAAATCGGAGCAAAAAGGGACGCGCTTGTTAGGGAAAAGAAAGACGAAGAGATTGTGAGAAAATGAGAGAAATGGGGAAATCGATGAAGAGATTGATGGGAAAAGAAATAAAGGGAAAAGGAGAACTGTTCAAATGGATGGCATCCTATATTCTCAGACTTGATCACCATTTCGGGAAGAAATTTTGGAAATTGTGAATAAAAAAGACATGAGTACAACTCGGATTAAAAAGTTTAGCGAAATAGTTTGACTTTTGTAATAGCTAGTTCTTGTATAGCACATTATTCTTCAATAAAAATTTGTCATTCTTAAGATAGACAGCTATCAGTGGACTTTAAAATAAATTAACATTAAGATAAAGATCAGAAACTGGCTGAAGATTTGAGAAGATCAATCTCTTATTGAAAGCTTTGGTAAAAATATTGCTTTTCTATTGGATGCTTGTTGGATTTGCTGGATTTGTTCTGAGCAAAGCAGAGTTTGGCTTACAGTCATCGACAAAAGTCTTTTAACGTTTGGTTTTTAGAAGTTTGTTCTTTGTATATCTTGATCCAAATCCGATCAATTTGCAAATTAGCTCAATTTGGCTCAATTTTTGTTTTATTAAAAAGTTCATGACACGTGATAAATTGTTAAATCGATTTTTTTGTAATGTTAAAATTAGAGATAATAAGCTTTTTAAATCTTTTAACCGTTTGCAAATTGGTCAGATTTTGATCAAGATATACAAAGAACAAACTTCTAAAAATCAACATTAAAAGATTTTTGTCCATGACTGTAGCTCAGGTTTAGATCTGAGCTTGCCTTCTGATCGGGTTCTGGCAAAGCCATAAATTTCTTCACAAAATAAACACTCCACTTTGAAACACCCTTTATTTTTAGCACTTTTCAGTGTTTTTCCAGTTTTTTTGTGCATTCTACTTTTACAGATTTCAAGCCGCTTTCAAGATACATTCCCTGAAAGCCGATCAATTCTGCCATCGAACACATGTTTGTAAAAACTTATTGATTTGTCAGTTTGTTTGAAAAATAAAATCAAAATCCAGGAATGTGTTGAAGATAGTGATTGCGAGAAATAAGTGTTTTGTCAAAAATCCAAGGATGGATCGCTTTCTTTCTCGAGCGCTTTCTAGTTGAGATGCTACTCGGCTAATTCGTCTTTATCAGGATTCTTTTATGCAAATGTTTTCTTTTAGTTTAACAACTCAAAATGACTACGAGTTATCGTTGTTTTAGATTATAGCCAAAGAAGATTCAGCTATTTGGAGCTTGGAGAACGTTGTGTGAAGATTGGAAGATTGGAAGATTGAAGATAACGGTTCAAATTCGATTTCAACAGTCAACGATTTGAAACCCATAACACACAAATATTTATTAAAGAAAAGCAGTACATAGAACTAACAATTGGATCGTTTATTAGAATGCCGATTTGTTAGAAAAAAAACAACAAAAAATTTACTCATTGACTCCAAAAAAAAAATCAATCAGAATAAAGCATCAAATAATGGTCCAAGACGATGAATTTTTCGACGACGAATCTCTCGTTTTCTTCTCAGAATTGCTGTGTTTGAGGCACTTGATGAAGATGATCCATGAGCGATTGATGATGCGTGTTGATAGTTGTTCAATGTTTGAACACCTGAAATTTATTGTTGATTCAAAGTTGAGCTTGGTTTTTTATTGTTTTAGCCTTTGATCAACCATAGTTTGCTTCGTCTCATGTCAGAAACGCTCATAAAAGCTACAGCAATCTACGCAACTCTAAAATCTATAGTAATCTAGTTGCAAGTATCTAAAAACCTACAATAATAGTATCCTCATATTGTAATCTGTTTTGGTTATTCTTCTTGATCAATTAAAACCAACCATTGTCATCAGTAACAGTTGAGATTGAATGAACCGAAGTCTGATCTCCCGACGCATTGACTGAGCCTTGCACAGAGGAATCTAAACAAATCTCTCTTTCATTTCAAATTCCCGATCAACTTCTCGGTCCACCAGCATCATTCAATCCAAGTGCGGCATTTGTTTCAGCTGAACTGCTTCCATTTCCACCGGCAAACGCTTCCATATTCGAGTTTCCACCAGTTCCCGATCCACTGACTGTCAATTGACCTGTTCCAGTCATATTACTTGATTGACCAGCAGCCACTCCACCAGCAGAAGCCATACCATCTAGAAAACATGGGTAACTGATTGAACTACTTTTACTGGACTCTAGAGCTTAGCAGTATCCCTTTCTAGTTGCGAATTCCAGTGTTCAAAAAAACAAACGATTATCAACTCCATTCGTGTTGTTTAAATCGGCTTGGTTGTTGATTTGAAGGGACGAGTTTTGCCCGTTTGAAATTGAATTCCCGTCAGCGCGGGAATCAAGCTAAAACACAGAGTTATGTGTGGGATTAGAGAGAACAGACCTGAGCTTGTCCAGTCTGATTGTATTGAGTGTTGACAACGATTGAACCACCCGAGTTCTCAGTGCCGTTTCCTTGAATTGATCCATAGTTGATAGCCACTAGAGAAAGGTATTTAAATTATTATCATTGTTAGACTTTGAAGGTTAAACCTGTCTAATAAGGATCTAATAAATCTAGTAATCACATACAAGTTCCTCCATTTTGATCATTGACTTTTACTCCATCTTGAGCGGTCATATTCTTATCAGGTCCATTTGCGGTGGCATTGACAATGATGTTTCCATTGCCTCCATTCTAAACGTAAACTTCAGCTTGAGAAGGAAATTTAAGAACAAACAAAGAAAGGAATAAAGCTTTAAAAACAAATCAATCTCTTACCCCATTTGTCATATTTGAACCCGAGTTTAGATTGATCGCCGATTCTCCTTCAGTCTGAACGTCAGAGTCTCCAAACATGCTGATAGCTGAGAAATAGTTATTTACTTAAAACTTAATAATTTCTGACTGTTATTTGTGCCCGAGACATTGCTCTGTAGATTTGTTGCTCCAACAATGTGACTGTGTCCATCTCCTGTTGCATTTCCTTGCATACTGCCCGTGAGATCGTGAACTCCATTCGTGATATTTGCTGCTCCATTTACCTGATATTAAAATAACATCTCGATTTCTCATCTAACGATTACATTTGCATTAATATCACCATTATTGTCATTCCATCCAGAGAGCAAACCGTTGACTTCAATGCCTAGAATTGTGATTAGCTAAAAGTTCTTGTTCTTAACAAACTTCACATCACAAAAATGACTTCAATATTGTTGGTATTTTCAAGCTGTTTATCTATATCTTTATCTTTATCTTTATCTTTATCTTTATCTTTATCTTTATCTTTATCTTTATCTTTATCTTTATCTTTATCTTTATCTTTATCTTTATCTTTATCTTTATCTTTATCTTTACTTTATCTTTACTTTATCTTTATCTTTATCTTTATCTTTTATCTTTATCTTTATCTTTATCTTTATCTTTACTTTATCTTTATCTTTATCTTTATCTTTATCTTTATCTTTATCTTTATCTTTATCTTTATCTTTATCTTTATCTTTATCTTTATCTTTATCTTTATCTTTATCTTTATCTTTATCTTTATCTTTATCTTTATCTTTTAACCAAACCATTAGTCGGTGTTCCAGATCCAAGATCGATATTTGCTTGTCCATTTCCTAAACCATGAGCCGCTGCTTCAGCCATCATTTGACTCACGAATTCACCCCAAGTGATATTCTAGAAAACACTTTAAAATAAATAAAACATACTTCTCTTCCTTGTCTTTCCTATTTTTTCTTGAGCAAAGAAGCTCAATGGTAGAGCGCCGATAGCTCAGTGTCTGGTAAGCAGAAGGTCGAGGGTTCAATTCCTCTCGATTCTTTGCCATTCATTTCTTTACTTTACTAGCTAAAGTATATCAAAAGACTACAGTGTACCTACAAACTATAACACTACAGTACTACTTGACAGCTACAGCATATCAAAAGCATATCAAAAGCAACTACTTTATAAATTCCATTCCATTCAATCTATTCAGCTGAATACTTTTACTCATTACTCACTCAAATCTTGTCAAATTTTAACCTTTCTTCTAATTCCTTACTTGAATAGCAGTGACAGCCGATGAGGAATTGAGTGACCCAGTTGCTCCAGCAGTTCCAATCTGTTGTCCACCTAACACATTGCCGCTTGAATCAACGACTTGTCCACCGCCATTCGCTAACACTTGTGTATCCCCTGTGCCAGAAACTGATCCCTAAATTGATTTCTAATTGAAAATTTTGTTTATTTAACTTGTTGTTGATTTGAGAGATAGCTCTGATTTCCGTAGACAGCTGCGTCAATTCCAGAAAATGATTGAGAGTTGTTGCCGCTTGCTCCAACATTTCCCGTTGCATTCAACACTAAATTGAGCTTATTTTTAAAACCTCTACAAAGTTTTACTTGTCGATCCAACTTGTCCTTGCGCTTGATTGTTGATTGTGGCTGTGTTGGCGCCAGTTGCATTGCCAGATGAGGATACATTCATTCCAACAGTTCCATCTGAAAGTTCGTTCCCATAGGTGGAATTTAAGGCAAATAAACTTGTCTAGTTTTAGAATTATCGATAAATATCTTACACTACTCTAACTGGTCATGCAATTTTTCTTGGTCTTGTTCTTGTTCTTGTTCTTGTTCTTGTTCTTGTTCTTGCTCTAGTTCTTGCTCTTGTTCTTGCTCTTGTTCTTGCTCTTGTTCTTGCTCTTGTTCTTGTTCTTGTTCTTGTTCTTGCTCTTGCTCTTGTTCTTGCTCTTGCTCTTGTTCTTGCTCTTGCTCTTGTTCTTGTTCTTGTTCTTGTTCTTGTTCTTGTTCTTGTTAATTGTCGATCAACTTATCACCACCAACCAGCAGTTTTATAATGTTGTGCCATGGCATCTGTCTCAACATTATCTGCTTGTCCACTCGTTTCCGCGTTTGACGAGACAACCGTTTGCCGTTTCATTCTCAAGTGCGGTTCCACCAACCATCCATCGGTGAGGGTCAAGAAGTGAATGATGACTAGAATGAATCCCGCTCTCCACCCCATAGCTCTTCTTGTTGTTTCTTTAACCCTAGATCGTTCACTTGAAGAAAATATTAGATAAGTGAAGATAAGTGAAGTTATTAGACTTTGACAAGGAATCTTTGAGTACTGTATTCAAGGGAAAGCTTTGTAAATCAATTAAATGTTCTCTCGTAAAGATGGGATAAAGATTGAATTCAAATTAAGAGTTAAAAAGTGATCAAGTTATCAAGTAAACATTACAATCACAAAAATCAATAAAAAATTTGAAGGAAGTGTGAAATGAGTGAAACACGAGAAGGATTTTACAGAAATTCGACAAATTTGTGGGAGGGAAACTGTCATTTTTTTTTGATCGTTTAGTTGAGTGGAGGAAGCTTTTCGCGTTCAATTATAAGCGAATTACGAGATCGACACGGGGATGGGGATTTGACGGGGGAAATGGGGATGGGTGATGATGGGGGACAACTGACGAGGAACGAACGATTCAAGAACAATGTAGGGTTAATGAAATACATCTTTTATTGTATAAGAATTGTGTTGTAGTGTTAGCTTTATCAATTTTCATTTCAATTTTTCGTTTGAAAGTCCAGTTTGAGTTTGTTTGAATGAGCAAACAGTTATTTTGGTGAAATTCTTCAGTTAATAGAGTTCATTGAGTTCATTGAGCTTTCTAGTTGTTCAAAAACACTTCAGAAATCTCTAGAACAATTGTAAAAGGTTTAAAAACCAAGAAAAAGCATTTGTTAGCTATAAATTGTATTTGAAATCCCGATCATAATGAGCAACAAAACCAGAGATCAAAATTCGGATTTCGTTTTGAATTGAAATCTCTAAAATCTCTAAAACACAATGTTTGTACTATTGATTTTCAAAAAGCTTAAAAAGGATTTATTTAAAAAGTTTTGTTATTAAGTTGTCTAAGCGTTCGACAACAGATTCCATCACCAATCGAGAATGGATTGAAGACACACGCTGAGCCATCCGGACAATCCGAGTGACCCTGGAAAGTTTGTCTTTAAAGAGATTTTCTAAGCAGATTTTCGAAATTTGATAAAATAATGCTTTGATAGACCTGTATTGGATGTAATCCACAGGGCAAAGGAGAGGCCAGTGTATCGATTGAATTCGTCAAAACGAGACTCATTCCAAATCGCCCACAAACTGTGTTAAATTCGTGAACACCTAAAAAATTCCTATTTCCTAAATTCCTAAATGCTAAAATGTGACTCTGATCCAATTTATTTACATTTAGAGTTTCTATAAAACAAAAGAAGAAACTTTTACTTTATAGAAATCTTTATAGAAAGCTTTATAGAAATCAAAAAGTAATTAAAAAGAAAAATGAAAGAAAACTCTGAAAAGAGAAGTGATTTCTCTTTCTCTAAACTGAGATGGAAATAGTTATTATCGTATTTTCTCTAATAGTAGTGCACCATGAGCGTCGCCTAAATTCCTCGAAATCTCGAGAACCGCTAATTTATTTATTTATATTCAAAAAAATTAATAGTTTTACCTGGCTTTGGACAACATAAAGAATAGCTTTGATTCGATCTTTCATCTTGCCACCATTTTCTAGAAAACAATGCTTAAACTCTTTATCTTTTAACACGTTCGGGACGATTCAGTCCACCGGTGGACGAAATTTTTGACACGCTATAACTTTTCAACTTTTTAAGATAATTTCAAAATGTAAAAAGATTCGATTAGTTCAAATCAAGAACTATTTGGAATAGTTGGGCTAATAGCTTTGCGAGACATCCCTCGTCCACTGGGGCAGTCCACAAAAAACGCCTCGTCGCGAATGTGTTAAAGTCCACCTGCAATACTCATTCTCTGCACATTTCACTACGTCATTGCACTCAGAAAAGGTGAACAATTTCTTGAATAGACCGGCTGACGTTGGACATGTTGCAGCTAAAGAATATTTCCAAATAAAGATACAATAAAATAGAATACCCGGAATGCATCTCTTCGGCTCATCGACAAACGGTTCCGGCACATGTTCTGTGGCACAAACACATCTCCCATTCACACATCTCAATTGGGATTCCTCTCGGCATTCCGAATGAGACAAACATTCTCCATTTAAAGGTGATACTGAAAACTTTTTGTGTAAAATGGGAATTTAGTATTTTTACATGGAAAACATTTTCCATTTTTGACCATCATTTGTGAGGGACAAGTACAAAAACCATTCTCGCAGATCGCTCCGGGGAGAAGAATGTCACACTGAAAGGATTTCAAATGGGTCTAAATTTAATAAAAACTGATTTTCAGTAATCTTTGATTAGTAAAAGACTGATTTGCAGTAATTTACAGTAATCTTTTGGATTAATGTTTAGCTTTAGCTTTAGCTTCGCGGAGAAGGATGTCAGGAGAAGCTTAGCTAAACAAGCTTAGCTAAACAAGCTTAGTTAAACAAGCTTAGCTAAAGAAGCTTAGCTAAAGAAGCTTAGCTAAAGAAGCTTAGCTAAAGAAGCTTAGCTAAACAAGCTTAGCTTCTCCTGAAAGGGAGAAGCTTAGCAAACATTCTTTTTTATTACTATAATCTTACTATATGGTAGCTGAAAGTCTTTCAGATTTTCTTGTATTTATCGATTAGTTTTTCGGATAATAAGATAAATTAAGACTTTTTTTCCTTTAAAGCCTTAAACCTGAGCATTCTGATAGCATTCTCCTCCCAATGGCACTAATGGTAAACATCGATCTCCATCTCGTACAAGTGAAGAACGATGACAATCTGAAAGATTTTTCTGACAATCTGTAATCTGTAACTTCCACAGTAACTATTTTTTGATCCATTTTGAAATCCATAATCTTTACGCGACAAAGTTACCCAATTAAGATGTAAAAGGTTACTTTGAATGACATGGACTTGGGAAATTGCTTGTTAAGAGATCAAGCTTTTGCAAATTCAACAAATTTAGGCAATTACTCGATCAAAACAAACCAGTTGGACAGCATAAGGATTGTTGTTTCATTCCGACGTTGAAAGTGTAACAGCTGTGTGTATCGTAAGGACAATTCGTGCAATCGGCTGTCGGATGGGGGAAACCAATTGGGCAGAAGGCTTCTGAAATGGTGACACTCGATAACTTTAACGGCAAGCTGGATTGCTTGTAAAGATTTGTTATAAAGCAAGCCTTGAAATGTCTGTGATCAGCGATCTTCGACTTGAAATGTCAGAGTTGAGCATGCCTATTAACGGATCGAATTGAGCGCTCTGTTAATGGACTAGCTGAGGAATGATAGGTTCATTAGCATTCTTGACTTGAATTCAGGGACTTCCGTATCTTTCCTTATCTTTTATATGCTAATTTGCATCAACCGCGTCTTAATAAATCTACAGGTTTTATAATAATTTTCGGACTTATTGTAATTCTCAGGCAGTTAAATGAAGAGAAAACATATCTAGCACTGTGAATCTTGTTATTAGTAGAGTGATATTTCCCAGCAACTACAAATGATGCAAGTTAGCATTTATCTTTTAGGTTGAAAAGAGATCGTAAGGTTGATACGTGCCCCGCCTCTTTTGCTATTGGCAATCCAACTTTGAGCTCAAATATCTTGGTGTTGGAATGTTCAATTCAAATAATTTTTGTGCCAATCGATAGAGAAAGACTTGGCGCATCCAATGATACCAAGAATGTTTAAATTGAACAGCTCGCTACGAAGATATTTGAGCTCAAAGTTAGCTTGTCAATGGGAAAGGGGGGGGGAGTGTTTTAAATGTCCGATAACCGGAGAAAGATACGAAAAGTATCTAATTCAGTCTAGCAGTTTGATGTTTACTCTTTAAACCCTAACAAACCAGCAATCGGACAGCAAAACCCTTGATTTCTGATGAAATGATATTGTTGACAGTAGAGTCCTTTTGGACATTGAGCTCCTTGATCAAGGCGGCAATCGATCACTTCATTGTTCATCAAAGGAGCCGGTCCAAATGGGCAATACGGGGTGGCTATGCACTGATTCTCAAACTATCTTCCTCAAACCACATTCAAATTACAGTATCATTTTGATTTCTCATTCCCCTTCGACAAGTGCATCTTTGAGCGGCACACTCGGAGAACCTTGTCCAACATTGCTCATCATAAGCACACTCCTCACCCAGGCCTCGTACTTAAAAGTGAATCGTATTAAAATCAAAAAGTCATCTCACATTTCACACACTGATGATTCCATTCGGTGATCGCGATCTCACCCTTCGCGCATTCTAAAGCTTAGAGATTAAAGAATTTATTTGAAAAAAAGAACTTTTTATGCAAGTATTTTGATGATGAACAAAACTTTCAGCACAAATACATTTTTCATCAAAACAATCAAATGGAGATTTACAAGGAAGAATTTCCGAGCATTCTTCACCAAATGTTGAAGCTAAAAAAGTGTATGAAAAGAATGAACAATGAAAAAACCTGATTGACAAAGATCATTTTTGTGTGGATGAGCGAAATGATCTGATGTGCATTCACAAATTGAGTTTCGGCATTCTGCGTGTAGAACTGCTGAAGGAAAAGTGAAAGTGAGCTAGGCTTAGGCTTTTGTGATTCAAGAGTCGAGCATGCCCATCAGGATACGGCTTCTTCAAATACAAAATTCACTAGATCTAATGATTTTTTTGTGATTCAAATGCTTTTGTGATTCTTTTGTGATTCAAGAGTTGAGCATGCCTATTAACGGATCGAATTGAGCGCTCTGTTAATGGATTAGCTGAGGAATGATTGGTTCATTAGCATTCTTGACTTGAATTCAAGGACTTCCGTATACTTTAATGCTTTACTTTACCAATACCTTTCCAAAATCTATTCATAACTCACCCGCACAATCACTATCACTTGCACAAACACGTCCAAGTGTCAATGATTCTTTAAAAAAATGACTATCAATCAAGTGTTCTAAAGATTTTCGTTAAAAATCAATAATTTTTATAGAAAACATACCAAAAATTCCAGCTCTAGTAAAAGAAATAAATGATAATACAATAAAAGAATATAACTTCATAACTAACCAATCTTTTCAATTTCAAAGACTGAGTTCACATAGAGAATTTGCATGTTGTTTACTTATTGTAACCAAGAAAGGCGAGGGGGATCGGCTTAGTCTTTACGGGAAAGAAAGGGGATTGTTGATTGAAAGGACCGTGTGTTGACACCCAATTCCCCCCATTCTACGTGCTTCTGTAGCTTGCTTGTATTCAAAAAGTCACACAAACCCGGTTTCATTCTCAAAAGAATATGCAAATCATTGAAAAATGGGGTTGTTGATGACTTGATGACAAATTTTTGATAAAATTCATAAATCTAGTTGATTTCTAATCAATAGTAATCAATTCCCTTGTACATTTTTGAAGATTTTCTCTAAATTTCACACTTCGTTGTGCATAATTGGGTCCCCTTGAGCAGTCACAAGCCTTTTTTTCTGTAGTTTCTGTTCACAAATTCATCAGAATCCCCTTTAGAAATGATTGAACTGAAAAAAAAGAGAGATAAGTGGGTTGTCTTCGTTTCCGAGGTAACTCCTTTGAAGATTTGAAGACAATGTCTTAGATAGGTAAAGGTGGGGGAGAAAGAAGAAGGGAAATGGAGCAGAAGAACCCTCAAAGGGCCTCATTACAGAAAGATCTCATTGAAATGGAGGAAAAAGAAGGCCGATCGACTGGAAAGAGTCACATTTTCCTCATCGATTACCGTTTTGTTTTTCTTTTCAAACTCTTTAGTAACTTTGCTTTTATTTGATCAGTTGCTTTAGCACTATTTTATAGAAAAATGCTAGAATAGTCCTTAGCTAGAATAGCTAAAGCTAGCTTGGAATGCTAGAATAGTCCTTAACTAGAATAGCTAAAGCTAGCTTTGAATCAATTGTACCCTACAAGAGCACCCTATTCCGAGGTAACTCGTTTGAATCTTTGAAGACAATGGGTATATCTTAGATAGGTAAAAGAGGGGGAAATGGGGCAGAAGAGCCCTCAAAGGGCCTCATTACAGATAGATCTCATTGAAATGGAGGAAAAAGAAGGCTGATCGACTGGAAAGAGTCACATTTTCCTCATCGATTACTGTTTTGCTTTTCTTTTCAAACTCTGCAGTAACTTTGTTTAGCAAAATGATAGAATAATCCTTTGCTAAAGCTAGCTTTCACTGAATTTAAGCATTCGCTCGTTTTACCGTGCCCTTCTCCGTTCACCCGTACAGTAATCCGCTCTTATGAGTTACTGTACCCTACAAGAGCATCCTATACCAGTTTACAGTACTCTATAGTACCTCTTAATGAGTACAGTATCCATGTAGTACACTGCTACAGTAATGCTACAAAATCTACAATTGATAAGTACCAAGTAGCAGCTTTTTTTATCAGATTTTTTATCTTTTCTAACTTTTCTTTAATATAAAACTAGATTTTGATGTTTTCTAATAGTTTAACTATAAATTGAAACCTCTAGATACTTCTTCAACCACAGCCACATTGGAGACGTGCACAGATTGCCATTGTAGGCCCGGACCTAGCCATCAACGCGATGAGTCAGAAGAAATATTAGAAATCAATCAATTCACTCACTCGATTTCATCAACGCAATCAAAATCCATCCACCAATCAATTCTTGACTCAAAAATGATCCGTAAACCGAGAGCACGAAAGAAAATCTTTGACACATTTCGATTTATGCAGCGCTTCTTATTCCTTATCTCATTTTCATCTTTCATATCATTTGTGGAATTGAAAGAAGTGTTGATTGGGTTGCAAACGGATTCGAGTCGTTTCGTGGACACACTACGCATCTTCAATACAGCGTTGAACGATGTGAATAACGAGGAAGGAGCACAAGTGACATTGGTGTAAGTTGAATTAATTTTAAGTTCATTTTAAGTTCATTTTAAGTTCATAAACAGTTAAAAAATCGTTTTCAATCCTTATTTTTCAGCTTACCACAAGGCATTGTAACGGGCACAGATGGTTGCAATGGGACAGAAACAAGTCCGATTGGTCAAGGTGCTAAAAATGTTTGTGATCAACGCTACGTGAATCACATTCAAGCAGTTTTTGGGCCAGTTTGTGTCGATGGTTTGTTTAAAGAAAAGAAACAAGAAATCAAATTTTCTATAGATCTTCGCATAATCGAATCAGCGGTGGGAATTTGGGAGATAACGATGATGAATTTCTGGTCGGATTACCCATCCGATGTGACGATTGAGGAAGTGATTCAGGTGAAACATAGAAAAACTTTTGAAAGCGTTAAAGAAGTCTAATAAATTTATAGAAATCTTATAGAAATTATAGAAAATTATAGAAAAGTATAGAAATCACAGAGCTTAACTTCAAGTTCCATCATTTTTACCCTACTAAAACCATTCAGATGAGTCGTCGCAGCTCTTACAATATTGTCTTCAACTTAGAAGCAATACTTGAGCTGATGAAATGGACTGAAGTGAGCAAGTGGGTTCTGTAAAAAATTCATTCCCTTTTACAGATTGCTTTCTTTGTTTGTATGGATTGTTACGATGAGGGAGTCAGAACGAGAATTGACGCAATTCAGGCTCAACTTAAGCAGGTTGAGAAACAAAGACCAACAAATAAACAAAGAAACAAAGAAACAAAGAAACAAGCAAACAAACAAAGAAACAAAGAAACAAACAAACAAACAAACAAACAAATAAACAAACAAAACTCTTGCTACTATTCCAGAATGGTATCACGACTCTGGATACGAAAGAAGTCTGGACAACAGATAGTCAAGGAATCCTTTCTGGATATCTACAAGAAATGAAGAGAACGGCAAGAAGTACAGTTGAATGAAAACTTAAGCTTTGATTGCGCTTTAAGGCTAAGGACATTTTTTTGAGTTAATTACAAAAATTTGGAAGGGTTCTCTGTGCAAAAGGGGAAAAAGAATCCTGGTGTTAAAGTGTTTGGTGTTCTTTGTGATGCCGCTCATCTTCTAGCTAACCTAAGCTAGCTGTTTCACTAAACTATTTAGCATCTAGCAAATTTTCTAAATGCTAAATGCTAAACGCTAAATGGAGAAGGAATTTTTGCTAAATTTAGCAAACTTGGCTTTTGTTTTTGTACATTAGTTGCCGTTTTTTTTGATTTTCAATGACGTCAATCGGTTTCTCGACCTTGAAATGGGGATCTCTGAATTTTTAGAAAAATCGGCGCAAAAAAATTTGTAAAGTTTCATGAGATTCACATGGTTTTTTTTTCAAAAAACGTTTATGTGCTTAAAATTAACCAAATTTTGACTTGTTTTGTAGCCAGAAGCCAAATATGCAATTACTTTTTTTTAATATCTTTATTCAACGCTAAGATATATGCGTTTTTCGATTTAGCAGCACTGCTCACACCTCAGAGGAGCTTAGCAAAAGTTGCTAAATCAGTTAAAGAGCTAAATGTGTTCTTTATGCGGTTGCCTAATCGCTCACAATCTGGCAAACACGTCTGATACAAGCTGCTGCCTTTTCGAATCACCAAGGGGATTCGAGAGGCTAGCGACTGAGCCGTCCTGGACTTCACTTTGCTCAAATTCCCAAGAAGATTCCAGAATTTCAGGTCAAGAAGGGCTGCAGCCCTTCTTGATATTTTTCTACAAATTCCACAAGACTGTGCTACTTATTAAAGTTGATTAAAATTCGCTTCACCCGAAAGTTTTCAGTTTTCGTCGCATTTCTCGGCACAAACTCGTCTTTAATGACTCCTCGTTTCGCTCAAGCGATGTTTGCCGCACATTTGAGTCCAGATGAATATGTGCCAATTTATATGTTTCATTACTCTCAATATTCATCGGATGATATGCCATGGGGGACAAATCTAACATTAAAGAGGCTTTTCGCGAATTCGATTCTGGTCAGTTTTCAAAAGCTATTCAGTGAGCTTTAGCAAGCGATTGTTCTATACTTTAAAATTAGTGATTTAAATTTTGCAGATCTACAACGATTTCCCAAGCGAGTACCGGGATGCTGCTCAAACATTGGCCGTCAATTCATACAGTGATGTGAGTTTGAAATCTAATAGAAAATTAGAAATTCGATTTTCCGTCTCGATGCCCTTTATATGGGTAGAAAAATTGAGGGTGGATTTATCTTTTTCTTTAGTCTTTTCAATAGTCATTTGTCGCCTAGTAACTGTACAGATTGCTCTTTTTTTGAGTGAAATGATGAGAAAAACATGGATAAAGAAATTCGAGCAAAACTTTTCATTTGATGAACAAAATCCTCGATTCATTTATGAAAAACAATGCCCAGATTAGAGTCTAGGACAATTTGAGGGAAGATTATGAAAGAAATGGAAAGAAATGGAAGGAAATTGAAAGAAATGGAAAGAAATAGAAAGAAGTGGAAAGAAAAGGAAAGAAATTGAAAGAAATGGAAAGAAATTGAAAGAAATTGAAAGAAATTGAAAGAAATGGAAAGAAATTGAAAGAAATTGAAAGAAATTGAAAGAAATTGAAAGAGATGGAAAGAAATTGAAAGAAATGGAAAGAAAATCGAATCAATCCCGGCTGATTGTTTCATTAAAACTCGAAATTTTGATTGGATTTGAAGAATTTTTCAAATCAAAGTACCATAAAATTTAGGAAATCGTTAAAAATCATTTTCCAACTACAAGAAAACAACTGTAAGAATCGAGAATTAAATCAAAAAATATTCTAAAGTTCTAAAGTTAATCAAAAATTCGGTTAAATAAAATTCAGGCAATGTTCAGTCTAGTTTGAATCTAAGAATTCATTCGTAATTGAACTAACTACCCATCTTCGTTGCTCTTCGAATTTATAAAGGTTATAATAATAATAATACTTTATTCAAACGATAAAGTGAAAGAAATGATAGAGAAATGCACAGTGATACTTAATCATACAATACATACTGAAATCAATAAGCCAATTACTTACGGCAAAGAGCCACTAGATCTAAAGCATCGATACGTTTCTTGAATATGAAAAGCGACTGAATTTCTCGTATGTCGTTTGGGAGCAAGTTATTGTAAAGGGTTACAATCAAGTAGATTTAGAAACTGGATGCAAGGTTGAAACTTTGAAAGATACTATTCTGTTACCCCATGTGTATCAATCATTTGCTTCCAATCCAAAATTCGAACCCCTTTATTTATCAAAATCAAATTTTACATTCAAAGATTGTAATTGACTTTAATTAAACGAAATTCTTCATTTCATTCTTAAACCATTCAATTTTTTTTTCTCGAAAAACATTTGAAGAGACGGGGATATTCGCTTGAAAATTGCAATTTTAATGATTTAAAAAGATTAAGACAAATTTTAGTGTAGTAGAACGAGATTGATGCGATGATTTAACAGATAAAAGAGACATTTCAGTGCTTTTGTCCTTTACTACAAAATGCAAAGCATAAATTTACTCAAATTTTAGAATTTTTCTTCAATTTTCTTCAATAGTAGAATAGAAAAGTGCTCTTTGAAAATTGAAACGTTTAGAAAACATATTATTATTAGAAAGCATTAGATCTTGTTAATTGATGTAAGATCTAATATGAAACCGGGAGTAAATGAAAGTTACACATTCCGAATCTACAACATACCTCACTAAAGCTAAATTTTCCAGGAAACCCAGCTCTTCTATCTTCAACTCTATGAATCGGTGATTGTTTATGGACAAGCAATTGGATCAGTTATCGCTAATCAATCGAATGAAGAACCACTAGACTTCAGTGTCAGTCAAACAATCGGATCACATTCGATTCAAGGTTTAAATTAAGAAAAATCACTGTAAAAGTTTTTTGTTTTGTTTAGGTCCATTTGGTCAAATCTATTTCACCTCGCAGAATATTCGGTTATCTCCATTTAAGCCATATTATGTCACAAATGATAACTTGACAAACGTGCTTCCACTTGGCACAATCATTGTCCAGAATTCGACAAACTGTGGCAATGATACGTCTCCATGTTTTTCATTGGTAAGTTAAATCGAATGATCGAATGGCTAAGGGCTCTGGAAAGGTTCAATTCCAGCTAGATTATTGGCTTTTTCCCCTCTACATTTAGAGCTTTTGGTTGTTTGTAAAAGTGTTCATTAGTTTGTGAATGATTTGGGTTTAGACAGCGATCTCAGCATTGGATCCGACAACGGCCGGACGCTTTCCTGCAAGTATGCCTCCTTGTGGATTCTCTGGAGAGCTTTGTGATCAAACAAGGTATAGAAATTGTTATTAATTAAACAAAACTTGATTATAAAGTTAAAAATTAGATATTAATTGCAATTATTCTTTCAGAAACCATTCAAAACTCTAATTTTATAAAGTAAATGTTTATTTAATTATTTAAAATATGAAATTTGATTCTTGACACATTTCAATTTCCATTTTCAGCACTGTAATCATCATTGCAGCTGTTATGACAGCGATTATCATTTGCATTGTTTCTGTGTTAGCGATTCGACGAATGTAAGTGGATATTGTAGATGAACAATTTCAAAAATATTATAAATCTATATTAGAAATCAAATGTTTTAGGAGATCCGGTGAAACAGCTTCAATGCCATGGGCGATTCCGGTGAATATGGTTAAAATGGTTGACGTTGAGTCAACAGCAATTGGGGTAAGCTATAAAAGAATCCCAAAATGAATCGTTTATCAGCCAGATGTTCAGTTCAAGCCTCATTTTAGAGCCAACAACTTTCCATTCACAGTCTTCAGCAACAATTAGAAGATAAAGCAGCTGAGGTCGATAGAGAATTTGGAATTTAAAGTTGATAAAGCAATTTTCAGAGGAAACTGCGAGAATCGTTGAAATCCCGTCAATTGGCTACAATTGATCAAGCATATGTGGTGGTGGAGAGTTACAGTTTGAAAGAGAAACTTGTTTTCAATCGACACGAAATGCATTGGTTGTACTTGGTAGGTAAAACTTGAAGAAGAGAACTTGAAGAGAGAAACCTGAAGATAATTGATGAAAGGTTGATGAATTGATAAGTAAAGCTTGAAAAAGAGAGCTTGAAGAGAGGAACTTGAAGATAATTGATGGAAGATTGTTGAGTTGGTAGGTAAAACTTGAAGAAGAGAGCTTGAAGAGAAATTTAAAGGTAATTGATGAAAGATTGATGAATTGATAAGTAAAACTTGAAGAAAAGAGCTTAAAAAGAGAAACTTGAAGGTAATTGATGAAAAATAGATATAATTTGTTTTCAGATTAAGCAAATGTCACACGATAACCTCAATGCTTTCATGGGGCTCTGCTTTGATCGATCACAACATCTATTCGTTATGTGGAGTCACTGTTTTCGGTTTGACATTATTCTAGGCAAATTCTAAAATTCCCTGTGGAAAAAGAAAAGAAAAAATGACTGTAACTGACCAGCGAGGTGTTCTTTTTGCGTCTAAGTAATCGCTCGCGATCTAGCAAACCCGTCCGGGATAAAGTCCCTTTTGGAATGGTCCCATCCAAGGGACCGATCCACTGGAAGGGACCGATCCACTGCTTGTGTCTCCGATAGTTGATATAAAGTACCCACTTCTCATCACCAGTAATCACGTGTGGAAGAAGCGGCTAAGCCGATTTTCTGCGACCAGGCCCTGGGCTGATTCCTAGCGTGAAATTTGACTGGATTTGCTCTAAAATCTTGGCTCTAAAAATTCTTGATTCTACAGCACGTAAATTAAAATTAGTTCCAAATTGAGATCATTGAAGAAAAGACAATAACAATACATTAAAATCTAGCTCTCAATAATGATGAGTCGACAAAACTCTATAAATCTCCCATTTTCTTTAGATTTTTATCATCAACACCTTACTCAAATTGTACAGAAAAAAATTTTCCAGTGGTACTTTAAATGATGTGATCTTTGACTCAAAAAAAGACGATGACGGTATTCCGGCTTTCGATAATAATTTCAAGGGTGCTTTTGTGAGAGATATTCTCAAGGTGAGTTTTATATACCGTATTTCTTCGAATAGAAGACCGGGTAAAGAGTATGATCGCGTACTCCTGCGTAGCAGCCCTTTTTGAAATTTCTTTTCTGCATAAAAGCTTTCAATCAAGTGGTATAGAGCTGAAAAATGGCTCAAAAATACCACATGAGCTAACAGATTTTTGAGCCATTTTCCAGCTCTATAGCACTTGATTGAAAGCTTTTATGCAGAAAAGAGATTTTAAAAAGAGCTGCTACGCAGGAGTACGCGATGATCCTCTTTACCCGGTCTTCTATTCGAAGAAATACGGTAATTTAAATAAATCAATGAAAAACCATTCATTTCATTTCTAGGGTCTTGACTTCATCCACTCATCTGGTCTCGTTTATCATGGAATGTTAACCCCGACGAATTGCCTCATCGATTCACACTGGATTTTGAAGTTATCCGGTTTTGGAATGAGCAAATTATTGTTTCGGTGAGTGAATGGAGAAATTCTTTGGGGGATTTTGGAAACTCTCAGATGGAAAAATAACTCGGTGATCTCGACACTTGATGGTGCACCGATTATAGCGAATTCTGGTAAAGCGATAAAAGTCAATCTTAAAATCGAACATCTTTTAGAACTTCACTACTATGCACCTGAATTTCGGAAAGCTTTAAAAACGATGATGTACACGAATCGAGTCGAAGCAATACAATTGAATCAAAAGCAGGTCATTGATTTTAAAAAAAACATTTGTTCGCACAAATAATTTGGTACAAACAAGCACAAGCTCTAAATGTAGGGGGAAAAGAAGCAATAAACTAGCCGGGATTGAATCCTTAACCTTCCGACTAAGATACAGGGCTCTTAACCATGGTAGGTAGAAATTTGAGTGGTTAAAGTTCTTAAAGAAAGTGTACTCTTTCTTTTTCAGGGTCAAGGCGCCGATATCTACTCATTTGGGATGATTCTCTATGAAATTCTTTTCCGAAGAAAAGCCGCCGAAATTGACGATGCGATTCTATCCGATGAGGACAATTTGATTCTCTGTGAACAAGCTGAAGTACAGGTTTGTGAAATTGATCTTTAGAACTAATTCAGGATGATTTAAATCCCGTAAATACTCGAATAGAATGCCATCCCATCGTAGAGTCGCGCAACTAACTTCCTTTTAGAACTCATCTTTTTCTCAGTCCCTAGAGTTTTCCTAGCTACACTTTTAGTACCAAAAAATACTAGAGTTCAAGGGCTATCATTTGATACCATTGCGCACACCGTAGCTTAAAGTAGTGGGGAGAACGGGACGTTTAAAGTTAGACTACGTGACTGTACGCCCGTCATTATGGGGCTGGCATTCTATTAGGTTGGAACAGTCAAAGTGAGAATTTTTTGCACTGTATTTTTCTCAAAAAACCAAAGCACACATTTATCCAAGGTAATCACCATTATCTATTATTTGTTGCCATTTATTTGGTAGAGCACGAATCCCCTTCTCCCAGAAATTCTTGTGTTGCGCGTCAAAGAAGTCGCGGAGCTAATTTTCGGTCTCGACGCGATCTCCGAAGTGCTCCCCATCGAGTCCAGCTTCCGGAAAAGATGAAAATCAGAGGGAGCAAGGTTGGGGCTATACGGTGGATGATGGAGAACTTCCCAGCTCAGCTCCTTCAATTTTTGTTGAGTCAAATTTGCAACATGAGATCTTGCATTGTCATACAAGAGAGGAACTTTCCATGATTTGGCCGATTTTTTGTGATTTGTTCGGCGACCTGATCCAGCTATTCTGAGTACAGAAAAGCTGTGACAGTCGTGCCTTCAGGTAGCAACTCTCAATAAACTACTCCACCCAGATCCCACCAAATGCACAACATAATCTTCTTCTGGTGCAATTCTGGCTTGGGCTCAAGTTTGCTCGTCGGAACCGATCTACTGCTTGTGTCTCCGATAGTTGATATAAAGTACCCACTTCTCATCACCAGTAATCACATGTGGAAGAAAGGAAGATCTGTTATACCGGAAGAGTAGGACGGTAGAAATTGTGAGGCGCTGCAATCTCATCACATCTGTGAGCACATGGGGAACTCAGGCGCCAAATTTCAAAATCATTCCCATTGAATGAAGATGGGTTATCACTGTTGTATGAGTGGCCTTTAGTTGTTGTCTCAGTCGATTCGCATGAACTCAGTTAGAGTCGTTTCATTGAAGTCACTCACGCTCCCATTCCTCGCCTCTTCCTCTAGGGAAAAGTCGCCTTTCTCAAAAAGATCGAACCATTTGTAAGCGGCTGTTCGACTAAGTGAACCTTACGCATAAAAATGATTAATCTCCCCATAAGCACGGATGGTAGTGGAATTTTTCTTGAAGTGAAACAAAAGGACAGATAGTAGATAAGATAGTAGATAAGGTGGAATTAACTGAGCCTAAGCCTAAGCCTAAGCCTAAGTCTAAGCCTAAGTCTAAGCCTAAGTCTAAGCCTGAGCCTAAGCCTAAGCCTAAGTCTAAGCCTAAGTCTAAGCCTAAGTCTAAGCCTGAGCCTAAGCCTAAGCCTAAGCCTAAGCCATGCCGAAGATAGCCTTTCTATTGGATGCCTTCAAAGAAAGACAAAAAATAAAACATAAAATATCAATATCTTATTGAGGATTTTTAGTAATCAATAGTTGAAGATTGACATAAGCAAGTCCCTTTTTATCCGAATGTTTTTGATGCTGAGGAATACTGATAAGAAGAGAAGAAAAGAAAATTCACACTTTTAACCTTTCCAACCTAATATTGAAGGAACTTTATGGTTCTATATATTCAGAATAATAATAAATTTTAAAAAAACCTACCTTATCTTATAGGTTTATATCTCTAGGTTCCTGTGTATCCAACCCTTCCCGAATCCAATGATGTTCACCCCGATCTTATCGGTTTAATGCATAAATGTTGGTCGGGTAAAGTCGAACTTCGACCGGACACAAATCTCGCAAGAAAGATCACTGATGCGACGCTGAAAATGAGTGGATCGCTAGTGGATCAAATGATCAAAAATCTTGAACAAGTAAAGAAATTGAATATAAATTTGATAAAATATGCCTTTATAGTACACGAATAATTTGGAGAATTTGGTAAAAGAGCGAACGGGTCAATTGGAGGATGAACAGAGGAAAGCCGAAGCATTGCTCAGTGAATTGTTACCAAAGTTTGTTATTAAGGTAATTTTAGAAAAACGTTTTTTTAGAACCGTCGCTGATGAGCTGAAAGTTGGTCGACGAGTTGATCCAAAAACTTACAAATCGGCGACAATTCTTTACTCAGACATTGTCGGTTTCACCTCGTTGTGCTCTGAATCACAACCGATGGAGGTAAGAAAACAGAAATTCGTCAAGAATTGAATATCAATCCTTCAGGTGGTGGCTCTCTTGTCAGGAATGTTTCAAAGTTTCGACAAAATCATCGCTGAACACACTTGTTACAAGGTACTTTACTGGCTAGGGAGAAACTCTTTTTGGTTTAATCTAACATCAGCTCAAAGTTCAGAATCGCTTTTTGTCCAAGTGCACCTTATAGAATCGGCTATGCTGATTCTGAATCTGTAAAAATTAACTCCAAATGCCCACACAGTCGCAAGAAATGTGACATTGAAAATTCCCTTAAAAATTGCCTTTGAACTCTTCATAGGGTTACCACAAAGAACCTGTTCAGCTCCATTGGTGGTCTAGAGGCTAGTGTGCTAGGATAAGGAACTTAGAAGGCTTTTTTTTAGCTTGGCTTCGAATGCTCCCGTGACTAATTCTTTTGCTTTTTGAAAAAGTTGGGTTGGTAATCAATTTTTCAATTCTTCAATTTCAATCAATTTTTCAATCAATTTCAATCAATCCCTCGCACCATATTTACGGAATTTGAAGACTTTTTCAGCACTGATATACTTCTAGATTGAAACAATCGGTGATGCTTACATGGTTGCATCGGGTGTGCCAATTCCAAGTAAAACCGATCACGTGAGAGACATTGCCACAGTGGCTCTTCAGCAAAGAGAGGTCGATTTTGAGGAACAATTTTAGTTTAGACTTAGTTCATTAGTTTAGACGTAGATTTACTCCTACATTTATGGTTGACATCAAAATTTCAGTTCCTCTACGATTTCGAGATCCCGCATCGACCTGGACAATATCTTCATTGTCGATGGGGTTTTAATACAGGCCCAGTTTTTACAGGAGTTGTCGGAATCAGTGCCCCAAGATATTGTGTTTTCGGGGAAACGGTACAATTTTTTGGCTATTTTCGATAGAATTCGACTTAATTAAAACAATTCAGGCTACAATAGCTGCAAAGATGGAAAACAGTGGACAGCCGGATCGAATCCAGATTTCTTTCAAAAGCTATCAATTGTTGACAGCGAGATTCCCTGAATTCAAGTGCTCTCCAAGGGGAAGTGTCAAGATTGATGTACGAGAATTGATTTGATTTTGCTAAAAATGAATTTTAGGGAATTGGCACTTTATTGACTTATTGGTTGGATGGAGTTGAAGAGCTACTGAAAAGCTCTCGAGATTCGTATAAAGCGATTTCAGCAATGATCGAAGCACAAGTAAGGCTTTTGGTTTTGCTAAATAACTTAAATAAATAACAATTGAAAAACCAAGAGTTTTCAGGATGCTGATGAAAGACAACGAATCCTAGCAAGTCGAAAGGAAAGCCTTCAAAAGCACGATGAAGAAATCTCTGAACTTTCATCAATTTCTTCAATTGGACAAGACAAGTAAATGATTTATTTGAATGCTCTATATTGGATTGATCATATTGAAATCAATCTGTCAATGATTGATACAGAAATTCGTCTAAATTAGCCTTAGCCTTTTATCTAAGCTTCTTAGCTGAATATCTTTTCCATTTACAAAGCAAACAAAACAAAATTCATTACAAATTCAGATCTTGATTCAGATTTTAAAAAGAACAATCACTTTTTACTTAATCGTAGTTTCAAATCCCAATTTCTAGCACAACTGTCCCAATGGAAGAAATCGAAATGGCTCGTCTTGCTCATCTCGAAGCAGCGAAAGCTGTCGAAGCTGTGACAGAGAAAGCAATCGCTTCATTTCATAATCCATCGTTTCCTATTCCATCTTCCCTTGCAACTTGTTCATTAGAAGCTCCTCATCCATTCCAAAGACCCCATTCTCCATTACAAGCACCCGGTGGACCGAGAGGGAAAACTTTGCCTCCTTTATAGTTTTTTTTCTTTTGGTCGATTTTTTTGGTCAATGTCATGCATTTTATTTTTTTTTTACTTTTATTGCTTTAGTAAAGATGTTTATTATTTTAAATTGAAAAAACATTAAAAAAAGGGAGAAAACTTGTTAAAGATTCATTGTAGAATAGAATTTTCAATAGATAATATAAACGAGAAAAAGTGAATTGACTAAACAATTGACTAAACTTTTAAAGACAATCAACTATGGAAAGGCAATGATCTTTAAGATTTAAGAACATTGCCTTTCCATAGTTGATTGTCTTTAAAAGTTTAGTCAATTGTTCTCTTGATTCATTGAGTTTTCTTTTCATGGCGATTTTGAAATTCAAAATCGAAATAGTGAAGGGATTTTAAATGAGATGAATCGAGATTTTCTTCAATCTAAAAATCATCAATTCTTTCAATCTCAAAAATCGATCTGATAATTGTTTCGATTTCCCCTGTAAGCAACAGAAAATGCTAAACTTATATATAATATAATAGCAAGCAAACAACTCTGTCAAACTAGAGCTTTCAAAGTTGAAAAGCTTAAGGTTGCACAAAGTTTGCCCCTAAACGATGGAAAAGATTCAGTGAATTTAAAGATTATTGCTTTTCCATAGCTGATTGTCTTTAAAAGCTAAAATATGCATCTTACTAAGGAATTTTGTTAACTTATCGTGGCTTTTTTTGACTCGGGAAATAGCTTATCTAATGCAGTTTTTCATGCTTATGCCTGTATGCCAAAGATCTCGCTATAGAGTAGCGTTTGGCAAAAACTGATTGCAGATTCGGAATCAGCATGAAAAACTGCATTAAATAGGCTATTTTCCGGGTTGAAACGCAACGATAAGTTAACAAAATTCCCTAGTTAGATGCAGAACGAACCTTCATCTCTTTGTTGGTGTAATGATTGGATCTCATTCTAAACTCGAGTAAACTTATGCTTTCCATTCTGTAGTCGACCGGAAAAACTATCCAATAAAGGAAAAAAAAAGCACTGAAATCTCTCATGTTTTCTGTGTATTTTGCAATTTTAAAGACTTTTCTAGCCATCCATAACTGAATCTTTTTTCTGGGAGCTGATCAAAACAGCACCACATCAAAAATATCTCCTCCACGGTTAAGTTTCTATGTGTTTCTTATTCTTATTGGATGCAGAAGAAAAGTTATCTACATTTTGCATACTTTGGGATCACCTAAAAAGAATTCGTGCCGAGAAAAGCTCTTTTTAACCTCTTTTTGAGCCGTTTTTCGTTTTTTTTGGCATTTTCTCATCACAGATTTGTTCTAAACGGCTCCAAAAACTTCAGCAGATAGCTAATTTATTTTTCTATATTCAATGAAAATAAGAAACGAAAATAAATTTAACCGCAAACGAATTATTTTGGCCGGCGCTGTTTTGATCAGCTCTCCTTTTTTCAATTTTTCCCTTCATTTCAAAAACAAGGTGAAGCAAGCATAGCTGGATCGAAACCCCATAGCTTTTGGCTGAATTGAGCCATCTTTTTTTGCATTAAAATGCATCAAAAACTGTCAAAAACATGATTTATCAACGCAAGAATTGTTAATAATATTGTTGAGTCAAAATCGGATATGTCAAATGTATAATGCTTTTTGTTTCATTCACTTTAGCCTTTGTTAGATCAAGTATTAGATCAAGATAGATATTAGATCAAGCATTAGATATTACAATATTAGATCAAGCATTAGATATTACAATATTAGATCAAGCATTAGATATTACAATATTAGATCAAGCATTAGATATTACAATATTAGATCAAGCATTAGATAAATATTAGTCAAGCATTAGTATACAATATTAGATCAAGCATTAGATAACAATATTAGTCAAGCATTAGATATTACAATATTAGTCAAGCATTAGATATTACAATATTAGTCAAGCATTAGTATTACAATATTAGTCAAGCATTAGATATCAATATTAGTCAGCATTAGTATACAATATTGTCAAGCATTGTATTACAATATTAGTCAGCATTGTATTCAATATTAGTCGCATTGATATTACAATATTAGATCAAGTATCTAGTTGTTATCAAAGAAATTGAAGCAATAAAATGCATGAGATTTGTTAACACAAAGCAAGAAAAACTGAGAAAATATGATTATTGTTATTTCTTAACTAATTTAACAATGAAAAAAATTCTTTCTGTTTTGAGAAGGGCTTCTGAAAAGGGGAAAGAATTGAGGGATGAGCAATCTCCTCAAGTCGGCTCTCCCAAATTAAGGCCTCATCGTTTGGAGAGTTTCCTCTAAAAGATTACACTTGAAACTTTACTTTTTCTCTTGACTTTTAGCTCTTAACTTTGAATAGAAAATCTACTACTAAGCTTATTGAATTGTTTCTTTTTAAATCAAATAAATATCTTTTAGATTCTTCTCATTTCTATTGGGTTGGTGAATTGAAAACTGTGGGCTATTGTCATAGGTGACAGTTTGACTGGTCATAGGTGACTTTCTTCAAAAGAAACCCATTTTAGTGTTAATGGGAAAGTTGTAGAGAATCAAAAATCAAGCTTATATTGAAATTTTCAGAACGATTCAAAAACTGGTTTTCAAGAAATGCGAAATTGACGAATTTTCACAAAACTTGCATTTTAAGCGAAACTACTACTATTTATTCCGGATCATGAGTAATGAAACATGCGGGAGAACACTTCGATTCGGAAGAAGCAGTCAAAAATTGGTTTTGAAAGTTTTTCGATTCAAAAGCAAAATCCTACTACGAAATAGGAATCCGCTAATTGCCTGTAAAATGGGCAGAAGTCGTCAATAATAATAGAAATTGTTTGGAATGAATTCATGGTTTAATGTTGAATAAATTTTAGTTTAAAGTCCGGCAGTTTTCAATTCACCAACCCAATAGATTTACAAATGTTCCCTTGAAAGAAAATTTGTTCAAATTTCGATTCTTTTCCACTTTTTCCATACATGAAGTATCAATATCAGTTTGAATTTTCTTTCTTTTTCCATATCCAAATGACATTTCATGAACACTCCTTCTTCTTGTTGGATTTCTCTTTAAAAAGAGATTGAAGTGTGTCCTCAAATGTCACCTTCATTCCTTCATTTCATTTTATTCCAATCCTTCACAAATTTCGACATTTTATGAGCATAATTTGCATATTTGGACTGAAAAGAAAAGAAATTCAGCCTAGAAAGGCTTTAGTTATAGTCTAGTTGATAAAAGACTTTAAAAAGAATTAAATAAAGATGTTTATAAACATTTTGCCCCCCACCAATAAAAAGAGAAACCAAAGGGAATAAAAGAGCCATTCTAAGGTTTTAAAAGCATAAAATCTATAGTCTAAATGTATAATTTAAACTTACAAAATAAATGATCTTGGTTGTTGGGGTTCTTTAAAAGCTTTATTACAATGTCAAGCTTAGAAAGCCTCTAAATTGAGTGTAGCTGTTCAAAAACTATAAAAAACTATAGAAAGAATCAAATAAAAATGTTTACAAACATTTTAAAGCTCTATTACAATGCAAAGAATGAAGTTTTATGCAAAAAGAAATCGTTTTTATTCAAACTTTATCATGTTTTAAGTTCAACTTAGTGGGAAATATCTTTTTAACTCTGCGCGCAAGCTTAACACAATTAGATTGATCGTTTTAAGAGTAAATTCAAGAATAAATCCCCATCTTTAAATCCACATTTTTCGAATTAACTTAAAACTACAATATTTCTACTACTATAAACTGAAAAATGTCGAAAAGAATTGCTGAAAATGTATTCATTTTTCCTCCTCATTAGACCCTCGTTCACTTCTCGATTTTCCCAAGTTCATCAAAACCGTAAATTAGCCGTATTCATGAGAAAATTGGTTACTTTCACTAATTTAGAACAAATTTAGAACAAATTTAGAACAAATTTTTACTTATTTCCAACTTTCACCTTATAATCCTTAGTGTTCTTTTTCAAAAAAAGAGAAATTTCCCTCAAAAATCGGTTTTAACGTCTAATCCCCTAAAAGATTTGCAGAAAAGCAAAAAAAAGTGATTCTTTATGTATTTCCTTTGGTATACTGGTGTCTTTCATTACTCATACGAGTCTTTTTGTCAAAGAAGTTTCGTTTAGAAATGAGAGAACAAGGGTTTTAAAGAAAAGGGAAAAGAGTTACTCCTTTTGTCCTTCAAGAATCACTCAATGAACAAACTTCTCCATTCTTTTGCCAAGACACCATTTTGAATAAATATTTTTTACGGATTACTCTCCTGCATCTGCATAGAGTTTTTTAGTTGGATTTGCTGAAATTACGCTTAAAATTTTTTAGGTTAAAGTTCAGCGAATCAATTTTTTTCATTGTCAAACCCATCAGTTTCACTAATTTGAAATAAAGCCAAAGCCATTCCGAAATTCGGAATCTACGCATACGATTCCTTTCTATGAAAACATTTTTGAAGCTCTACGACCTTTCCTAAGGCCTTTTCCAGCAAAAAAAAGGTGCGCAAATGTCCAGGTGCGCAAAAAAAGGTCGCATTTGTCCCACCCCCTATTTTATAGAAAAATAAAACGTCCTACGCGACAATACAAATTACGTTAATGTAAAATTACAATAAAGTTAGCTAGAATGTGGAAAATTTGTACTTGGGGGTTTTCGGGGGCGAGGAATCCGAATCTGCAATCAGATTTATGCTAGGTGCTCTCAATACATCTATGTAGATTATCCGTGCGTCAGTTTACATCATACGAATCATACAAATCGGTTTTTTTATCAGTTTGTACATGGTTCAAGTACTAGAACCAAGTTTTTTGAATTAATAAACCGAATCTAAAGTTTTTACACTTCTTACTATCAGTAAACTGATAGAGTTCTTAACTATTCAAATGAGATTTATTTTAGCAAACAAGAATCATCAAATCGTCAATCACAAAGTTTTATTTAAAAGCTAAAGATTGAGCATCAGCTGAGCTCTGAAACTTTCCTCTGTAAATCTTTGGTTTAAAATTTTTAGAAGTTTTC